TAGGGCTATACAAAAAGACATTGAATAGAAATGAATAATAATTGTGTGTTTCAGGGTCCACAAATTAATTCAATGAGAATAAAAGTAGACTGATTCTCAAATGATAACGTAATACATTAACAAAATAAAACATATACCCCAAAACATGGCATAACTTTTTCTCCTCTTACTAGATGTAATTTATCATAATTTTGAGATGTCTTTGGGGATATTGTCCATTTTGTCTTCATCTGTCTCACATATGATGTAAAGTTATGGAATGTGTTGGAAGACTTGGAATCTGTTCTTCCTTCTAGCTGTAAAATGTTCCCAATGCCTCTGGCTGCTGCTTCACAGCTGGACATATGTTGCTTTCATGAAATTCTGAGAATTTTAAGCTTCTTTTCCAAATGAACCTTTGCTCATTCCAGCAAAAAAAGTCAAATCTATGAAGGTCTCATCTATTATCAGCATAATTACAGATTTGTTAAGAGAATACTGATCACAAAACAACATCATGAAGTCCAGGAACATACCAAACAGGTCAGGGATGATATTTGGGAATATTTAAAGCGTGGCTCAGTTATTAAAAGTTCCCAATGTGTCACAGAGCACTGCACAATCAGAAATGGGAATCGGAGAATGGAACTAGAAACCAACTAAGACACAGGCATCCACGTAAACAAACAGGTCGCCCACCAAGGGGAACCGGTACTATGCACATGAATACCTCAGTATATTCTATAGACACGAAGGAGATGGGCCATGTCCATGGGACATTTCAATCTGTTCTGTGTTTAAGACGCCTTCTGCTCTGGCCAAATTAATATTCATAATTGAACAGGACACAACAAATGGCAAATAAGTAGTTTCACATTGTAAAAACATCTCACCTTAGCTTGTAATTTTTCTTTATTCTTTTTCTCAAGCTGCATTGTTTTTTCTAACCAATGTTGCTGCTTTCCCAGCTATCATCACAGAGAAAATACCACTCTGACCTACAATCAGAGGAGAAGTCTGCCCTTTGAAAGCAGTGCCCTCGTGTGGCCACGCTAAGCCAAGTGTTGTTTTCATTCAGCCTTCAGCATTTTCTCACTCAGGGTGAATTCCCTGTACAGGCTTTTCTTTGGCAGGAGAACACAGGTTGAGTGAAAGAGAAACTAGAGCTGCAAATGCGTCACACGGCTGAGCAGGTCAATAGGTGAAGGTGGTCAAGGGGGGCTGAAGGGACTCAATGTGCTTTAATAACAGTGTTAGATGTGCACTAAACAAGTGTTTCCTAGAAGTACTGCCAAGTTATTCAGTGACATGATTGAGGGGGATGTTTAGCACAGTGCTCCACTGCAGGTGGCTGTAGATAGTGTGTGTGGCGGCGCTGGTGTCAGCTGACAGCTGTGTGAGGGGAGATGACAGTGCCCTGATGCTGCGTCTCTCTCTCTGTTCTCTGGGAGCCATTTTGTCTGTCTCTGATCTCAGAGTCAGGTCTGCACCCCCCAGTCCCCTCAGCCAATCACATCAGCGCTCAGCCTAGCAGAAAACACAGAAACATACAGCCTCTGTGTCGGTCACCTCTCTGTCTCACCCTCTCCTTCCTCTCTTAATCCACCTCTTTCCTCAGAGCTCTTCCCTCCATCGCACCCTCCTCCTCTTCAGGCTGCTCTTGTTGTGCAACCCGCTTCTAAACAGCTCAGCCTTTGTGCCTTTTTGTCTGTTGCCATTTCAGCCAGGCTGCAGTCTTTACTCATTTTCCTCCAATCAGGGACACCATGTGACTCTCTGCATGAGAGGGCACAGTCCCTTCCCCCTCCTCCTCCCCTCATCGAGCCAGCCAGCCAACATACGCTAGCAATCAGGAGAGTCAAGAGAACGAGGCAGTGAGGGAATGAGCAGGATGCTGGTACACACACAGGGGTTTGAAAAACAGTGCAGCAAAAATAAGCAAAAGCACAGGTCTGACCCCATCTGCTGTCTTAGGTTTGGGCTTAGACTTTGAGTCGCTCCTCTTTGATGAACACATCTCATCCCACATCAGTGACTATTGATGTCATCCACATGTTGTTGAGGCACAAGTCGTGTCAAACGCACACACAGACTGGAGCCCACACAAGAAGGGGGAGGACCTCTGTGTGTTGAACATGGCTCAGGAATGTAAACAAGTAAGAACCAGGGAATGAGAAGGACCAACTGAAGAGGAACTTTCTGTACAGTCATGTATTGTATACCACTGCAACAGGAGCAAACACAAGGCCCGCCTTTAGTCTGAGGTGATTAATAAAGAGACAAGTGCATCCAAAGCAAGCGCAGCTCTCTCAAGGAACCGACTGGATTAGGTTAAAAACATAATTTCAAATTAATTTCATAGCATTAGATCAACAAGTTGAAAACGTAAAAATGAAACAACCAGAACAGGGAAAACCACAAGGACAATGCCTGAGTCAAACTGGAGCGTGTTCATGTCTTTTTGGAAATTTCCATGACTGTGTTGATTAACTATGCAATCTGACCACAAGCTCAGTCCTAACTCTAAACAAATGCTCCTGCTCTGCTGCGCCGCCTGTTTAACGGCTGAGGTGGCAGCGTTTGCCTTTGTGCATGGGGCATTGCGCAGAGATTGGAAATCCTCGGTTGAACATTCAAGCTGTGCAACTCCAATCACAATTCACTCATGTCTAACTGTGATCACAATACATCCGTGCAAACATTTACCCGCAGACATCAAGATGAAATGCATTGGTCTTTTAACAGTTTATAAACTTTTTGTCGTTCAAATAACATGACACATGAAGTTTCCAGGCCACAGAACATGATGCAGCTTAGTGGTTCCATCTTTGTAATGGTTCTTGTGGAGACAGGCACCAGAGAGTAATCTGATCTGGGATGCATGGTTGGCTAAAGTTTTCAATCCACATCCAGACAGTTTGAGGGCTGACCACAGTGACCGTAGTGGCCTGGAGCAGGAGGCCGCAGTGGGGCAGTCCCATCTCAGCTCTGCCACCTACTTTCTACTGCTAAATATTGTATGACTGTATATTCTGTGAACATCTATGATGATTATGAATACATTTTGAGCAATAGGATTATATTTCATGTCCCACATATCAGAAGCGCGGCATAAATCTCTAACATTTAATAATATATTGCCTGCAGCTGAGCAGCGCTGGGTTATTTCTAGACCTCAATTCCTCTTTTCTTTCCTGCTCTATCCGATTTAAGTCAATAAAGTGACAAGAATTATCTGTTGGCTGTGCGGCACTCCAGACCAAAACACTACAGTTCAGGGATTGCTAGGAGCCTACAGATCCACTGAACCAGTCACACTGCTCTCAATACAGAAGGCTAATATGACGGATATTGCTCCCTGCAGGTGCCTTTCAGTGGCTTTGCTCCCAGAAGCCTTGTGGGGTCGACTTAAGATTTTTTATTAAAACTACTGACAAGCGCTGGTCAGACAGTGCAGTTGTCAAGAGATGTTCTTCTGGGCCTTTCTCACATTTGTGCATGGTTTATATTTGTACAAGTCTAACAATCCTGTTTTGCATGATACATTCTGCAGCTAGGTCACACTGGCAGAATCCGAAAGAAACCAGCTTCAACTTAAATCTGTCTCTCTAATGTTAAGAGCAAGGTCAGCCTCTGTGGCCTTCTCCCCCTCAGGTATGCACTCACTACAATGTTTCCGTGAACTCTAACAGCAAAGACTTCTGGGTAGAAACAGGATGGAAACTCCCTAACAAGGCCATTATAAATCTATGTCAGACCTCTGGGTGCTCTGTATAGATAGTCTGTGCCTAATGTCCAAGGCTGTTATAAATGATGAAACCACTTAGAGTCTAGTGCAGCACAAAACACTACCTGAAGTTTTTGAACAGCTTTCAGCGAGCTTTTTAGTCCTCCCAAATAACTCCCGTCTGTGTGGGCCGAGTGTCACTCATTAATAACTGCGCATAAGTGAATCAATCATTTGATCAAAGCTGCTGTTCTTTGGCCTTTAAATGTCAGCGTATGCTTTCAAGGACTCTGGCTCTGAGCACAGTTAAACATGTGGAACTGTGTTGACCCGAGGAACTTGGCAAAAAGAAGAAGACAAATAGCTTTTGCGGCGCCATAGCAACAGGTTCAATCCCAGATGTGTAACACAGCATCAAGTGATAAAATGTAACAAGGCTGTCTCAAGTGCTGTTTCAGTCTTTAGTGGAATGAACTCATCACATATGGAGCCAAAATCATCAAACTGTCATAATTGAAGACAGCAAGTTGGGCTAAAGGAACAATAGTAAGTTTGAATGCTATGATTATAGTGAGTAGATCTTTCATTCACTATGCCTTTTACATGACTTGAACATATAGCTTTCAGTATTGCATATGAATGAAAGGTAAATACAACATAAAAATACAAAAAACTATGAATAGAATTATGTCATATTTCATTCAAAAAATAAATAAATAAACAAAACAAAAATATATATACATATATTTCTTTTACTTTTACACTTCCCCATGGTAATGATCGTCTTTTTAAAATATATACACTGATATATCTAATAAAGTCTTTTCAACTGAATGAGCCCAAAATCCTATGTATAAAACCTAACAACAATTAAGATTTTACTTGTATAAGTTGCAAACGTCATACAAAAACAATCAACAGTTTCCAGAATTCAAAACCTTATTCAAAAGCGTTATCCTCACACTTACTAGATTATATAGTTTGGATAAAGTTGCATTTCTTACTCAGGCAAAACTTGCTCCCAACTCCCTGCTTTAACTTTGCATCAGCCAGAGTGAAAACATTTCCACCAGCCTGCCCTCCATCCTCACTTATCACTCAGGGTGACCTCCCATGAGCCTTTGCAAAGCGCGCCCCAGGGTCCATGGCACCTCTATCAGTTCCACCTCAATCACCCCACTCTACTTCCCTCACACAGAATCCAAAATAACAATCAGCCCTGGGTCCGGTTCAGAGAGTGGTCAGTGATCAGCAGCAGTGGCCTTTAGCAGCCATCACCACGACAGCAACTTACCGGGACACGCACAGCCGCCCACGGACATCTTCTCACATGTCTGGCACGGATACGATCGGAACGGTTGTTGTTAGTCCTCCTCTGCTCCCTTGCTGACCAGCCAGTGAGCGTCTGGTATCCCCCTCTGAACACTCAACACACACACACACACAAACAATCACACCGAAACAGACGGAGCGCCACCGGGAGCGCGGCAAGAAGGAGTGAAACAGAGAAGAGACACGGCGCTCGGTTTAAAAAGAAAAAAAAAACAACACGGATTGGATTCCTTTTCCCCAGTTGTGGCAGCCTAGTGCATGTGTTGTGGAAAGAGGAGAGTACTGTTCTGCTGCTGCCCCGCAAATTACAGCTCAGGTGGGAGGGGAGCGAGGGAGGAAACGAGTGCAGAAGTGAGAGTGAGTGAGATAGAGAGAGAGTAGACTGTCAAAGTGACCTGAAAGGCAGATTTGAGAGAACAACAACCATGTGATGTGGGCTCCCCCCTTTTTAAAAATATACGGCATGCTTTTCTTCCCCCCGCCCCATTCACAGCTGCAGTTGAGGACATGCCAATGAGTGAGAGCATGTGTATGTGTGTGTGTGTGCGTGTGCGTGTGTGTGCGTGTGCTTGTGTGGCCAGCATGTCAGCCAGGTCTAATACATGCAGGGCAAAGGGGGGAGAGAAAGGGGGAGTCAGAAAGCCAGGAGGGAGAGGGGCGGGCTGACGTGCGCAGACTCTCACTCCTTCTCAGCGCGTGTCATATGCCATGCTTGCCAGTGCGCTCCCCACACTCGTTCTTGCGCTCCGTTAGTCCGTCTGTCTGCAGTATGTCACACTGTGTCGCTCGCTCGCCTCACTCATTCTCCTGTCTGCCCGTTTAACCGCCCCTCCTCCTCCTCCCAATGCACTCACTCCTTAAATACTAGAAGCTTTTTTTTTTTTCTTACCTTTACTTCACAGTCTCCATCTTGTCATCTGCCTGTCTTTGTTGAAACCCATCAGCTCCTACAGCACACAAAAGTTAATCCCAGAAGTCATCTGCATTTTTGTATATGACTAACACATAACACTTACCTTGCCTGTTCCTTAAACCGCTTTGAATCCAATTGTTGATCATCCATGTTAATATTAGCCCAAAAATGAACAAAATGAACAAAACGTGAGAATGTCTTGAGTTGTTATTGACAAGCTACAACTGGCAAAACCAAGAAGTGTAGAGTTTCAAGCTTGGTATAACATAAATAAGTGTCTAAAAACAAAATGTATCGTTTGTATGTTTCTTGGACTTGGTTGAGAGCCTTGTGACACAGGCCAAATTACATTTAGATTAGCACATGTTTATTTTGGACTTCAAAAATCAGCCTTGTTTGCAGCACTAAATTCACATCACTGACGGGTTATAAGTGGCCTCATCGTTCACAGGTCATGACCCCAAATAAAAATCAGAATTGAAGCTTGTTTTAAGATACAAGGCATCCCACGCAGTTCCCTACTAAATGGCATTCCTCCCAAATTTCCTTTTGTGCCTTTCACACGCAAAGAGTTGTTTGATTGTGCTTATAGATGGCCTCACCCACATAATTCCACTTTTTGTTTTTTTAAAGACGCTCTTTGGTCTTTGTCTCTCCCACTCCTGGCTCCTCACCCCGTCGCTCATTAGGCAGAGTCGCATTTTGAGGAGGAAGAGTATTAGGCCAATCAGAGGGTGGAAGGATAGAGCAGCTGAGAAGAGGGGAGAGGATGTGGCGGGGCGAGCAGCGGATGGATGGGTAGAGGAGAGAGAGGTGGAGGGAGAGAATAAATAGCTCTGCCGCACTCGTCCCCCATTACCCCGGGAGGGCACTGTCGCCATGGCAATGTGGCAGAAAAAGGATAGCGCAAGCATGATGAGTTTCCACACGCGCACACAATGACAAACTGTGATTCACACATCGACATGCTCGCATCACAGAGCTTTGACGGAGTTCCTGTTGTGCGGCTGGATGCAAGCGCAGAGGTCAAAGTCTTACATTACACCTGCTGAACAAGATTATAGAGACAGTATGGAAAGGAGTGCAAGCCCTTACAGCATGCATATCATATGAAAAGAGACAAAGCAGTGCCGAGTTGTGCGGAGGATACAAATTACAAGTGCAGTGAAATAAGTAGGGCTGTAGTTGATCAAAGAAAGACATGCCCAGTCAACAAAACAGTCTACTAAAAAGGGGCTGTGAAAAAGCTCTCAAAGGAACACACTATCTAATATTGTTAATAAACTAAACTGTTAATAAAGTACTGATGAACTCTGTGCCATGGCTTCCAATTTTTGCAGTTTTCCCATCATAGAACAGCAAACAGACGAAGATCAAAACCAGAGAAAACATGATTATGATTTGTAATGCAACTACATATTCTGTATATATTGTGTGCTCCCTGTGTGCTCTTACTGTCCTGTATGTGCGCTGCAACAACGACATTTCCCCACTGTGGGACGAATAAAGGAACTCTTAATATATGCGTCTCCTAAAAGCCTTCTATAGACATGTAAATTGGCATTGTCTTGCTATAACACTAAAGGCAGCACACCTGTTTTATACAATGTCAAATAAATGGAAAAAAGTTATTTAAATAAAATATTAGTCAGCATTTTTGGTCAACTCATAAACTAATTAAGAGACGGAATGACCAAATACCAACAGCCCAAGAAAGAAGTCTATTCAAAATTACAAAAGTTGCATAATATCACGTTACTCCCTTTATTTAACATTCCTTTTTGACAGGTAGGAGAGCACAAAATAGTGTATCTATATTGTGTCACTGTTACCTGTCAGAAATGTTGAAGATTTAAATGTGTCGGTGAGGCATTTCCATTCGCATAACTGCTTTCTAAAACAGCTGAAACACAAGATGGTGCTCTAATAAGTTAACTGATGGCCAGTAGCTTTTATTGGCTAATTCATCACAGTTACAGAAAATCATTTGTCCTGCCACTTCTTTGTCTGAGTGACCCGAGATGACCCCGCTCCACCAGGAAAATGGCAAGTTGACATTCAGAGCCTGTAGATCGGTCACGAGAAAGGTACATACATGCCATTTCCAACTTCGGTCATAATTGAATCGGACTGACGTGTAACTTGAACTTCTCTTTCTGTGTGATGTTTTTGTGGTCTTCACTTATCGAAGAAAACTAGCAAAAGCCCAACTTCTCCGCCATAAATAATAAAAAAAGATTTGTGATATTGGAAAGACTCTTGCAAAAGTAAAATGCTGTGAACAAATCAGACCATAACATGCTGTCTTCATATTATTAGAAAACATGTTGCATAGTTTTAACACTGTATAGCTGTTGAGAGTTGATTGGCGGAGTGAGGGTGGAGCTGACCTTAAGATGTGACAGAATCCAAAAAATAATCAATGCGAAAACTAGTGATACAAGCGAACATGAGAGCAAGGGATTATTACATGGATTTTAATACAGAGTTCCATTATTTACTGTTTAAAACTTAGGTATCCCAGCTTTAATTAGCTTAAAAATGGCAGGCTGTGTTGAGCCCCAGGGCCGGGCCAAAAGTGAATGAGGCAGCGGTCTTATGTAAGTCTCATTCTCAAGCCTGTTTCTCCACAGCTACATTATTGATGCTGGCTTCTGTTTCCATGCTGTGTGTGTCTGTTCGTGCACCTGTACAACAACAGATAACCCCTCACCTCGGCCGCTATAGGACAGAAGCAAAGACCCTCAAGTCTGGCTTAAGTCTCAAACTTCTCCTCCCCTTCTATGCATACCCTGTGGTGCTCTCCTCACCTCCTGCACCGATGCAGGTCTCAAAAGTCCCTCTCCCTCCCCACTGCTCCTCCTCTCCTTCTGTCTCTCCAGGGCAGCACTTCCCACAAACAGATGTTCCCTGCACCATGCGGGAGGGCATTCCTCGTCTCTGCTATGAAAGCACAAGGAAAGGAAAGTCTAGATACAAGTATGAAGAAAATAATCAGGACACAACTTACATGGATACAACTGTTACTGCCTACTTCAGCAGTAGTTATTTGTGGACGTCCCAGAGGAGCAGGTATCAAGTTAAAGACCAAAAGTGCTTTTGCCTTTTTATAACGTGCAGCACACAATATCTGAAAGGTCAGCTAAGTATATACAGCAGACTGTACAGTGAGATGGATGCTGGACATGAGTGTGAAGTGGAGAAAGCAAATACCTGGCTTCATGGACCTGACTGGATGTTTAAAAATTTAGAGATGTCAAAAGTGCACTCGGGGAGTCCAGCACCGGGCTCCAACAGTCGTGTTTGGCTACGGGATAATAATAGTCGACTGTTTTGGGCGGCATGTTGAAGTCAGTGCAAGGCTGAAACAGGTTATTATATCCCAGCCAATTGAGCAGAGATAAAAAATGAACTAATTTACTATCGAAATGTATGCTGTCTGCGTTGTATGGACTGTGTGGTATGCAAAGAAGTGAGTCTTTGTCAAAACTGGTTAAAAATCTCTAATCACTGACCTTCCACAGATAGCTCAAAGAATTGAAAAATAAAAAAGCTAAGATTTTCAGTTTGTTGCTTAAAGCTGGTATATCTAACCTTTTTTGGTCTGAATAATACATCTTTGTTTGCTCCAACAATAAAAGACTTGTATAAATATGATTTTGTGAACATATCAGACTACAAAATCTAGTCTTTATTTTATTAGATAAAAAAATTTATCTTCTGAATACTTGCATGAAAAAGCCACATGAGTCACTATTTGACACTTTGGGCCATAAAGGCTTCAGGCTGAGAGCTGATTGGCTGTGTGAGGGTGGTCCTCTTTTGTTCACTTTTCCGTCTGAAAAAGCTGATCTAAAGATGTGAGAAGCTAAAAAATACATGCAACAATAAATCAGAACTAGTTAGATATATTTTATGAATGTATTTTTTATGGATTGAAAGTTAGTTATTCCAATTTGAATAGAAGCATAGAGTTAACCATTTGATTCACCAACTCACTTGTTTGGATTGTCGAATCAAGATGGAGTGTGCACAGATAATCAACCAATTAACTGAAATTAGATTTGAAGGGGCCAGATCAGATTACACAACAAATATAAGACATTTTAGTGGCCATTCCCTTGAAGATTTGGAAGGTAGTTGCAGATGTCAGAGTGTGAGGCTGTTGGATGGCGCAATAAGGTGACCCACTTAGAGACTGTCCCCCCTCCTCCAAAACACTCTCACCCACCAGGCAGTGAGCTCCACTCGCCTCACCCTCACTCCAGGGACCAGGACATTATGGCCCCAATTCAGACCATAATGTGCCTCTAAAGTCGTGAGGGGGAAACAACTAGGAAGGATTCACAATATAGGAAAGATGATAAAAGGACGGAACCACAAAAGCTAGACACAAACCTGGTCATTTATTATCATTTTAAACAAATTGTTTGTTTTTCTAGCCTCGTCCTAATCAGTCTTTGTCTACCTTAGCACAGCGCTCTGACATTAACCACAAAGGTCGCCTCCTCACTGGTATGCACAAGATAACAACCCAGACACATCCCTGCTCCTCTCAGGGAAAAAGCAGAGATAAGAGAAGCCACAGCAGTAAAAAGAGAAGTGAATAGTAATCATAAACACAATGACCTCCTGGTTCAGAGCAGAGTTGTCTGACAGCTGAACTATTACAGCTGTTGGAAAAAAAATTGCAACTTTGAGGGCCAACAAACAGAAAGGCAGATGCAGCAGACATGATTGTCAACATAAATAGCGCCATCTTCTGGGAAAGCACAAGATTTCGCACTCAAGAAAATTGTTACTGTTCAAGACTATTGTAAAGATGACTGACCAGGTGCAAGGCAAATTTATTCATAAAGCATCATATTTTAACAGACACAGAAAGAACATCGAAAACAATAAAGCAGTTTGAGAAGTAAAAATATACATAGAATTGTAAAACTTTATATAAAACAACAACAACAACTTATTCTTTTATAGCCCTAAATCATGACAGAAGTCATCTCAGAGGACTTAACTAAACCCTTGAAATCACCAACACAGATCAGAGAATCAACAGTTAAGACACAAAATATACACATATGAGTTGGTCCATAGGGAGAGACCAATGTCCATGAATGTTGATAAATGTCCATACATTTTGTAGAATGTTAAAGTGTCCTGGATCATCTCCACAGTCCTTCTAGTTGGAGGACACTAACTGCCCAACAGACCCTCCTGCATCGGCAAGGAAAAACTCACAAAAACCCAGTGGGGAAAACAGTGAGAAACCTTGGGGAGACCCTATTTAGAAAGGGATCCGCTCCTCACGAACATATAGCATTAGTTGCAGCATTACTATTGCAACAACACATCATCAGTAGGGTAAAACTAACCTAACTAACGTTCCCTATTAGTGGGTGAACAATCCAACGCTTGGTGAATTCTGCTTCACAGAATTGTATCCAACTAAAATGGAGTCATGTAAACATGTGTTACTTAAATTGGCCAAGTTACAAGTCCTATCTGGCACCACTTATGTGAAATCTTCATTCCATTAGGGAAGGGATAAAGCTAAATAGGACATGGCATGGTTAGTACTGTGGTGGGAGACCTCTGGGATCACCAGGTGCCACAATGGAGGCAGCTACGGCTATTAAGGGATACACTCATGTTGTGTCTTTAGGCAAGACATGATTATATATGAGTGTGTTCACAGTAAAGTGACAATTGAAGTATCTGGACTTTAAAATGTTATAACTTAAAAACTAAAATTACTTTCATAGATTGGAAAAAATATTTCAAACACAGACACATTGAAGAGATAGTGTGGAAAAAATCAAAAGGAAAGATTGAATAAAAATGTTTAGCAACATTTAATCAGCCTCTGATTGGACCATTCTACTGTGACGCCAGTAACATAGAAAATAAAATGTCCTCAGTCTGAAAATGCAGAAGATGAAATCCCACAAGATTTACATGGTTAACACAACAGAAGGAAATCACTTGATATAAAAAGGAATCTTAAAAAAATAAAAAATAATTCATTAATTAAATGTATAACGGACGTGATGAGGACGGGGCTCTTTTCTCTAAAAATTAAACTTGAGAAAAAAAAAACATCTGGTCTGTTTTCACATTTAATTAGTTGATAATATGAAAGTATCACTTTGCATCTACTTTGTGTAAAAAAATAGAATCTCTGAATCAAATGTGGACATCTGAAAATACCTATCATACTTCCACAAAGCTCATTCCGTCAAATCATCACGTCCGTTACATAGAATAAACAGGGCCGCTATAGGAAACTTGTCTAATGTATAAAACAGTTATGTTCTAGCAACTTCTAATGAACAGAGGAGGTATTTGGAAACATGAAAAACATAAAATATCTGATTATTAAAATCTAATTTTTAGCCTTTTGTCACACTTTTGTGCCCTTTAGTGTGAACAAGCCCATATCCAACTGAGAGAGATCTCCACATACAACATGAAAAAAATGAAATAATCTTTATTGTAATTCAATTTCATTTCAAAATTGATTTTGATACTACGTAATAATATGCTATACCAATTTCAAAACCACAGTAATTATCTAAAAATACTCCTTCTGATATACTCTAACAAACATTCATTTGTAACTCAAAATAAAAAGTTATCTGATATAGTTCAAGAAATGCTCAAGAAATGTAAAATCTCAAATGCTGTCCTTTTAATGTATATTATTTTTAGTATTGATGCCTGCTTAAGTCAGTACCTAGTGGCAGTTTAAGTACTCAATACTAGATACTTTGATACTCTTCACAGCCCTATAGTCTATTGTGTGTTGTGAAATCTCAGCCTAAAGAGGACAGAGCAAAGAGACTTCCTTTTCAAACTCAGTAGATCAATAGCAGCACAACGGTGACAGATGTGCGGCACAGTGATGTTCTCCTTCAGTGGTTTGATAACCACCTTGTCAAGATAAAAGAATATCTCCTGCGCTTTTTATCCACAGGTCAAATAAAACTTGTTCATGTTCAGAAAAACTGAAAATAAAAAACATATTGCGGCAGCCACAGCCGCTGTTTCTCTGTGTTCAATAATAATGACAATAATAATAATAAAACATTTTATCTATATTGCACCTTACATTTCCAGGACCTCAAAGTGCTACAGATTGAAATACAATACAACAAAAACAAAAACCTCAAAAGTGCATAAAATATAAAAAAACATGAAGGGGCTAAACGTCCATAAAATCCCTAATAGGCCTGATTTAAAAGGAAGTTTTTAGGCCTCCCTCAGAGTCTGTGGGAGGCTGTTCCAGAGGCAGCTGCAACCTTGAAGGCCCTGTCTCCCATGGTGGAGAGCTAAGACCTGGGCAGGTGGAGAGCTAAGACCTGGGCAGGTGGAGAGCTAAGACCTGGGCAGGTGGAGAGCTAAGAACTGGGCAAGTGGAGAGCTAAGACCTGGGCAGGTGGAGAGCTAAGAACTGGGCAAGTGGAGAGCTAAGACCTGGGCATAGGTGGAGAGCTAAGAACTGGGCAAGTGGAGACAGTGGGTGTTGACCAAAGGTAACCATCACCAGTTTTATCGTACTGGTTACAGTGAACATTATTATATCGCCCAGGGTTAACTGTGAAATACTGTTAAAAATGTGCAACATCTGGGGAGAGGAAAGTACCTTCACACAGGGATGCCGCTTTTTCAGGGCGTTCATTTGACACAGACTCAAATTAAACATACAAGTTTGAAATCTAGTCAACGTAGGGACTAATTTCCTCAGGACTCAGCAAGGGTTTATCCACACTCTAAAAAGTTAAAGTCAAAAAGGTAGAAAAAAAACAGTGTTTTCAAAATAACATGTTTCATCAATGGAGAATAATCTGCATTATGTTATAGTCTTCAGCAAGTTTATCATCATGTGGACCATTAGACTCAAATTTTCAAACATGTTTTATCCAAGGACGACTTCATACACGGCTTGTTACGCCGTCATAATGTAATGAATGTCCCTGTGTGAGCAACAGTCTATAAACCAGTTTGACTTTTTATTGCTGGCTAAGTTACCACAATGTTTGGTTGGAGAGTTCACACTGAACGCGCCCAGGCAAAAAGACTATCTAGGGGTAGAAAACGTTCAAACCACACAAAAAACGGAACTCGGTAAAAATTCATACTTTTTACTTGCACATTTTGGCTCTAGCCTGTAGGGTAAGTCAGAGATGCCATCCACAGAGCACCAGCCCCTCACAGATCCTCCTGCAGGTGGTGAGTCCACAGGAGGATGGCTGCTCTGTCAGTGACAGCACAACCTTGATCGTTCGGTGATGCCGAGGGCAAGTGCAATAAAATACTGCACTTTAGGTTTACTGAAGTGCAAGTATGGAATGATTGTGGGCTGATCTCTGATGTCATGTTTTCAACTCTGGTTTTTCCAAGGTCCTAGAGGTCTCTGATAGTGCACCTTACATTGTGTGCACCATGTGCACTGTATATTGTATAGTAATTGTAACTCTATTTTTGTTTTAAATGTATTCCTTAGAAGTGTTTTTTATTCTTTATTTTTTATTTTATTTTTTATAATTCTCTTTCTGACTGTTGCACCGAGCCAAAGCAATTTCCAAGTCTGTGGCCTTACGTGGCAATAAAAATGATTCTGATTCTAATTCTGATTCTTACCTTTGTCAATGGTCTCTTTAATGTTTACTGTGGTGTATGTAAATGTCAGTGTAAAGCATGTGAGCCCATACCCCAAGACAAATTTCTCCTACGGAAGACAATATCTTATCTTATCGATAGTTTTACATGCACCTATTACTGGCTTCTGTCACATATTCAGATCAGCTTTTTCAGACAGAAAGGTTTAAAACAGACTTACCCAGACAATCAGCTCTCTGCCTGAAAGGTCAAATAGTGACCCAGAGGATTGAAGAAGTTAAAAGAATTAAGTGATTTGCCACGGGCTCAGCTTTTGCTCAGTGGGAAAGAGCCTACCGTGCAACGCCAACTTCAGCAATGAAAACACAACCAGTAGTAACATCGATTTACCACTAGGTGGTCAAAAAGAATTTGGAATGCAAATGCAAATTAAATGTAACAAATAATAAAACGTACACTAATCAAAGCATAATAGTTTCACATATTGGGCGGTTGTTGCAGAAAAAGATATGAGCCTTATGGACAAAGCCCAATATAAGACATCATTAACACTATAGTTATGTCTCATCAGCATTCGATCATTGCAAATCACTTGACTGAAGATAATCTGGGTTGAATTACTCAAACTTCACTGACCTCAGGTCTGTGGCGTTCGATGCTGTTAATGTTATGTGCTGGGTGGAAAACTGATCCCAGAGCTGTCTCAGTTTCGCGCCACACCGGTACCACGTGGTCCCACGCTGCTGGGCCATGTGGAGCGGCAAGATGGCGACGCGGTGGAGGAGGAAAGATGGACATTTAACACCCGGCAAAGGGCATTTTCTACCCGACAACAACCTGAATGAGGTACCATGTCCCCCATTTAAGTCCATGCGGCTTTAGTCTGGAGGGTTATGGCGTGCGGATAGTGTAGGTGAAGGTAGAACTGGGCCACATGTCCCGGAGCGACACGTGGCTCAACTGTGGCTACTCCTCGTGCTAACGCAAAGTGAGCTCGTGCTCGCCTCGTGCTTTACTACAGCTCAGGCCCATGTCCTCAAACATGTCCTCAAACACACCTGCGTTTACCACCAACTGCACACGCCTTACAGCCGTTTGTCAAGGGCCGTTTTCTCCAAAGTACAGGATGTTCACCACATGAGCAGTAGTTGCTCTGTCCCCTGCTTACATTTAGAAACTACGGGCTCTTTGGGTCTGTTCGGCCTGTGTTAACCGTGTCTACTGTATGACCAGACTACTGTATGTCCCAGTAGAGATGATAGTGTAGTGTCGTGGGACTGTTTAAATGTTGCTTATGTCTGCATGTGTGTAGTGCGCAGACTCATTCATCCACTGCCAGGCCAGTCATTCAACTCCCACAAACTACTCTCCAACGTGTCACTCCCTGAATAAACAGCCAGAGTTCAGCCACTCACTTCACATTAACGTCACACTAACCCTTGTGACAGGGTTAACTTAACACGAGGTTTAACACGTTATGGAGAGTCCACTCATCGTTTTATTTCAATAAATACATATGTGGGTTATTAGTTTTTGAAAGGCCATCTATCTCTCTTTATCAACAGTGTACTCTAGGACAAGTACATATCTAAAGAAGCATGCAATCACTTATCTTGCATACAAATAGAATGATTGTATTCAAGGTGTGTTTTCTCAAGCTCAGAACTAACTTAACACAGGCTTTTGTGTTTAGTTAGTTCTGAGCAGGCAAAATATATAATAAACCACATATTTGGTCCACATTTTCATTTGGCATTAAAAAGTCTATAAAGTCTAGATTAGAAAATTGACGCTACTGTGGACAGGTTTTGAAGGGTATGAATTGTGATTTGTGAATGAATATAAATACGACAAACCCTTTGTCTTTTACAGTTTATCACAGATATTGAAATGGACACTCACTCCTCTGTGGATCACTCCATCCTGGCTATTTTTGAGGACACTTCTGCATCAGAGGTTAGTAAAATAAGATAATATAGTTATAGACAAAACGGGTCAGTTATGGATAAAATCTTTAAGTAAGTTCAACTTGACAAATATAACATATCTGATTCACCCCATATTTAATCATAATGAAGTTCCATGTCTTTGTATATGTATTTGTAATATATCATGTTATTCATATCTAATTTCATACAAGGCCCACTTTAATAAAACAGAAAATAAAAATATAGGCAAACATGCTAACATTATTTACAAAATTCTGTAATTCATTCTGGAAGTCAATGTCAGCAAATAAATGGCTCAAATTTGTGAACAATCCTTTGTTCTGGAACAATCCAGAACAAAAGTTTCTGTGTCTAAATGGCGGTGATCTGTCTACAGAACCGGGCGGCTGCAGAGGAGGACCGCGAGAAGCTGCTGTCGGCTCTCACAGAGATGTTGGAAAGTGTGGAGGACGATGACGACACACTCTCTCCTTTTAGCAGCTTACCACAAACATCTCTTCTCATGTCTCAGGACAAAACCAAGGTGGGCAGCATGACACAATTACTTCTAAAAAAAATCACAAAATATACCTTGGAATAATGTCAAGTTAAAAGATGGCATTATAGTTAATGTTTTCTTGAATTATGCTATAATTACTTTGATTTGAGTCCATTGGAGTGTCTTAATGATGTGTCAATGGAACAAGTGGGTTATTATGTTAATCCTATACCGGTGTTATTTTGTTAGGTAAAAAAAATGTGTGCTATGCTTTTTTCATTGACAAATCTTGTGTTAAGTCAAATTATACTCAAATCAAGATACAAACCAGTAAATTTAATCACTTGTTGACTTATTTAAATCTGTTTTTGCAGTGTGCAATTTCTTTGTCTGACGTGCTTGGAGTGGAGGAAAAGTCTGAAAGTGAAGAAACAAAGGAAACAGTAAATAAACTACAGAATGGGGCATTTTTTCAGCCGAGTAACAACAAAGTAGATACTGAAGTTGAAGTTTTCACATCTTTGTCTCTGGTAAACCTGGTGAAGATCATGCACCCGTACTGCCTGAAGCTCCAGGTGGAGGACGAATTGGAGAAGTCCTCAGAAAACAGTGTTTTATTCTCTAAAGAAGAGGTGTGGAAATACCAGAGGCCCACAGAAGACACAGACGAAGAAATAAACGTGGTGTCTGAGGATGAAGAATCAAAGGAGGAAACAGAAAACACACTCGAATTCAGCAGCAAACCTCTGAAGTCTGCTTTACTGAACGCAAGTCCAATTAAGAAGGAGAAGAAGAGAGTGAGCTTTGGCCCTGTGCAGGTTACGTCTTTTGATTTGGACAGTCAAACAAGCGACATAATTTCTCCAGCAACAACACACCCTAGCCCTAAACCAATTGATGACAAGGCAGTGCTTGAAGCTGCAATTTCTTCTGAAAATGACCAAATGCCTGATAGCCAAAAATCTGAAGGGAAAAGAAAACTGTTAAGTCTTCAACAGTATAGGCAACTAAGAGAAAAGAGGCTACCTCTGGTGGAAAAACAAGGTAACTATACCACCAAATGGCCCTCAGTGCCAGTTCCCCCAAAAGAGTTGACTCCTATACTTGGAGTGAATGGTCAGAAACATTGTAAGCAAACTGCAGCACAAAACGCAACAGGCAATTTAAATAAAAAAGTCCATGCCGCCAGTGAGCTGACACAAAAAGCAAAACGTCCCAGGCCAAATGCCAAGACTCAACCTAATCTTCCTGTCACAGTTTGTAATAGAAGTCCAACAAAGAAACAGACGATAGTGAGTAGTGACCCTCCAAACCCAGTGCTTGTACCTCTTTCGGCTCAGCACCCACAGGAAAATGGACCCGCGCTTCATCAAAACAACAGTACTTTGAACTGTCTGCAGGCAACTGAAGAAAAAGACCTGAAGAACTCTAGCACTGTCTCTACGTGCAACAACCACAGTATCATTCAAGCTGAAGTAAAAACATGTTTACCAAAGAACCTTGACTTGACAAGCCATTGTAGTGCACATAGTCCTCCTCTGCCTTATGAACCACCTACTCCAGTCACAACCCCAGTGACAACCCCAGTGAAGGAGATCCCGCCTGAAGTCACATTTGGGATTTCACTGCCTTCTCAGCACTTACCCCTGTGCACATCTTCAGGTATGATATGATGCTGTATGTGTATTTCTATGATCAATATATTTATTGCTGGTGTCATCATAGTAATAGAATAAAGCAATACTGATTTTATTCATCAGGTCCAGATGTTTATTTAGGGACGGGACGGTGTACAATAAAAATGTACCTCAAAGGTAAATGCATTGTACCAGGTTATCGCTCAAGAGCTAGTTTCCACCAGTAGTCCCTGGGCTGATCTTTTGATATAACATTAAAATAGTAAACATACATAGATGTACAGCTTACATTGGCCAAAATACATAAATGATTACGTTTTTGCGTGCACTATTTGATAAAACCTCAAATTCATATCACTCATTTATACAGGTCAAACACACACATAGGCACACACACACACACACTACACATAAGTGTATGGTGATTGATGATTCACCCGGTAGTAAAAAATCCTCCTGTTTAACCTTTAAGACAGGGGTGCTCACACTTTTTCAGCATGCAAGCTACTTATAAAAGGATCAAGTCAAAATGATCTACCTACTACAAAAATGCAAATCATATATTTATTTCAAAAAATATTCTTTATATCTACAATGTATGTTTATGTACATGCAAAACCGCATGAGCCAATATAGCACAACACAACACAATTACCTATGTACATTTTTGTCATTTCCCGAGTTTACTCTGATGACTTGCACTGAATTGAATCGGCCAGGGATGCATAGTCCGGAAAATTGGTGGTAACTCGCTGACAAGTTTGTCGGGGTTTAGCTTTCCTGCACTGAGCGCGGTTGTTTGCGCATGTGCAGTCACCTAAGTGTCAGTAAAACATTACTGAGTAAAACACAGATGTCATTTGACTGTGGTGCCATGTCCATGTGCGATGCCTGTTTTTTTTAAATCCAAATATTTCCCCTCCTCAGTTTATAAAATAATTTGCATCCACACATCTGCGTTATCAATCACATTCGTAACATTCCAAACATGTGCGTCTCTTACGTCCTGTCCTGCGTTGGGGAAAAACACAGAAGTGGGCGGAGCATTGATGCAGACGCCGGTAGCGGCACTTTTACAGTCATAGAAGACACTCAGAGTAAAGACGTATGTTTACAAGCACTGACCCCGTCCTCAGCCCTGGTTTAGTCCTGGTTTAGTCTGGTTTGGTTGTTTTCGAGCGTGAGTCCCCGTGATCACTTTGCTGCTCTCTGATGTGGAGGATGTTCGCTGCTGCGAGCATCTCACAGCGAACAGTTTTTAAGGTAGTATGATCCATGCTTCAGTGATCAGAGGAATTTAGGGGGATACTGTGGCGTGCGAGAACGCAAAACTCCGGTTATCTCTGTCTACACACAAATGCATTAACGGAGTTTTCAAAAATCTCCACTTTGCCCGGAGTTTTTTGTATATATTCGTTTAGAATGTGTAATTTTTTATTTATTTAATGCGATCTACCAATACTACCTTTGCGATCGACTGGTAGATCGCGATCGACGTATTGAGCACCTCTGCTTTAAGAGATAGGACTACTAAAATTCTCCTTCTTAGCACCTACAGGGTTAATGCATTTGAGAATGAAATACACCTCTATTCAATTAAACACGCAGAAAAAAAACCATTCAAGCCATTTGTATAAGTTGTCATATTCCTTCCTTACACATGGCTGCCGATCTGTTATTAATTTCTATCAGTTAGTCATTAAATGCCTTTAAATGTTGAACTTGAAAGACTTTGATTGCCTTGCTTTAATCCTACTTTTATGTCTTTTATCATTCAGGAATTGAAGCCTCAGATCTGACCAGCCTGCTTGAACAGTTTGAGGAAACACAAGGTGAACAAGATCACATCCTCTTTTGTGAAATGTAATCAGCCATGTTCTGTTACTTTAACCTTTTTGTTTCTTTCATCTGCAGCTAAAGAGGAAGGAGGGAGCGAGAGTGCAGCACAGGTCAACACCAGACACTTGAGTAAATTGGATCGCTCTGCTTCAAACGCAGTTCTACTGACAAATCCAGTCTCTACTCCAAACACCGCACTTCATATGTCCCCCACTAAGGAACATTCAAGCACTTCCCCTGCACAAAATCGTTTTAAAATCCCTGAACCATTTGGCACTGAAGTCATCCTCAGCACTCGGGAGCAGCCTGTAAAAAGGAAAGGACCTCCAGTTAAGGCAATCCAGATAATTGACCCTCGTCCAATGCCTTTCAAAAGAACTCATACTACCCAAGTTGAGTCCACATTTATCTTCCCACATGTGTACTCTGCTATATTATCCGATCATGATTATTGCTCCGTCTCCGTTGGCAACGGGCAGTCCAAATTAAATCAAACAGAATCTATTGACATCAACGAGGCCAACACAAAAGCTCCTGATTCATGTCCAAAGCAAACGAGTGAGGTGGTTGCACTTATTACTTCAGCGGAAACAAATGCCCCCAAAGAAGGTCCAACAAAGGCACTTGCACCCCAGCCCACGCTATTGACAGGTGGGGCCAAAAAACTCAATTGCGATATTCGTATGGAGTCCTGCATGGTCCCTCCTACACCACCGCCCAGTCCACCCAGCAGAGACCCAGACGGGACCAGTCTAGAACCCAGAGACCAAGACAGGACCACCCTTGAACCCACAGATCGAGACGGGACCAGTCCAGAACATGGGGACAGAGACCGTACTAGTCCAGTGCCCAGAGGCAGGAGCAGGAAGAGCTACAGGAGGAGGTCTCGCAGTTCCAGCTCTTCATCCTCATCCTCATCATGCTCCAGCGCTGGATCCCCTTCTCCAAACAGAAAGTATGTGTTTATTTGGATAGATTTGTTTATTTTGTATTAGTTAGTTTAGTTTAGTTTAGTTTATTTAATGCCATTTGCAGTAAAAAACCAGTGCAGAGGGATTTGTTGTGTTGTCTATTATGTACAACAATGGGAAGATTATTTATATTTTGATGCATTATGTTAAGATTTCATCACAATCTACCGGTTGATCTCAAAGGCAGGGTGGGAAGGGGCAATGTCCCATGGGATTTGGTCACTGCATGGTGACCATGGTCATGTGTTTTTTGTCATGTAATGTTAATGGAAATGGCCACACTGTTCTCGCCACTTGTACATAGAAAAGTGAATTGATGTCTTGTAGGAAAAGCACATGTACATGGACAGTTTGGCCAATACAAACATTTGGAAAAGCTTTTGAATTGTTCACCCACTGCTTTTCATCTCATTCATCACCAAAACAATGTAATTGCCATTTTCTTAGAGTTCTTCATGTCTATGTCTTTTGCAGACGTCACTATTGGAGTTCAGAGAGCAGCTCGTGTTCCTCCTCTTCATCCCGCTCAGCCTCTCGCTCTCCTCCACGGCGCAGACGCCATTTTTCCAGAACCAGATTCAGCCGATCCAGATCCAGTTCTTGGTCTGAACCCAGGTCCCGCTCTCGGTCGTATTCTCCCCAACCGAGAGTCAAAAGAAGAAGATTGGAAGATGTCTGCAGGTTTGTAATATTTGAGATTAAGAATGTCACAGATTGTAAAAAATGCACATGAGGAGCAAGCCTCAATAAGCCACAATTTGTCCCACAGAGAGGGAACGTATTACAAAAACTAGAAAATCACTCGTAGAGCGCAAACCTCTACCATGAGGTGCAGTTCCATTCTATAAACCTTATATTTTTTCCTCATATCTTCTGGATTTGTTGCACTCTGTTAAGGGGGTCAGCAGTAAGATTGAAGACTCTCTGCAGAAAGATATTCTTTTAAAAAAACTTGCGTCGATATTGATCCGGAACACCTCCAAACTAACCCAGGCAATCACAACCTTCAGGGTATAGGCAGTAAGATAAACCAGCAGCACATTTTCCCCGATTCTGTCAATTCCGCAAAATAAATCCCGGATCCTGACGGTGAAAATCAAATAATTTGTTCCACATTCTATTTCAGAATTTATTGAAAAAAAAAATACTGTTTATAAGTAACTTCAACGTTCCAGTGTTGTGTTAGCAGTATCAGGATATGTACAGAATAATGCATGAATTAAGAGTGCGACACAATTATGTACACACTGTCCAGGCTGGTCCACATAGATAATGAAATGTGACGTAATGTTTAATCGGGCAAATAGTTTACCTTAAAAATTCTATAACTTAATTCTATAACTATTCTACTCTTACGATGCTGTGATGTCTATATTATTTGTTGATCATTTGTATGTTTCTTTTTACAGTAGTAGTCGACAGTCTAGGAAGCTAATAAGAGAAGAAGAAATACGCACCCAGAAACTGAGAGCTATAGTACGTATCAATCATTGTATTTATGTGATTAAAGCCTGAATTGTGCCTGATGAGTGTTTTTGTGAAGGATGAGCGTCGAGTGGTGTACGTGGGCCGTATCCGCAGGACGATGACACACGAGGAGCTCCGAGATCGCTTTGTTCAGTTTGGAGACGTGGAGTCTGTCTCGCTCCACTTTAGAGACAGAGGGTAAGAATGATTTTTTTGGTTGTTTTTCAATTATTTTTTTAAGCATTATGTTTATTCAACTTTGTAAAAACATTTTCAACAGGGACCATTATGGCTTTGTCACGTTTTACAACATGGAGGATGCATTTGCAGCCATTGATAACGGTGACAAACTTCGACGGCCTGATGAGCTTCCCTTTGACATTTGCTTTGGTGGAAGACGACAGTTTTGTAATTCAAATTATGCTGATTTAGGTTCGTTAACACTTTTTACAAAACATCCTCTGTAAAGTAATCCAACAATGTCACATGCATTGAATCCATAAAACTGTATCTTCTTCTTTCTTGTTCAGATGCTAACCGGGACGTAGACTCTTCTCCAGTCCAAAGCCGGTTTGAGGAAGTCGACTTTGACTTGTTGCTCAAACAGGCGCAGAAAGGGTTAAAGAGGTAGCTGAATGACGCTGAAACTCACATTTGTTAATTAACCTCAGGGCTTATGCTCCAACTATGTAGCAATTGATTCTTGTATATGAAATGTTTACAATAATGCATGTTTGATTTGAGGTTTACACATAAAACATACAATTCTATCACTGTTATGACATAAAAGTTATCTTTACAAAATGTGCTTAAATTTGTTTGAATGAATTTTTATACATTTTATTCTAAAAAATAAACATCACTGGTTGACCAAATGATTGAGTGTTTTGATTTTTACATATTTAGTTATAGTTACATGACATTAAAAGCCTGGTCATGAGTGTGGCGCTTGGGCAGCATTCACTTTAGGGGACAATGGCTTGCTCGAAATGAGAATTTCTGATTGTTAGAGCATGGAATCTCACTAGGGAATATTATATCTGGTGACAAGCAACAAAAAGTTAGAATATACAGGCATCTTTATTGAAAGTGTCATAAATTGTGCATGCTTTTATGCAAAGGTCCACTTTTGTAAATGTCAACACATTATCCAATCAGTATAATTTTTACTATATTCCAACAAATAAAGTTTTTGAATTATATGATTTATACAACCAACAAAAAAAAATTGCGAGTTTTAATAACAGACACTGTCCCTTTAAGGCGGCAGTGTCACGTGCGCCTGTCTAGATCAGGATCAGTGTGTGATCTCCAATCATAGAAATCTACATTATGGCAACATATTCTTCCTCTATGTTTATAACTTTAGACTTTAGATCGTTATCCCCGTGTTATGTAATTCATTAAACTATAGTGCAGGCGCATGCGTGAATGTGGAATGAAAAGCTGTGAGAGACGGAGTGACCAGGAGCTGCACTGACAACAACATTACTGTAAAACATGTCGAGATCAGAGGAAGCTAAAGCGGGGAAAAGGCGTTTCATCAGCGGAGTTGTGGAAGGTGAGCGCTTGCATTATGTTTGTATCGAATGGTTGGTAAGTAATACAAATGCCACCTGAGTAAAATCTCTGAGACGTTGTAGGTTTTTATGGGCGACCATGGACTATGGAGCAAAGAGCCGAGCTGTTTAAAAGGTGAGCAGAATGAATTCAGAATCACTTGTTTTATTGAATACCACTACTGTTATCGTTTTTATCATTTTACAGGGAACAAAAGTGGGGGCTGAACTCGTATCTATATGCACCAAAAGATGACTACAAACACAGAATGTACTGGAGAGACCTGTACTCTGCACAAGAGGCTGGTGAGTGTGGGGAAAGACAGAAACCTTCTCTTTACTAGATAATTGTTGGAAAATTATGAAAATATATTGACTGAAAAGGGTTATGCCACACCTATTCTATTATCAGCTTATATCACTTATAATTGTTCTTATCTGATCAACTGAGTCATCATTTGATATCGAAGCATCAAGAGACTTTGGACCAAATGAGTAAATTGGTTTTTTTTATTTTAGTTACAGGGAGTGTCATTTTTATTGCAATTATTTTTTTACATGAAGGTCAAATGTGTTGTTCTCCCTTCTTTTCAGCACAACTTACTTCATTGATATCAGCAGCCAAAAAACACAATGTTGAATTCATCTATGCAATCTCTCCGGGTTTGGACATTACCTTCTCCAACTCTAAAGAGGTTGATGCTCTAAAGAGGAAATTTGATCAGGTAGGACTCTGCCTTTTGAATAGTGTGTGCCTTTAGTGTGTATTATGTTAGTATTATTATTATTGTTTACTTTTAGTTTTATACCCAGAGTATTTCCATGTTCTACTCAAATATGATACCAACAATTACACCATTATTTTTGTGTTGCTCTTAAAGGTGAAGGAGTTTGGCTGCACGTCTTTCTCGTTGCTTTTTGACGACATTGAGACCGAAATGTGTGCCGCCGATAAGCAGGCGTTTGCCTCCTTTGCTCACGCTCAAGTGGCCATCGCCAACCAAGTCTTTCAGCATTTGGGCCAACCTGAAGTCTTTCTTTTCTGCCCCACTGGTGAGCCAAGCTTTTGTCATTGAATTCCTACCCCAATACATTCTTTTAATTTATTTTTCCTCAGATTATTGTGCGTCTTTCTGCACTCCCAATGTATCCCAGTCAGCCTACCTTCACACAGTCGGTGACGAGCTACTTCCGGGGATTGACGTACTGTGGACTGGTAAGAATACTGCACAAACTATTCTAGGCATGCCTACATATGAAGTTCTAACTATCATTTATTTTTAGGTCCAAAGGTGGTGTCTCATAAAATTTCAGTCGAGTCTATAGAGGAAGTGTCTGCTGTGCTCAAACGACACCCTGTTATCTGGGACAACATCCACGCCAACGATTATGACCCCCAACGCCTGTTCCTTGGACCCTTCAAAGTCAGTTCCACCAAATAACCATATAATGAATTTTTTAAAATGTAATTATTTATCAGTTGTTTATGTTAATTTTCAAGGATCGATCAACAGATCTCATTCCAAAGCTAAGAGGAGTTCTTACAAATCCCAATTGTGAATTTTACCCCAATTTTGTCGCCATACATACTTTGGCTACTTGGTGTAAAGCTACTCCAGACGTGGGAGCGAGTGATGTAGAAATGAGTAAGTATCCTACGACACACTCTTAAAATGCATCTATATGAAATTTAATAAAAGCTGTACCTGTGTGAACAGCAGGAGAGGGGGACCAGGACCCATGCTACAGCCCACAGAAAGCCTTAACTCTAGCTCTAACAGAATGGCTGGAGGAGTTTCTGAATACAGACCAACCTGGAGGTAACACTTAATGTTTTTGAACAAAGTCCTACAAACCTTTTCCACATATAGAGCAAGGCAGAACCACTTGCCTTTTAATCCAACTTGCAAGGTGGTCTTTTTGTCAAGGCATGTTAGATAGCACTATGGTCAAAGATAGTGCTTATGTTTATAGCTTGTTTCTTACATTGGGTCTGATGAAGAAGTCACACAAGGGACACAAGTCACACAAGGGACAGTTCTTTGCATATTGACAGTGTTACAAGTCGCTTAACAAGAGCGAAGCTGTTACCTTCCAAGTTTGGGCTTTTGCTTGCAGTCTTTCATACTTGTTGTTATGAAAACTAGTTTTTAAAGGTTTCTATTGCTCCAGGTGGATGATAAGCTTGCTGTGTAGTCCAATAATGCTGTGGACCTGAAGACTTATTTTTCGGTCCGAAGTTGGAAATTTAATAATGCATTATACTTCTTTCACTCGGCACGGTGGTGGTAAGCTACTACAGTAGCCACAGCTGTCTCGGGCAAACTGACTGAAGCACGGCAACTAGCTAACATTTCTACCTCTCTCAACCACCACGAATCATTCACACACCAGATTCATATTAAGCAATGTGGGTCAAGGGGGTTTGCCCTTTACAGCCGCAGCTGCCCTGGAGTGGCACCTGGTGTTCCTAGAGGTCTCCCATCACAGTACTAACCAGGCCCTGCCCTGCTTAGCTTCAGATGTCAGATGTGATCACAACCCAAGCTGACGCAGGCTTAAACAACATGCCTACCGTTCATTGTTCTGAGTCAACACAGCATTGCAACACGCGTCCAAACATTGGTTTCTGGAATCTAAAGGCCTCTCGGCTGTTATCAATCTAATATAAATCTAATAATGATCTAATAATAATCTAATTATACTAATCCTACGTTTAGGGCCGCCGCATCCGACATCTCGCATGAGGAAGTATCTGTCTGAGGAGGAGCCCATGCAGACCGACATGGGAGACTCAGCGTATGTGCCAGGACCTGATGAGAACCCGCTGTACACTGCGGAGCCCCTCACACTTGAAGACCTCAAACTGCTCTCAGATCTGTTCTATCTCCCGTACGAGTACGGGCCCATCGCTCGGAGCATGCTGCAGGAACTGGACTGGCTCAAAAAACACAGATGGGCTGCTGCGGCACAGACTGAGAAGGTAACTAGTAGTTTGCATGTTCTCCCCGTGTCTGTGTAGGTTTCATCCCGGGTGCTCCACTAAAACAATGCGCAGTAGGTAAAAATCCTCCAGCTACGGTAGTCCTGGCCAAGCATCAACATCTGGAGATGGGTTCTCAGGCGCTGCACTACGGCAACCACTGCTCCTGACGTAAGCCAAAGGCCGCGTTCAGACCGGATCATTCGTTGCGTCGGCTTTCAATGCAAAGTCAATGGTGACGCGCATTTGAGGTCCAAAACGTACGAGCGTCTCGGAATACACGCACGGACTGCGCGGAAAAGTCTAAGGGGAGGAGCAGGAGCGGAAAATAGCCGCACGCAGGAGATGAATTTTGCTCAACCTTTCCTCGGGACGTTCGTGCATTATTGGAGAAGATCTTTACACAAGAAGCCGCTAGCTAAACTCTGTTAGTATCAAAGCCCGCCGGCAACTTCCGCCGCTTCCGGCGCGCGCCATGACTTCAGGTCTGAAGACCCCTGCGTCTGAAATCTAGAGAATGTGCATTTCAGCGTTGGCGGTCTGAAAGCACCATTAGCGGCGTCAGGATGGGTCAAATGCAGAGGATGAATTGCCCTACAGGGATAAATAAAGTGCACCTTTACCTTTTGTAAAAGATTCACTGCACAAATGTTAAGTAAGTATATATAGATGCTTGAATTAAGTAATGTAATTCTTCTTCACAAAATATGTCCATATATATCTAGATAATACATGCATGCTTCTGTCTGAAAACAAGACCAGATATTCTTGCTTGATAAGTCTTATCTTTAGTCCCTTTTGTGTTTCCAAAAAACTTCAATCATTAGTCTTTGCGATTTGCCAGCTGCGACCATGAAATGATTGTGATGAATGGTGCAGCCCTACATTGTGAGTAAGGAGAGTGTTTTTCAGACGCCTGAGTGGTGCTCCAGAGCGCAGCACTTTGATGAAACGTGTGAAGCAGTTGTTCAGATGTTTAACCGACTCTCCAACGCACCGAACCGGAGGATTCTGTACGACCTCTACAACTACATCTGTGACATCAAGAGCGGGGTGGGGCTGGCACGAGCCTATGTCAAAACACTGAGTGAGTGGAAAGTACCATGGATGTAATTTGTTATATAGTAACTTTCCTTGACATAGATAATTCAAATATAACATTTCTTTGTTGTTTTTTCTCAACATGGATCATACACATGTACCAACAGTGGCCGTGTAACGGATGGCCATGACTGGTTTAAGCTGTATACAGTACATGTGTTATAAAACTCATCCTACAAAAATAAAACAAGCAAGACAAGTTTATTCGTATAGCACAATTCAGGAAACATTGAATAAACACAGTACATACATGAATCAACATGTATAAATAAAAAAAAATACAAAACAATTAAAAGCAGTTATTACAAAAATAATATTAGTCTTATAATACATATCAGCTCAAAAGTCAGTAACATACAGGATTACATTATAAATCAACTTAGTTAAAAGAGACAACATGACATGAAAAGTCCCATGTTCTTGTAGGTGGGCATGGACGACCATCAGCACATGTGATGAACGATGACCCAGAGCCCTGGGGTTTCAGAGGAGGCCTCTCGGGAGAGTTCCAGGTAATGGACTCAATAATATAAATATTTAATCATTCCCACACAATACTATCGGTCAATTGACATACGTTTTCAGAGAATGCTGCCTGGACACGGAAACAGAGACCTGTTCAAACATCCTCCACCTACAGCCATCTACTGCATTCGCCCATTCTGCCCAGAAGATAAAGTCAGTCGTTCTAGGACCGCTTGCTTTAATTTCATATTTGTAATAAATTCATAATACGATTGTGTTTTTTGTTGTAGGATGAGGTCCAGAGGATATTCAGGGAAATGCAGAGACCAGGAGAGGACAAGGGGCCTCTGTTGATGCAGCAGCCTCTTATGAGTGATGTGTAAGACGTGCTGTTAATCTTCCTTTCGCAATACTTTTTTCCATTTGAAATTCTCATTTCAGGCTGTTGGATCTTGAGACTCCGCATTTGTCCAGCTGTGCTCTTGTGTTGGAGGATGAGATGGCAGTATGTGGCTTTGCTCTTGCTCTGAAGGATGCAAGACCTGCTGCTGTCAAGATTCAGGTGAGTTTATGTCATACCCCTTTATGTTTTTGTGTTTTTATATTGGAAGCTCATGTTGGTCCTCCACCAGAGGGAGTTGGACGCCTCTGTGTTGAAGGACTTCCCCTCGGTGCTCACTGTGCAAGTGCTTCCTCGGGTCACTGATCCCTCTCCAGCCAAGCGGATGATTAGTCAATTGTTGTCCTGCCTCAAAATCAGCGGTGGGTCCATGTAGTTCTTGTAATGATCTGTCTTTGTGCCAATACATTGATTGAATATCACAAACTCTGCAGGTTCTGCTGGGGTGCTCTGTGAGGTGAGACACTGTGACAAGAGGATGCTGGACTTTTACACTAAACTCGGTTCATTTAAACCAGTCGAAATCCCTGGACAACCTCAGGACATCATTGTGTTGGGAGCCAGACTCTGAAATCATTTTGGATCATTTGGTTGATTTCAATTTATCACAGAATGTGATCTGCTTTGAATTATTTGGAGTTTAAAAATGAATAAAAGAGAGTTGTGCCTTTTCCTTTTGATCAATACAAATGAGGTCTGTTGTCTGTGGCTGTATAAACGAGGAAAACGGATACAAAATATGTAGTTTATTAAAGGAATATATTATTTCATTTGAAGTACATGGAACAGTAGGAGGTGGAGTAACCACAGGAAATAGTTAAAAACAATCATATAGAGTAGGAGTTAAAAACATAAAAAATGCCATTCAGATAAGTTCAAGTAGTTAAAGACATTCATGTTTGCACCATAGAAAAATAACTTGTGCTTATCTGTCCAGAGCAGTGCCTGTAATTCTCACAGCCATTTGGTCCTCATAAATCTCTTGGACTTCGCATTCAATCAAGGAAATAGGTGATCGGAATTGTACGTCTCATCTCAATGGGACTTCCCCAATTTAGTTTTATTGGTAAAAGAATAGTGTGATGTGTTTTGAAATGTTTCAAAGGTAGAAAACTTCTACTCAAGAGGAAAAGCCCTTCTCCTCAGTTTGGTTATAGTTCGTATTATGAACAAAATAATACAATGATTGTGAAGTTTGGCCCAGTTCCTCTTTCTTCCCTTATGTAGATACAATGTAAAATTCTCCAATGTGAGATCAGTAAAGTTTATCGTATATTGCACATGTCCTCAGTTAAAATAATGCATTATTGGTCCGTTTGGTCAGTTTTTAGCATCTTTCATTGATGTAAAAAAAAATAAACTTTGTTACCAAAAAGGAAATGTCGCACAATAGCAAGAATGTAATTTAGAAGTTAAATGCTGAAGAGTTTTCATAAAAACGTCACCAAATGGTTAAAACTTAAATCACGCTATGGATTAGATAAAAGAAATCCATCAAAATCTTGTCCCGTATAAATTTGCATTATGTTTCTATTTGATAAAACTCTCAGGTCTTTGAACTTACAAAACCCCATGAAAGCATCATAAAGCTGGGGTATCTTGGGGTTTTTAGTATAATGTTGTGAACAAATCTAACCACTACACAAGAAACTATTATTTATTGCTTTGGCCCAGTGAGGGTGGCCCGTTTTTATTTACTTTCCGTCTGAAAACGCGGAAAATGTTTATATACTGTGTTCGAACGGTTTGATTCTCTGATCTGTTGTTGCGGAAACGACAACATTGTAAAGTCCTCCGAGGCGACTGCTGTTGTGATTTAGGGCTAAACAATAGTGCATTGAATTGGATTGACTTCCAAAGAATGCATGTATTAAGTTAAGACACCCCAGATTTAAAGTGCGATTGCATATGTTGTTGCTCTGAGAGAAAAGCTAAAACTGCCTGTAGTGTCTCCTTTTAAATAAACTCTAATCCCTCATACTTCACATCCCCAATCTTCATCTCAGGCATCAGCACATGACCGTCCAGTGTGAACGCCATCATATATGTGGCTATTTTCTCACCATCCTCCTCTGATTTTAGAGCCAAGATGATCTTATCCTGTGTGCCTGGGACAAATTTAAAAGAGGAAAAGCCATGGGTTGGGTTGAGTGGACCCGCGTGACTCTGTCTTACATAGCTAAAGTCTGCGGGGCACGACAGAAGCAGATTCGTGGCTCTCCGCTCATCTGCTGTTTCATCGTAGCGCTCGTGACTGGCCCGGCGAGGCAGGAAGAACCATCGCTGTAGGCTCTTGCTCCACACGGCAGATTCGTGGATAAGATAACCTATTTAAAAACAACAGAGTGTAAGATTTAGCCTCAACTACAGCTGCTACACATCCACATGTCTGTAGCACAACCTGGTGGTCGGATTCCAGCAGCGTTTCGAAGGCTGTTGTAATTTGGCACCCAGTTTTCATGATGGACGTCGCCGTGGCAGCCGACGACTTTCACCCACTCGGGGTTGTTGTTGAGCACCTCTCCCGAAGTCGTCGTCCACTCCTTTCCCAGGCCGCCCACGTAAAGGTGCTCGTCCTTCACCGCAAGCCACTCTGCCTTGAAGCCTGTGTGCAAAGTAATAGGAAATATATGAATCTAATCTAAATAGAATATTGTGCCTATTGTGTGTAATATTGAGTCATATGGAGACTAGGGCTGTCAAAAGTATCGAAAATTGGATATTAAGATCAAGATTAAGAGATGCTTTATTCGTCCCACAGTGAGGAAATTTCAGTGTTGCATCACCAGATACAGAACAGTAGGAATGAGGGGCACACAGCACAAGATAAATGAACAATAACTCTTTACTAAATAAAATAAAATAAAAAATCTCTAACTCCAGCATGAACAAGAAACAGGTATAAAATATCTATCTTTAGCATAATGAGTACAACAAATTCTGACTTTAGCATAATAAAGAGGTAGAAAACCTCAACTACTAGGTCCATGTTGTGTAAAAATAATCACATTAGCAGAACATTCTGTATTGTGAGTTTTTTCTGTGGACTTTATCTATTTCAGAACTAGTAGATGTCATTGTGGTACCATCAAAAAGCAAGTTAAAGCATGTTACTAAAACATTACCGCTTATTATCCAAAACATTTGCATTTCTAAATCATCACCGTGGTGTACCAATTTATATGGAGTGTTTGCGTTAGTATCAAATGGTTTGAAATTGTGTCGTGACAACACCTTTTGAAACTGTGCCATCTCCGTCGGGCAGAATGACCCAGGGCACAGCACGGCTCCCCTCGATCCTGAAGACCACCCCAGTGCGGTCGTCCACACTGTATAAATGTCCATTGAACACGACCAGCTCGGACAACTCCATGCCTGAACAAAGCAATAAATTAACAAAGGCTCATACAGTGTCTTTGCTGCTATGGAATTAATAAACTCTTATCACTATGTATTGAAGCTGTAAAAATGCAGCTTTTTGTTCGTAACTGGCTGTACTAAAAACTTGTAGATACGTTAATAAATAGTTGTGCTTGGAGGTTTACACACCCAGCCGGAGATCTCATTGTTTCCATAATATTTACAAGGACACCCCCCTCCCCTACGGTCTTTGTAAGTGCTTGTGTGGAACCATGCATTGTCAATGTGAAATAAACGTGTTTTCCTTTTTCAAGTTATTACATAATTGAACCGCCTCTCGTGCAGTTCATGCAAAGCAGTTTTTTGAACAAGAATGCTGCAGCTTTTCCCATCAAGGGGGAGTACACAATTGAGAACTGAGGGAAATACTCTTCTAAACAGATACATATATTTTATGTTAATTTGAACACTGAGAACACTCACACGACCACTAACTACCATAAAACATGTGCTTGGGTCAGAAATATGGCCAAACAATTTGTGTGTGCACTTCCAAGCACAGCTGTACCTCTTGCGGTAATCATAAATAAACCATTTACCTCTTCCTTTCTCGGACAGATGACTCTCCAGTGTAACTACGTCCGTGTCCCACTCCACCTGCAGCTTGTCCCAGTTGTCTGAGAGTGTGAGGTGCCCTCTTTTCATGTAACTGAACCAAGTTTGAGCTTTTGAGCTTCTGGATGCTGTGTCCAAGTCTGCAATCAATCCAATCCGGTACCGAACGCCGCCCTCAGTCCTCTGCGGTGGGCTCAGTGGATATGTATCATTATAAACAGTTTGTCGTCTCTGGTGTTGGAAGTGTCCATATGGATCTTGCTCATAAGTCTCAAAAAGTATGCCTTCTTTGTTATGGTAAAGTAATTTGTGAATTCCCTTTTGACTATGTGCAGTTTCTTCAACGGCCTGACAAAAAAATAACATTAAGACCAAAGCTAAAGTGGTAACCGCGGCGACTGTCCGCCACTTTGAATGGAAGAGAGCGGAGGAGGCCATCTGTGCGGCTAAGGCCAGGGGCAGCCTTCTCACGTAGAGCAGGAGAGGAGTTCTAGAACTCTTCTTTTCACTCTGAAGGCCACCCTGCGGGTCGGGGTTTCCTAAAAAAAAGACATAAGCTTTCATTTTTTTAAGGTTTATGAGTAGAATATGACACAAAGACAGAAATAATAATGAATCTTATTTTCAAACATGGTACACTATGTTGCTTAACTCCAGTGCTATTGGGAACATTTTTATATGTGATGAAATAGAAATAAAAACCTGAAGAATTCACTATAAATTGTCAAAACGTCTCATAATTCATTTCATTAATTCTAGTGTTGAAAACTTAAATCAAAAGAAACCCAAACCCACAGTTCAGGACCTTGGTAATAAACAATAAAGCATGAATGCTTGATTATCTTTTCATCATAAAAGATAAGGCATATATTCTGTGAGCTCCTTGTGTGCTCTTACTAATATCCTGTATGTACGCTGCAACACCAACATTTCTTCACAGTAGTCACAGATAAAGGTTCTCTCGTCTCATATTATTGTGCAATGCAAATTGCTTTAAACAAAGCAATCAGTCTGGAGCACACAAGATTTAATCTCAGCACCATTGTGTCCAAAGTCTGGAACCCATTTTTATTCCTTTACACTAGACTTGAGTGTCGAGGGAATCCCTAACATCACTACATTGAAACCCATGTTGTTGTATATTGAAACACTTGTTAAAACACTTGGGTATTCCCAACCGTAACCGTATCTTTCTTTTGTATCTTTTCATCCCGCAAATCCTAGAGTATGCACAGACTTCTAGCACAAAACAAGTTGGCACCAGGCACTTGGAGCACAAACAAAGATCTTTTTGTCTTTTTGTAGGCAGAACAAATCCCCCACTCCCCTCTTCAGCTCAGGCCACACTGTAAACTTTGATGAATTCAATGACTTACCCTTTCTTCGCCTATCTGTAGAATGCTCTGTCACCACATTGTTGCTCTCCATAACTTTATGGATTCCAAAACATTGCTGTGTTCTTGAGTCCCATAAGAATCTCTGATTTCTTTAAAACATGGCACTCCCTTCTCCTTGTTTGTCCTCCTCCTGCAGGCAAAGAAAACAATACATTATCACAATAATCACAGGAAAGGGGATAGGCCTCAGTCATGCATGAGCCATGTTGCATTTTCTAGCTTTTCTTTTGTGAAAATTGTTCTGTATCAATGGGCATTTCGACATTTATGGTGTTCAGTGTTCAGGATGATTACTATGGCCATTAAGACAGTTGCCACAGTGATTATTAAAAATTATACATCAAATATCATAATTTTGAAAGTAGAAATGTCTTAAATTCATAAATACATGTAGTCTGCCACCTCCATCCAACAGTTCCTGTGCTGTCAATCCCAGTGACAACTACTAATTTGTGAAGTGACAGCATTATTACAAGTTTTAACGCCACAGTGAAAGAATATGAGGACCATATGGCAGTAGAAGCGAGTAGTGTGTGCATTAAGTGTGTGCATATGACACAACACATACCGCTCACTGCAGTTACTCAACAGTGAATGGACAGAACATACTGTACAGTTACACTACACACGATCACTTTGAGAATTATGAACTGGTTTTCTGTCATTTCAGGTTATTAGCAGCTAATAGATGTTTGAACGAAGCGGCTAAAGTCAGAGCCAGGAGTTGACACGAAAGGAGAAAACTTTTATCACTGGTGGAGTAGACAAGAGACATGGCAATAACATAACATCGTTAACAAGTTGCATCGATATAAACAGCATTAGCTCATTTCTCTGTGTAATGAATATAAAGTGCAAGAAATGCCTTGGTTTATGGTCGAGGTTCAGAGCTAGAACTCCATCCAGACATAGTTAGCTTATGCTCGCTAGCAACTTTGGTTAGCATTTTCTTGTAAACATTGACTAAACTTTATACGGTTTGAAACGTGAAGAACTTACCTGTTAAATACCACGAACAGGAAGATCCAAGTGTGCATTAGTGATGGAAAAAGGCGAGGTATTTGTTCATTTAGCTTTAGCTGCCTTAGGGATTAGCTCCTCCTCGAAAGCAGGTAAGTCAGTGTATATCCAATTACCTATGCATATTCATGAAGTAGTAACAATATAAAATACAATAAATAACAATAACTAAATCAAAATAATAACAATAATACTAAAGTCATAATAATGATAACAAAACTAAAGTCATAATGATAATAAATTGTACTAAAGTCATAATGATAATAACAAAACTAAAGTTATAATAATGATAATAACAATGTTACTAACGCCATAATGATAATAACAATGTTACTAAAGCCATAATAATGATAATAACAACAATACTAAAGTCATAATATGGATAATACCAATGATACTAAAATCACAATAACAAAAATAATACTACTAATAAGAGTACATTCAGAAAAAAAATATGAATTTATTTTTTAAATATATTTATTGTTATGATTGTCATAAATATGGCACTGTAATTTCAAACTCATGTGTAGGATAGTTTTTCAGCAACATGTGTACTACTATATGTAAACTATGGAACTTTTCCAGTGGATGATACTGACTTGGTACAAACCGTTTGGGTATGCATATTAATATAATTTTCTCAGTAATTTCCCACAGTATGGCATTACACCTATTTCATTCGCCACAGGTAAGGCTGCATAATCCTTACTGTGTGTACAGATCTGCCATAAACATCCAGAGAGAGTTTTTAAAGCCAACCTGTGGAATCAAATAAGCAAAGCAATCAGAAGAGTTTGACATTGCTGACTTAAAGTGAGTGGCAATATTATATAGCCTTACAAAGTGCAAAAAATATATTCACATTCCCTGATAGTCACCAGCCATGTGGCTGGGCTACATTCATTTTGACATAACCCTGAATTATAAACACACAAACTTACATTAGAATAGAATACATCAGGCAATACATTACATTTTCTCTGATAATACAGTAACATTGTTATTCTTTGCTAAATGCTACATGATGTCATTGCAATACACCAACGGTTTTTCACTACAACTTTGACAGAGGCTGTATGACAATCAAAGCTGTACGCACTGACACTGACGTGTCTCTAATGTGTTTTATGAATGTATGAAATATGAACAATTAATTATAATACTGTTAACTGAATTGAGTGTAAGGTTGTTAGGTAAGATGACAGATGTGTGTGTGTGTGTGTGTGTGTGTCACTGTTAGTGAGAGTACATCATTTGACTGTTTTTTAATTGATTGCATGCTGTAATTTATTCACATAACTAGGGACAGCAGATGGAAACTAGCTGTTTAGCTATAATCTGGTGCTGCACATCTGTCTTTTGTGAGCATAAAGTTTCTGTGCATTGTCCCTTCAAATAAAGTATAAAATAGGAAACTGACCAACAGATCTTCAGACACAGTAACAATATTATAATAAGTAAGTCTAATTAAAGACAGCAGAGTACCCGACAGAACCCGTTACATCTCTGTTTGCATACTGTCACTGGTCAGAGGTGTTTGGTGATCGTAGATGGCATCACAACAGCTCAGCTCTTTCCCATCATCTTCAGTAAAAGCTGCAATAAGAAATTAAATGAAATGACATGGTTTACTTTATTTAGATCTTGTTATGTCAACATATTGAGGCTTATTTCAAGCTTGTACCTTGGTCAAGTGGTACTCCCCCTCTACCAGGCGCTCGATGATGTTGAAGTGGTCTGTGTTTGGAACATCCTCCAGCGTCACATTGAGACCTGAAGCCTCCAACATCTACAAGACCCCAGAATGCAGTTAGAATACATGTACACTATGCAGAGAGTAACCTTTTAAAGGCAATAGCTGTCAGTCATTTTGTAATGTTTCCTACTACTTGAATTATGTTTAGATTGTGTTAACAGTACTTTAATTTAGTAAAAATATCACAATTCTGACTATGAGTCAACATAATGACACAATTAAATAGGTTTTTACTTAGTTAAACTACTAACCTCAAACTCTATTATTACAATTTATAAAACATGTCTATAAATGTGTGATACAATATTTTATGTCTTCATAATAATTAAAAATAGGCAAAGGATATAATAATACTTAATAACTAGTGCTTAGCAGGGGCTATTAAGTAAGCTAAAGCCCCATTCACAAAATCAACTGTACAGAAACAATACCTCATATTTCATAAATTACGATTATGAAAAGTTTATCTGGACAGAATGCAAAGAGACACATGCCAGAACAGGAACCGTGTTTTTCAGAGAATATTCTGGAACTAATATTTGTGTGAATGGTCACGTCAGTGTTCTTTCATTCCCTTTGACAACCATTTAATGGAACCTTAGAGCTGGGGTACCTAACTTTTGAACCACTTTTTAAAAATCATGATATAAAGTCAATGTACCGTACAGTGAATAGATCCTTGCTCTCAAAAGTGTTCTATCTGTAGTTTTCATATGCATGTATTTTTGGCTTCATCTACATCACCTTTTTCAAACAGAAAAGTGAAAAGGAGAGGCATCCCTCACTCAGACAAGGATGCAAAAGATACCATATTTTTGCACAAGATGATCAAAATGTTTACTTTAACATGACTCTTTCTGTTAGGACAAACAACATGTGTTCTGGTGGGGTGTTAGTTACCCCAGTTTGAAGTCTAATGTTGTAAATGCAGAGTACAATATAAGCACTAACTCTATAGTATTCCTCCGATTGTTTGCGAAACTCTGGGGAGTCGTGTTCAGCCACAGCTACAACGATGTGACAGGCTGAGGAGGAGGTCTTCAGCTGCTGGACCAGAGTCGTGGGGCTGTTTCTCACTGCCACCTCACTGAAAACAGACATGAAGACACCATGACTTTTCTCCCCTCCCAAGCAAAAGTTATATTAGAGCAACAAAAATTAGCTAAACATCCTATGACAAAATATATGATCATTCACATTAATTGCTTGATCATAAAAGGTTTTCACAAAACACCCATAAGTAGGGAATCTAAAAACTGTCAACTAGCAGAAATCTAATTCCTCGCTCTCAAAATGGTTTGGTTCTATCACCAGTTTCACTCTTTTTTTTACATCTTAAGCCGATTTTTCAGACAGAAAAGTGAAAAAGAGATCACTCTCACTCAGCCAATCAGCTCTCAGCCCAAAGCATCAAAATAGAGATTCCCAAGGCTCGTTCTTATAAATACTTAAAAAATGATGAATGAATACCTGATGTTGAAACCAGCTAGACCAAAGTGTATTTGAAGAGCACACCTACTCTGTCATTTTCAGCGGCTCGTTGACGTAAGTGGACACAATGGGTAGAAGGTCATAGATTCCACTAACGAGGAACGCGCCTGCCAGACAAAATAAACAAACACAATTACTTCAGAAAACAGCTTTTCATTCTTAGACAGTACAGTTCGAAAGTATTTACCTTTTATTTGTGGAGCAATACTATACTGAGACCAGTCAGTGGACAGGACCATTGCAGCCAAATGAGCCCCGGCAGAGTGCCCACAGATGAAAAGACCGCTTTGGGTGAAATTAGAATAATAAATTAAAAAACGGCTGGTATGATTATGTGGAATTAAAATAACATACTGTACTTGATATGGGAGTATTGCTGGACAACAGACACCACACTCTTGCGCACTTGTGAAACGATAAGGTCCATGTTACCTACAACATAGCATGTCTTGGTTCGTATCCACTTCATATTTTTCTACGACATGTATATTTTTGTTTTACCTTTGGGCGCGGTATCATAATCTACTGCCACAACCACCACCCCCTTACTGACAAGTGGAACAGCCATAAACCCAGACTCCTCTTTGCTATTGACAAATAATAACAATCAGCAAAACAAAGAACAAGTCTGCCAACATGAAACGGTATGAACTATAATCTGTACCTGAGAAACTGCCAGTAACCACCATGTATGTAAATGACCAAAGGCAGATCTAAACAAACAGGAAAGATTCATTTACAAACTACAATATGACCACAAGTGTTGTTTATGGAACTAACCAAGAGAGTTAGAATTGGGAATGTACACGTCCAGTCTTTCTCCGTCTCCTTCCCCGTACGGCACATTCAGAAGAGTTTGAGCCAGAGCTCGAGCTTTGTCAGTCCCTGCACATAATCAGAAGAAAGAAACACAGACAATGAGCAATGGACAATTCAATAATTCATAATATATATAAAAAACAGCAACACTGGAAATATCTATCACTAGTTTTCACATGCATGTATTTAATATGCTTTTTCAGATACTGTTCTTTTTGTTTGGGGGTTTCTAATGGGACCAACAGAATGTATTTATACTAAAGAGTTCTGTACCCCAGCTATAATTGAGTTGATGAGATTTAAACTCGACACCCTTTTGCTTAATACGCACTGTTTTCCTGATTCATTATTGGTGGATTATTTTGCTCATTCAATGTGTCAAAGTTTAACTACAATAATGATGCATATATATTTGTATAGCACTTTTGAAAAAACAGTGTATAAAACCCATTGTACATTCAGCATGAATTAAAAAAACAGTCACAATATAAAACATCAAAAAGAAAAACAGGAGGAGTTTATGAATTTATTCGTTATAGAGATCACTATTTCAAATGACTGAATCAATTAAGGCATCTACAGCACAATAACATAAAATAAAAGGTCCCCGTGTGCTATATCTGGATCTAGAGCCAGTGCTTAATATTGTTATGGTCTATTTTCAGTTTGTGAAGCTTTGAAGTGAAGTGACTGACCTTCTTTCAAAGCCTTCACGTGGGCTTCGATCACCTCGTTGGCGGCCATCCTGTGGGACCAGCAGCTGGGGGAAAACTGCAGCTCCAGCTCCTGTAAGAAGAACCATGGACAGAATAAAGACGAGAGAACCCAGAGAGAGAGAGAGAGAGAGAGGGACTGTCATAGAGCCGCCATGATCACAACCCCAGCAAAAACACTGTGCAAGAAACGGCGCCCCCTGCTGTCTGTACTTGTGCACACGCTGACCTAGTTGGATAAGAGACGGAAGAAATATAGAAATAGTATAACAAAGTGTTGGGGGGAAAAAGTTCGGCACCTGATCTCTAATCCAAAAAATACATATTCTGCTGTTTTATATCCCCTCTTATCCCAATATATTCCATATAATCCTCCAATTTTAAAGATATTTGGGGTGGTCACTTTGCATAATGACATACTGTGAGATGTGGAACGTTACAAATATGAAGCACACTATGAGACAATCAACCACTATTTTTTACTTACATCTTTCTTCATCTCGGTCCAATGCATGTTCTTGTTTGTGTTTGGTCAAAAAGACGATAGATAGGTTGCGCTGGACCAATGTTCGTGCGAGTTGGACTTTTGACTGTGCAGCGTGGCTCACGTGCAGTGGGTGGGGTTTGATAGCAGAAATAAACATTGCGTCACATTGTAATTTCGATTTGTTATTATTGCTACTGCGTTATCATATAATAAATCTACTTTGGGCCATGCGGTCATTCGCCCAAGAAATATAATCACAACAGATGTAGCCGCGTAGATCGAGTTTGATTCCTGTGTTCTGATTGGACGCCCCCTCGTTCTTCATTCCTATTGGCTACAGTACTTCCGCAATTGAAACACTCCTCCGTTTGCAGCGAGCGCGCCACATTCAACTTTTCTCTTTCAAACTGGCAACTGCCTCATCAATTCAACAGTAACTATTGCCTTATCGCGATTTTATAGCAGTCTTTTCCATTTACAGCGTCTAAACTTCTGCCAACATGGACTGTATGGATTTCCCGAAGGTTTTTCCCAATTCTCCCAGAAGAGCGCGCGGACAGATACAGGTTTGCCCGTTTTTGTTTTGATTCTGAAATACAACTGTTTATTTGAAAGGTGTACCAACACACCATTTAACATAATAACATTGACTAATATGGATATTCTTGTCATATGAACCAATACGCTTAAATCTAATAACGTTGTCCGCGTCCTTTGTTGTTGCAGGTTATCTTTGGACCCATGTTTTCAGGAAAAAGGTGAGGAATTCCTTGAAAATTGTCTACATTATGCACGCGATTGTACTTGGTTTAACGAGAGAGTAGATATAATTTACCGAAAACAATACTTTTTTTTCATTATTCCGTCAAAATTTCCCGCCAAGCAACGCTGTTTATCCAGCTGTTGGGAGTATGTCACTAGCATCTACTGTACTGTCACTTGTCATGAATGGATACTTTTGTGTTTTGAATGTATATATCTAACTAACCTAACCTTTAAACTTTATTTGCAGCACAGAACTAATGAGAAGAGTGCGTCGCTTCCAGGTTGCACAATACAATTGCCTAGTGGTGAAATATGCCAAAGACACTCGTTACTCGGACATTGGCATGGCCACACATGATAAGTAAGTGTTTATTATTGATTCAATAAGCGTTTTAAATGCAACCATTACTGATTATTTTTTGCATTATAGAAACACTATGGAGGCAGTGCCTGCAAACTGTTTGGAAGATGTACGTCCTCTCGCACTGAAAGCCTGCGTCATTGGAATCGACGAAGGACAATTTGTGAGTATATTGTGGTCCCCCCCCCCATATTGATTAGCAATTTTGAACTATTTATTTTTATTTTTGAAGATCAAAATGTAAACTAGTACAACCAGTTGCAGTTGCTCACAGGCAAGAGCAGAGCAACCACAAATAATTAGGCCCAAGCCCTCAAATGATTTTTGATTCTTAATTTGACCCCCTGTACATGCACAAAAAAAAAAATCGGTTTTGGCAAAGGAAAAATGAGGGTTTTTTTGTTTTTGTATGGAGCAACGCCGTGCCGTACAAAAGTAAATTTAAATTTTTGACATTGACATGAACAACCATGCCCCTTGAAAAACTGGAAGGCCATACATTTGAATTGAAAATGGAAAACATTTAAATTGCACTCATGTCATAAGAAACAACGTTTCACAAATTTTCTTCCGAATTGCTCCTAATCATAAACAGAAATTGCAACTTTAGCGCCCCCTACAGAGTGATCCAAAGTTTAGAATTTTGTGCAACATTTCAAACATGTAAAACAAAAAAGTTTTGACATCCTGATCTAAACTCTTTTTTCACTGTGTTGCCATGACTATGACCAACACTCCCCAATTCGTGTTAATGGGAAAATTGCTAAAATGTGCATCTTTTATCGACCCAGCCTTGGTCTTTTGACCAACAGGGCACCAAAACTTTGATCAGTTAAACGGTGTGTGCGCAGCAGACTCGCAAATTGTTGTTTTTTTATAGACGTGTAAAAATTCCCATATTTTTCAATGGAGGCCCAAACTCAAAGGTGATTTTCATTAAAATTTTACAATATCAGAGTTCCTTCCATCGGAGCTTTATGAAGATAACCTGATGGTGCCACCTCCTTTGCGAGATGCAGCGAGGGCCTTTAGATGCCGCTTGCGACTTTAATGTTAGCTTTGCATTTTTAATTTGCATTTGCTGCCTGTTCCTGCCTCAATTCTTTTTCCTAAACTAATAACCTAAACTCCTTCAGCCACATGATCTGTATTTTGAATCATGGTGATAATTGATTTATATTGTTATCATGATTTATTTTGTGTAACTATGACAACAATAAAAAAAAGAGAGGAAATATTTTTTTCCCGTATTTCACTGTATCAACCTTATTAATCTTCACAAATAATGAACGGTGTTAATAAACAGTAATCAAATATCTCTGTTTTCAAACCATATTAGTGACATGATTGTGACCAAACAAATATCTAATCTATGCATACAGTTGTCTTTATTTTATTCCAGTATCATTTTGAACATAAAATCTCTATTATCACTTCCTTTTCAGTGACATGATAGGAGTCAAACAGAGCAGTCATGGGGGATTAGTTTTTTTTAACAATTCAAGGTTGTGTCTCTTTTGGGACGTTCACGGGTGGCTTCATTTCAGCCTTTTCTGGCTCCAATTCAAATGACATTACAACTAAACAGAAGACTGATTGCTAATAGTTTTCTTCATTTTAGTTTTCAGATACTGTGCAGTTTGCAGAGGAAATGGCTAACTTAGGAAAAATAATAATTGTTGCTGCATTGGATGGAACCTTCCAAAGAAAGGCGAGTATTTTTCACAGTTGCTCCAGAGACAATAGCGGCTCTCTGCACTCTTGGGCATCCAGAAGAGAGCTGTCTCCCTTATGACTTTGCACACGTCTGTCCGTGTAATGGGATTTACAGAGAATGATGGTCTTCTGTGTGAACGCAGGCATTTGGAAATATCCTGAGTCTTGTTCCTTTGGCGGAGAGCGTGGTCAAGCTGCATGCTGTCTGTATGCAGTGTTTCAAAGAAGCTGCCTACACCAAGAGGATTGGAGCCGAGAAGGAGGTAAACACTTAATTACGAACATATTCTTCATTGTATTCTTCAACTCCCACTGACTACTATCGTTGTGTCCTTGGCAAGACACTTAACCTCTGGGAACACCAGCCACAGTGGGGCGGCTGCGGCTGTAAAGTGCCAAACTGCCGTTGTGTCCTTAGGCAAGACACTTCACCCCCATTGCCTAGAATGAGTCTGGTGTGTGTGTGAATGGTTGGTGGTGGTCGGAGGGGCCGATGGCGCATACTGGTTGCCTCGCTTCTGTCAGTGTGCCCCAGGGCAGCTGTGGCTACAGCAGTAGTTTATCACCACCGTGTATGGAGTGAATGAATAATGACACATGTGAAGCGTCTTTGAGTGTCCAGAAAAGCGCTATATAAAACCGATGCATTATTATTATTGTGGATTCTCGCCTCATTTATTGAGCATAAATTGGTGCCAAACTTAAAATATGTATACCAGAGTTCCGGAACCTACAGTATGGCTCAGAAGCCAGATGTGGCGCTTTTGATGATTGTATTTGGCTCTGACAAAGCTAAGTAAGCATTAATAGTAAGAAGTTTTATGTAACAATAAGAATACCTTCTGAGACTTTTATTACTCTAAATGTATAAATCTTTTTTTTTTTAAAATCACACATTCACCGAAAAACAATGTGAATGGCTCCCACCGAAATAAATTTTAAAGTATAAGACTTTTCTTGACCTGTTATTTACGAATCACCTTTAAGTCCTGTGCCATATAAAGTTGACATCTGTAGAAATACATTCTGTATTATGGTTTAGTTGTCAATGTTTCTCGTTTTCACTTTTCTTTTGACTCAATTTCTCATTACACGGTGTAAGCGTCCAGGTTTGAATAGATGACTTCCTCTGTTGCAGGTTGAGGTGATTGGAGGAGCTGATAAGTATCAGGCGGTGTGTAGAAAGTGTTATGGAGGCCTAGTTGACAAGGAGAACAGCGCCCCCTTCAGAGAGGAGACACCACAACAAGCACTTACAGTGAAACTGCTGGAAGCAGGTGTTCCCCGCAAACTTTTCTCTAACCTTCACCTATGAAATGAAGACTTTATGAATTATTTAACATGTTTGTCATTTTATGTGCCAATTGAATCATTTAAATTATTTATTTTTAGATTAAAACATGCATATAATGCCATTGTACTATTGTGTCTTTAACACTGACATTAAAAGCAAACTGGTCTGAAGTGTTATTCAAAACCTTAATGCTTTGATTTAAGAAAAAACTGCTTTGTTTTCTAAAGCTATGCAGCTAAGAAGGTTAATGTTCTATACATATACGTAAAGGTGCTAGGCAATTGTGATCAACAAGCCTAGTTTTAACGAAAACTTAAAATCCACCCGTTTGACATTCAAAGTATGTAGAAGAAAGCAAATGAGCAGTAGGACTTAACTGCTCGACTGTAAAAGTCACTCAGTCAAATGGATCAGGCCCTTTAGGAAGCTGTTATCGGTCCTTCATTCTGAAAGAGCCAGAACAATTAATCAAGATTCTATTCACTCATAAAACTGCTTTACAATCAGCGGTTTAAGCAGGGGTTCAAATGGCTTAAAGTACAATGTGTGTCTTTCTGGCTGCTGGTCACTGGATAGTATACTTTTATGAATGTTCCATAGTATGGCATGTGTTAAAACGATGCTTCTACAGCACAGTGTCATGTCCATATCTTGGGTGCAATGGCACACACTATGAAAAAGCAATTCCATAGTGTACAGATCCAGATGCATTTAACTCAAAAAGGCAATTAGACCAAATAAAAATGGCACTTTATATATGAATATGTACAAAAACACATGTCATACAAAGGTCAGGACAAATAGATCTTTTCTGTTCAGTCAAGCATTTTAATATCACCTTTGCCCTGCAGTGTGTAGACGCGGCTCATTATCTTGTCAGCGCAATAAGATGAAGCTCAAGAAACCAACCAATCACAAAACGACTCACAGATGTCAGGATCCATCCGGAAATTCAAACATTTTATATAAATAGTCTTTTTTTTCATTTTTGTCTGGCCTCTATGTAGCTACATCAGTCCCTTTACCCACTAAAGTGCCTTTGTTAATAGTTGGGCGGTTGATACCCAGAATCCACTGTGGGCTGTATATTTGGCACAAAGGCAGGCTGGTCGCTGGAGTAAGTGGTGGGGTTGTATGGGGTGGGGCTGTAGGATGTAGGGGAGTATGTCGGGGGGTAGGGGGTGTGATGATCTGGGGGGGCATCAGTCTGGAGGTTCACATCCAGCAGCCCACGTCGATACCGGACCAGCACAAAGTACGTGAGGATGCCCTAGAATGGAACAAAGAGATTAGGGTTTGTTTTGGTGGTGGAAATATTCACCGTTTGTAAAAAAAACAAAAATAAAAAGGGGGCGGTGCTTAGGTTTCCGGAAGGTAAAATTCCCAGTTCAAAAGAAACATTTCCACTTATCAAGAGTTTGAAGACACAACAGAGGCTAATGAGCTACCTGCAAACTATAGCGGGGAGTTTCATCAAGAAACTTAAAATTATGCTGAACCTACGTTTTTAATTTAAGTCTTGGGTCATGCTCATTACTCACCAGTAAGCCAATTTAAATTTTGTATACAGGTTTTTGTTGGGATTTGGATGGAGATTTAAACTTTCGGAAGTAAAAATCTCCATCTCTGAGGGTCTGACTAGAGGAAAGAGGCAATTGGGGGTAATTGAGTTTAAGAATCAATGTGTTTTTGTAGAGCCCGAAATCACACCAACGAGCATGTTCATTTATCCAGGACACTTTCTATACAACAACCTGGCTTCCCACAAATGTTTCCCTAGATTTTCTCTCATTCTTTTATTGACTTTAGTTTTCATCTGTCAGTCATAAAGTTTCAGGGCTCCACCTTTTGTCTGTTTTACATCACATTACTGAAATCTCTCTGATGCCTAAAGCACTAATAATGTACTAAAAAACAAAATGATTGGAGAAGATCATATAGTCATCAGAAATAATTGTTCAAACATAGTTATATTTCATCCCCATCTTAGTTTTAAGTTTCATGCAATGTCACCACACAACAATTCGGGCCTCAAACACAAAAGTAGCAGTGTAATGTGAAGTTCTCAACACCATTCTCACGTCTCTGCAGTTCTAATGTATCCTCAAAGGAGCCACTACTGTAATATTGTCACAGAATCCACTTCCAACTATACATTTGGACATTTCAATAAACATAAATAACATTCTAATCAAGTTTCTGGAAAAATATTAGGTTTTTAGTCAACATCAATGAAATAAAACCATTTTCTTCAATAACGATTTGTTTTGGTCCGATAATATACACTTTTTTGGCTGGGGTTCCTGCTTCAACCAAACACAACTGGTTAAATGTGTGTCTAAATAACAACGTACCCATGTGGCAATGGAGAAGAATGAGAAGGCGATAGTGGCTTGTGCGGCCTCCACCGGGATCCCCAGGGTGACGTGAGTCCGGGACCATTCACTGGCCAACAGGCAAAAACATACGAACCACAGGAAGGTCCACAGCCCTGAGCAGATGTCATTAAATCAACAACAAACCACAGATGCAGTATTCAGGTGTCCAGCTAATGACTGATAAGGACCACTCATGGAAAACATGTTCCAATCGTCATAACAACCTCATCATGTGGTCTTTTATCACCAGAAAGATTCTACCATGTATACAGTACACTTAGATGTTTGATAAGGCAAGACTATTCTAAAATATAACCAGATTAAATAATACTGTGTGGGGAATATCTAAAAAATAATTATAAAACAGAGAATATCACAAATATTTGTCTCCTGAGCAGAATGATCTATAAAATATTGCTTTGATTGGAAATGTGTCCAAGAAAATATGCAAAGGCCAATGTTGAAATGAGTTAAAGATTGTCACGAACATTATTCACATTATAGTGTAGAAATATGATGGATATTCAATGTTATGACACTGAATTTAGTATTATACAGTTATGTGTTTTCTACTGTACTCAAGTGTTTATGTTGATTTCAATTTTCATGATTATACAACATTAAAAACTATGTTGTTGATTTTTTTCATAGAGGAAATTTGATACAGTAAGTCTGAAAAAGCAATAACTTACAACAGAGGGAAGAAGGAGGGTGTGGAGAATGGATGCCTCGGGACTTTTAAACATTTGCTTAGTCTAATGAAAAGTTGGTAAATCAACTATTTAGTTAAAACCTCCAAAACAACAGTAGTGATTAAAATAAATAGGTTTCAGCCTTCTCAAATAGAACAGAATATTGCAATTGTGTTTTTCCCCCAATCTAAATCAAATAATACAGTTACATGTGGCAAAACCGCGCAGCCATCCCATCGATCTATGTTCAACTATGATATTAACAACTTGCCAAACACAACAATGGTGATACCTGAGAATGCAAGTTCCCCCATGACGATGTACTTCCTGTCGGGGGCGCTGCTCATGAACGGCAGGTAAATGTCCAACACCGTGAAGATGCCGCAGGCCAAGAAGGCGATGACTCCTACGGCCACCGCGAAGTGACAGGCCGAGTCGTTCTGGTTGAACATGCAGCGCGCCTCGCTCGACGTGGGCGGGTTTATGTAGCCCTCGTTTGTAATGGTCCCAAACACCACCAGAGCGAAGAGCTGCACAACACACACATGGATTCAGAAGGAGCACTGTTGCCATAGTGATTAAGAATTTAATACAAAATCTTTTGAATGAGGGGGGGGTCTTAAAATTTGGATATAATGTTGATATTTTGTCCCCGGTAAGAAAGACTGATTCAAATGTTATTGCCATTTCATTCTTTGATTGTGATTTTAACAATCAAGTTAATGTTGGTTTGGGAAGTGGTGAACTACACCCTTTTAAACTGTTTCTATACAACAGGTTCACACAGGTTTAACCAAAAATAAATCAGTTATCAGGTTGTGGGCCTGAATGGACCAAGGCCTCAAGCTGAAAAAGCCTGAAATCACAGTTTAGTAAAAATTGGGACTGCGCTCATTTAGACTTTACTATTGATATTTTGTTACCAAGGTCATAGATTAAAGGAAATATGATCACACTTTATGCAAGGCAAGTCTATTTATTAAACAACATTTCCTAGACAAGGTATTGCAAAACAACATTCAAATAAAACAAGTAAAAGCATAATCCCAGTACATTTCCTTTTTTTTTTTCCATCTTTCAGTTCTATGCACGGATCAACAGAAGTGTTTTCATCTTGTATAATGCATATAACCGTATCATTAAGCATTTTGGCTTTACTTTACAAGACAGACTATATAACTGTACGTAATCAGGTTTTATGTCACCATTATATACATCCACGACCAGTCCCTGGACACTACATCCCAGAATGTGCTGTAGTCATACCTATTTATAATTATGTTATGCTACGTTGTTATGGAACAGAATGTGTAGACAAGGACACGCACATCCTGAACTTATACCTTTGCGTTGGGTCTAAACATTTAATACTTTAAAAGAAGAAAATTGATCCACAGTACACTGCTGGAAGCTCCCAAACCTTTACTCAACCACACCGTCACACAGTAGCATTTTAGGACACGCTCTTCTTCGGACAGATTGAACCTGTCATGGAAGCAGCACTAATGTGTGTGGCAAGTGTCCTAATATGTGGTGGTGGCCGGGGGCGGCTGGGGGCAGCGTCTCGTGCTCCTGTTCCCATGTGACCCGAGTGAAACCACCATGTGACCCACCAGCTCCGAGGAGAGAGGAGGACTGTTCCCGTGGAGAACCATGGACAGTTTGTGGACTATGGTTTCGACAGGAGACAGACATATGCAGGTATAATATGGCTGCTGAAACAGGAATCTAAAAATAGCGTATTCATTCATTTAGCAACAAAGGGGTTAAAAATTAGTTTGGCCAAATTGGTTTCCTGAACACAAACTTCAATCAAAGAATTAATCAATCTGGCAAAATGTTTACCAATGTTCTAAAATAGCCAAATTAAACTTATTTTTGTAAAGTTCAGATTTTGTAGTATTTTTGAATAGATGTTTGATATTTGAATGGTAAAAAACAGTAATTGGATCCTCCCATTTTCATTCAATGACCCTAAATATTTTTTGCGACTGAGCTTTTGTTCAGACACAGACCCAACAGTACAGGATGTCTTTGTTTACACTCAATGTTTTTAATTCTCTACCGTTCTATTTACATATAGCAAACCGTTTTGGAACAGATGGCTCCTCCTGGATATAAACAGTCAAACAAAACTGGACTAATATCTGGCACAATAGAACTTCAAGCAACACTTATGCAGCCAGCCCCATTCACACATACCTCACAATTTAGATTTACAATTAAAATATAAATAAATATAACAACTGATCTAATCCCATTCTCTAACTGATGATGTTTGGAGCTGATGAGACAAACCAAATCATTGCTTGCTTTGTCATTGCACTGTGTATGGTGTCATTGTTTGAGGCTGTCGTGCTCATCCTGACAGAAACAACCCGTGAATCTCCAGACTTCCCTAAATGCCCTGAATATTTGAGTTTGCTGACCATTACAGAAGTGAAAGGACAATAATATCCTTATGCCAACACAGACTCCGCAGAAGTGGGAGATACAAGGAAAATTGAAATTACAATCAAATATAAACCATTGAAAGACTGCAATAAGAGCTGCTTGAATACAAGAAAATGGGATCTTTCAAGCCTTTTAATATTCATAATAAAAACGTATAAAGCACTTTTTGGGACACCCAAAGATGCTTTTGAACAAATTATGTAACAACAATGACTAATAAATGTTGTGCTTAATTTTACAACTGGTTAACAATATGGGTTGAATTTGTGAAGAATATTGTGAGAGTTCCAACAGCACATGAATTCTACTGATTATCCTGATTAAGACTTTTATAATACGTATTGGGGGAAACAAATTTAAAAAAATTAAATCGAAAATCGATTTAAAATAGAAAACGTCCAAAGCAGGACATAAAATCAACCAGCCCTAGTTGAACATAATCTTGAATATTGGATTTATATCCAAGTGTTTGTACTTGGCCTTGCACCACAATACATCCGTGACATTGTAGAGCCACATGAACCAACTTGGACTCGGGGACGGGCCTCCTACTGGTGCCCGGAATCAGGACTAAACATAAGGAGCAGCATTTCAGATTCAAGCAGCTAAAATCTGGAACAGTCTTCTTGAAAATGTGACACAGGCTTCTTCATTAACGATGTTCAAATCCAGGTTAAATACGGTTCTGTTTAGCCGTGCACACAACTGGATTGTATCTTCACTGTTTTAAAACGTATGGCTTTTATTTTTTTTATTTTAAAACCTTGTATGATGTGTTTGTTTTGTTTTCTTAAGAGTATAAACTGTGCTGTACAAATAACCCTGCCTTGCCTTACTTCTCTAGAGACTTGTGGAAACATGGTCTGAATAGTTATTAGTGGTGTCAGGAATATATCTGAATATACTGTGTCAGATGTGATTGTCTTCTGGCTACAAATAAAAACTAAACTAACCTGAGGAATATTAATGTTGTGTTTTCTTGAGATGACAGCATAAACCCAGTAAATAGGAGGCTCTCAGCTGTGCCTGTGTATTTTAGTTTGGGATCAGCAACACGTTTACAGAGGCTAAATACGCGCGCAGGGAAAGCTGGATCATCTTACCTACTCCACACTGTTTACCAGACACACCGCACATGGAGCTCCCCAAACAGAGCGACAGGAACCCAAATTTCAAACCACAACAAATGTTAATATGTATAATATCCACGTTACTAGTTTTTTCACACGCAGGTATTTTTGGCCTTTGTCACAAATTAAGATCAGCTTTTCCAGACAGAAAAGTGAAAGAGCGGAGCACCTTCACTGAACCAATCAGCGCAAAGCAACTCTATGCAAAATATACGTTTAGTAATAGATGAATCATGTTGTGGTCTGATTTGTTCATTTTACTTTGACCAGACGGTTGAGACATTAATACACGTCATCATAAGATGCAGGCGTTTTGATTTCTTATTTTGTTGACATATCAAATTTAATGTTGTTCTCCAAGTAGTGGTGAAGGCGTGAGACAAGCTGGGAGGGTTATTTCAAGACATAACAAAAACATATTAGCTAATTACCAAAAAATTGACACAAACAATAAATGACACAAAATATGCATCAAGTTTTGAGTCCTTTAAGTGGGATTCAGTAGCGGGAGTTATATTTGGGATTCCTGGATTAAAAGTTTGTGAACAACATCCAAAAAAGTGTAATTAAATAGGAAATGTGTTAAAACAAGAACACTAGGGAAAAACTAATGCTTTCAAATGATCCAGATCTGGAACCATGATGATTACTCAAGTTGTTGTCAAATAAAAATACAAATCTGAAGTTGAAATGTGAAATTCTGGGTTAAAACGTGAATGTAATTTTGGAATCTGTCTTTTCACAGACCCTAGCCTTGGCCCTGAATACAAAGTGTCCGCAGTTGTCCAGGCTTCAGGTGTATCAAGTTACCTTTGTGTCAGAGGCTCATTTTGGCTTCACAGATCACGCCCCTTCACAAAACCTTAAGATTAGCCTAGTAACAGGTCACTTTAGAATAAGTTTACATAATAAGTCTACATAATTCTGTGGTGAGTATCTGAGTGTCTCATACCTGATATTGACTTTCATTTTGTGGAAGCCACCCCAGTCACATGGCCAAATAGTTTGTTTTTTTCTTTTAAAGAAAAAAACAAAAAGGGGAAAAGCAAGTCTATGTGTGTATTGTCAAAGTCCAGGCAGGCCTAATACTTCTTACAGCTTCCAGTTGATAATAAGGTGCCACCCTTTTAAGTTGATTATTTACTAAATCTTGAGCAACTTTGAAAGGAAAGAGAAATACTAAGAACTGTTAAGTCCTCTGAGATGACTTCTGTTGTGACCTAGGGCTATACAAGAATAAATTGTATTGTATTGTATTGTACTCAGGGCTCCTGCTACACCAGTGCACAGATAAGCTTACCGGGTCATAGTAATTGCTTTTAATAAAGTAAATAGACCATCTGTGCGTGTGACAAAGCAGCAGTGTTGACCTGTCACTGTCACCAGCTGCTGCAACATGACGCCCCGCGGAGACATGCGGACAGATAGTAGCCACTTGTTCTCAGTGGACACTACAGTGGACACTACAGTGGACACTACAGTGGACACTACAGTGGACACTACAGTGGACACTACAGTGGACACAGGCTCTGCAGATGCCTGAGCAGAGACTTTACCCACGTGTATAACTGGACATAACGTGTGTCCTGGAGGCGCACCTGTTCCTGCACAGGCTGTGCATGAACTCCCTGCTCCCGCACTCACCAGGCTGAGGAGCCGCACGATGGTCTGCGGCTCTCGGACAAACTTGTAGAAGTCGAAGCCTCCTCCTGCGAATGGCGCTCCGTAAACACTTGCGTGGCCTTTCTCCTCCATGTTTGATTCCAGAACAAGGCGCGATCCGAGGCTAAACTCTGGCTAAACTCCGGCTAAACTCCAGCCTCTGCTCCCGCTCCTCTCGCTGCTGTAGTTGCTCTGAGGCGGTTCTGTGGCAGCTCTGAGCTGGAGGCGTCTGGCGCGAGGCCAGGCGCGTGCACGCTCTGGTCCTGTGCGCGCGGCCTGGGGGTGGGTCAGAGGTGCTTCACGGGACATGATGGAAATATGAAAGTTATGCCGGTTGCATATTACTTCTGTTAACGTAAGGATCAGTTGGAGAGAGGTCTGATAAAAGCATTTTCTCAATTGTGAAAGACTATGTTTCTTTCTAATCACATTTGTATTTATTTTTATTTACGTTCTTTGGATGCATAATGTCATCAATAAGAAAATCACACACATGCAAAACGGTTCATTAGTTTTAAAATAGATGTGCACAAAGATCCTGTTTGTGGTTTCAACAGAGCGGTGCCTCAAGGCAGCAGAACTGGTTGTTCCTCCTCTTGCTCCAACACATTTGTCTTTGTTTTTAACCAGGTCCAATCCTCCATTGACACCACCGACGCCTGTAAACAGACGAAATGTTCAGAATGTGTAGCGCCTTAGCTTTTATAATAATATAATAATAATCTTTATTTGTATAGCACTTTTAAAAACAATGTTTACAAAGCGCTGCACAGTCAGCATAATAAACAATAATAACATAATGCAAAGTCAAAATAATTAGATACATCAGATACAAAGCAGACATTAAAATACAGCATGTGAAGATTAAAACTAGCAGTTAAAAGCTGTTTTATAAAAGTGGGTTTTTAGAAGTGATTTTAAAGAGGATACTGAAGGTGCTAGCCTTATCTCCTCGGGCAGGTTCGTTCCAAAGCCCGGACAGAGAAGGCTCGGTCACCTTTTTGTTAAACTCAAGCTGGAGTCAAGACAACAACACCGTCTGTCTCACTGCTATTTTAATGTGTACCATTAGAGGGCGCCAAGAATGTAATACATTTGCTGCTTTGACCTTCGACCCCATAACACAATATTACAACAGTTTTGGTAATTTTCTAGATTTCTCACCTGGTCAAATTGATCCATTGTAGACTCCTTCATATCTCCAGTATCCTCGGTGTACTCAGAATACTCCTATACCAAAAATATATGAATCAATGATCGGGTAAGTATTCATCTCAAACGTACTTTTCATACAGAATAACAAACCGCATACAATATTTCCACATCATATGTATATACAACACAACTTACCAGATTATCTTCATAAAGCATGTTCTTCATCTTAACCCCAACTCTGCAGAAAGATACAAAAGATACAACCCAATGGATGGCACTTTCGAAAACAAAAATCTATTCAGAAAATGAATGAAAATAAATAATCTTACACTGGCTTGACGTCATAGGTCCTTGGTCCTATAAAAAGAATACCAAATAAATAGCTAAGTTGTGCCCAAAAGAGGAAAGGGACAGATTCAAAGTTGCAAACATCTTACTGTATACAAAGCCGATTGTGCAGCAGATGCAGACCATGCCGATAATACAAGCAAAACAACCAAAGACCACAGCGACCACCACATCCGGAATACGATTTACCACTGTTAAAACAAATAAAGTCAATAGAAAGAGCACAAATCAGCGTCAAACTTAGTAGATTATGAAGTAACACTTTCAAACCACACAAAATAGAACTATAATAAAACACATGTATCTAGTTCCCCCTTAAAAACAGTTCTACCACTAGTTTTCACATGGGTGTATTTCAGTTCAGCTTTATCAGAAGACCACCCTCCCTCTGCTAATCCACTCTCAGCCCAAAGCTTCAAATTGTGACTCACAGGGATCTTTCACACGCATGCAAAAGATAACACGTATTCTAATAAAACCAATCCAGCATATCGTTGTCTGATTTGTTCATTCCATTGTACTTTTAAGAGATTCTGTTTATTTGGTCAAACAGCTTGGATTATACATAGGGACCATCCATGAATACTCTCAATCATTGCAGATAAGGCACTGCTCTTATTAAAACATGGATTGAACATGGTCTTGTCTTTGTATTGATTTTACTTCTTACCTGTGTATTTTAGTCTTGTATGGTTTAACTTCATTTTAATACATATTTATCAACTTGTTTTTTTGGGGGGAGGTAAAATGTACTATATTTACTCACTGCATCAAAACAGCCTCATTTTTCAGAAATCTTTCCCCACTCTTCACTCCAATTTGCTGTTTGTTACATAAATTATGAACTCAGTACTAAGTGAGAAACGACTTAAATTAGAATAAATGACTGTTTCCAAGTAATTTGAAGTATCATATGTAAGTTCCCCACTGTGGGACTAATAAAGGCATTCATAAGCTCTTTAGCCATGTACATTGTATTTCCCTGTAGCCACATGTTACCTTCTTTATCAAGGTATTTTCCTCGGCTGCGAACAGCAGTTGTGTTGTCGTATTGGTCGCACACTTTGCAGTGGTATGTCCCTACACTGCTCCGGCCCACTGCCAGTAACAGGGTGGACCTTTGTGGGGGGTCGTCCACCACTTTATAGAAGCTCGGCCCCTGGATGTGTGGGAGCAGTGTTTTGTTGAGGAACCACTCAAACTTTACATGGGATCCCTTTGACGGCCGGCAGTAAATCGTCACTCCCACCACTGCATAGTTTGACCCAGTGCTGTAGTCAAATTGTAGAGTGACTGGGCCTTCGACTGGCACTAAAAACATGTGAATAAAAAAATAAATGCATAATAATCTTAGACTTTAATATTGATTAACACTTTGACACTCAAATATGCTACTCATGGCATTATTCATTCACTCCGTACACAATGGTGGTGAGTTGTACCCTCTGCTGCCCTGGGGTAGACAGCCAAAAGCTACACTAATAACCTGACCCATCGGCCCCTCTGACCCGTGACCACCAACAACCATCCCCACAAGCACACCAGACTACACACTAGACAATGTGGGAAAAGTGTCTTGATTAAGGACGCATCAGTTTGTGACTTTAAAGCTGCCCAACTGTGGCACCTGATCTTCCCAGAGGTCTCCCATCACAGTACGGCCCTGCCCTGCATAGCCTCTGAAGTCTGACAGGACCGGGCGTTCTCATGCACATGGAAATTGATGAAGATTATGGATCAATTCTGGTGGAATATATCATCAGTGAAAGCGGCAACTCCACCTTGTGACCTGTCCTTCTCCACCCAGCGGCTACACCACCTCTGCTGCTGTGACCTGAAGGGCTGTTGCTGATTATTACTATTGTATCTTTCTATCCCAGGTGTTTTTATCTTATTTTATTTTTCGAATCTGTGAACCAGTTTTTCTCTGTGTTCTTAATAAAGAATGAATTGAATTGAATTATCTATCTATCTATCTATCTAAACAGGGAAATGACTGCCTGTGACAAAGAGTAATATTTCTTGATGATTTTTGTGCAAAAGAAGTTGGAAAAAACAATGCACGAGTTCCATATTTGTTTAGTTGACTGTCCTATAATAATACTTAATCATGGGAATGTTATATGAAACGTTTCACTTAAGATATGGTTCAAAACTTTTTGACCAATGGTGTTGCAATAATGTCCAACTAAACCAACCTATGTATTAGATATGTCTAATTAATTATATACGCTTTAAAAGTGAAACATACCGACTTCTAATGGGATCCAGGGGCTGTGTGCGCTCTGGTCTCCATTGTCCGCTCTGCATTGGAGCCATCCCAGGTGCTTCCTCAAAACTATGGGGACTTTGATCGTTGCTTGTCGGTCCTGCACTGTCACGTTACCCATCAATTCATCCATATTGTAAAGAGTAAACATGATCGGAGGAGTCCCTCTGAGAGAACTACACGACACCAACGCAGAGTAATTCTGGTTCTCTTTCAGGACAGTGAAGGAGATGTTTGGAGCGGACACAATATCTAAAGATGATAAGATTTAGAGAAGGTAAAATGGTGACTCAAGCATTACACAGTTTAATGTGGTTTACCTATGATTGTGATGTTAACTGTGGATGGATTTGAACTGAAGATGGTATCGTTGTAAGAGTTTTGAGCAATACACATGTAAGAACCGCTGTCTCTCGAGGTCGTTCTGGAAAGATATGATATAATTATAGATGAGAATAACGTCTTCAGCTTCACTGCCAATAAATAAAGTTGGCACTGGCAGCAGCTTTAAGTCAATGTCAGTGTGGAGAGATCAAGAAATGATTAGACCCGCCCATTCTCACCCCCACTGCTTCCTGATTGGACCAAATAAAACCTAATTCTTGACAAGGCCTTTTTATTCTTTACAGGTGCTGGTTATGCCATGAAGAAGGATTGCACTAAAGTGGGACAGCACTAAATGTTTTAATACAACATGGTCATATGGAAAAACAATGCATCATTTATTTACAAAGTGATTCATGATTGAAGTTTGAGACATCAACTTGGAGAAATGTTAAAATGGGGCTCCGGATTCTCAAACAGCAAAAGTTGAAACTCTTTATACCAATCCAAATAGTTTGCTCTCAAAGTTTATTTTTGCTTTTTAGAAAAGTAGAGACACCCACACTCACTCAGCAATCAGCTCTCTGCTCAAAATGTCACATACTAATAATCACAATAATGCATTGGTTTTATACAGCGCTTTTCAAAAAAGTAGCTCACCTGATGATTCTGAGACGATTCTCATAAACCTTTCGGTGTTGCGTTTCTGTGATATCGTGCTCGTCGAGAAACCAATAGTAGGTCACATAACTTCCCTTATCCAGTTCACATTGTAGCTCCAACGTCCGGCCTTCAAAAAACTCCGTCTGTCCTGAACTGACCACAATATGCGCCTGTTTCACCGGCTCTGAACAAAGACACGCAAAGATCTCACTTTTTACAGGTTGAATTTTATCTTCAGAGCACAATACATACCTTTTAATATCATGCACACACTGATAATTAAAAAAGTTGGACACAAACATGAAATTTACCAAACTATTTGAATTAAGTCTAAAGTAGTCATTTCTTTACAGTACAAGTTTTAATGGCCTATAATTCTTTACGTTTTTTTTTTTTAAACTAACAATAATCTGATTCCTATTTGTGAAATTCATTCTTTCTAAGTAACTTTTTTAGTTGACAAATTGTATTTTAAGTGATACATCAACATTCATCCCATGAAGACTAAAATCTAGTATATATATATATATATATATATATATATATATATATATATATATATATATATATATATATATATATATATATATATATATATATATATATATATATATATATATATATATATATGTATAAAGCAGAAAAACTCACCCACGACGCGGAGGTGGTGGTGGAAGCTTGTTGTTGGCTGGATGGACGTGTTGTTCTGAGCACGCGCCACACACTCCAGGTTTCCATCATGAAACGTTTTAATCACAACGGGGAAAACTCCTTTCTCTCCATTCAGCGACGTGGACTCAGCCAGCGGCTTACTGTACACACCCTCCCTGATCATAATACAGAAGAACTCATGAACAATTCATGGGAACATCAGCTGAACACATGTGGCAGATTGTTAGATTTGTCACATTTCATTACACATACAGTATACTGTAATTGCAATGAAACTGCTTTAACTTTTGTAACGTCCTGAAAAGATTGTCTTTATTAATAGATGAAAACAAAATGTCACTCACTTGAACAGCTGCAGGAGGATAGTCACATTGTTTGGATGCTCTAAAAGTTCACAGTAAAACTCCACTGCTCTCTTCACAAGTGCAACAGAAGGTCCAAACAGCACCGGTCGTCCCAGCACCGGAAGATCTGCAAAAAATCATCACAAAAAATTAGTTTTAAGTCTGTAATTATGTTCATTCATACATTCTGTGACACCTACTTCTGTCTTCATGAGCGGAGCCCAAACCTTAAACACAAAGTTGTAAAATGTTATGAAATATTAATACAAACTACTCAAGGAGAACGGTTGCTTACCCACAAATGCTGCCAAGAAGAGATGAAGGATCATGTTCAATACAATAAAAAATATGGAACTTTGCATAAACTGTGAAGAAGTAAAGTCGACCTGAACAGAAAAACAGTGGTGCTGAGTGGGACATGTGTGAGGGACTGATAGTGGAACCACCCTTTTTATTGTTACCGTCTCTCTTCACATACAATTTAAAAAAATAAAACAAGACCTGTAAGTATACAGACTTCCAGTTTTCCTGTTTATTGGTTTATGTTGTGTACATTCATTAGAAATAGATTGATACATCTACTGTAAATCCAAATATAAGCATTTAGGCAAGACAAGGTAGTTACCACAGAACCTACATCATATTCAAACTTTTGATACTCATTTAATTCAATTCAACTCAAATCATTTTTGTATAGCCCTAAATCTCCACAGTAGTTATCTGGGAAGACTTTACAAAACCGTTGACTTCACCAACAAAGATCAGAGAAGAATCAAGATTCAAGAATCTATTTGCCATTTGCAGTAAAAGACAAACAGACAACCGTGCACCAGGAGAGCACAGACCAGAGTTCTTGCCACGGCGCCATTTTTTCAGAACTAGTTTGATTCCTATTATTGCCATTGATAGATGCCATACTTGCATGCAAAAGCCAGATCCTGTTAGACCCCTGAAACTGTGCAGGGCAGGGCCTGGTTAGAACTGAGATGGGAGACCTTTAACATCAGGTGCCACAGTGGGGCCAAACTGTTGTGGTGTTCTTCGGCAAGACATGTCTTCATTCAAAATGCGCAGAATGAGTCTGTGTGAATAGTAGATAGTCGTTTTTGTTTTAAAAAATGTTTTGTTTGTTTTATTGTTTTTAGTTTTTTTTTTAATCAGAAACTAGTATTTTATTGTTTTTTATTATTATTACATTTGTATTGTTTTTACTTCTTTTTTTTAACATAAGTCTCGCAATCTTGCACATTTAAATGTGTTGATTGTATCTCGGTGGAAACTTGTTTTATAAATTGTGCTATATAAATGAAGTGGATTGGATTGGAGGGGCCGATGGCATATACTGGTTGCCTGGCTTGTCAGTGTGCCCCAGGGCAGCTGTGGCTACAGTAGTAGTTTATCACCACTGTGTATAGAGTGAAAGAATAATGAAATGTGAAGCGTCTTTGAGTGTCCAGAAAAGCGCTAAATAAAACCATTGCATTATTATTATTACACCCTGGAGGAATCTTTGCAGGAAATCTATAGAGATGATGATCATGAGTCTAGACCCTGGTGGTGGAAGCTGAAGTGATGATCCAAAAATAAGGAGAAAATTCAGAGGAGTTTTGGCACAAGCTGAAAACTGAAAACGCAGCATAGCAGTGATAGGCAGCACAGGAGTGATGTGCAGCTGAAGTTGGTTGTTGATTAAAGCTGGAGTTCCATATTTGGAAATTACAAACAAAAAACAACAATCCAACAAAAAGTTGTTCCTATAGCTCTCATTTAGCCTCAATCAGTAGAAGATAAAATGTCCAAAACGCTTTTAATAAACATTTAACCTCTGATTAAAGGACATTGTGCACATGTAGAACTTGTCAATATGTATTATTTATTATAAAACATTTAAAAAAAAGTTCATAAGAAATATATGAAAAATATATAAAACACTTTCTCTTCAGTGATGGGTTTTCTCAGACGTCTGTCATCTGCAACAACAACAAAAGAAAAACTTTCTGAATAATTGTTCTGCAATTAATAAACTACAATTGGGATCAAGAGTCCGTCAAAAACATGTGTTTAGTATCATGTGCAAGAGGTAGAAAGTAAAAATAACTGTTTAACACCAATGGTTCAGAAAAAATAAAACATCTTTAATTACCCAAAAAATATTATTGGTATTTTATTTAGGAATGATAAATAAAAATAATGTACAATGAGGCCTGGGTCTAACATTAAGGTGTTCATTTGGCCAATCCTCTCCTGACGTGTTTCTTTGGGGAGCATATTCAAGTAAAAAAATGTGTTCTATATACTTGAGGGACATACTGTACCATTGGAAATAAATTTAGTTTTTGATTTTCTAGGCAAGGCAAGTTTATTTGTATAGCACAATTGCAACTCAATTGTTGTTCAGCAACTCAAAGTGCTGAACAAAACAAGATAGAGACGGTCACACAGGGCATTACAATGATTACAGTAATATTAAAAAAGAGTGATGAAAAAATCCCTCATATGCTCAGCTAAAAATAAATGTTATTAACGGGATGTAAATTTTCAACTTGAATTTTGTTTAATAATGTTTGTATTTACCTGAGTGTGGGTATTTTCCCTCACAGATCTTGAAATGGATGGCCGTGCAGACAAAGCACGTTCAAAGAAACTGCAATTCAAAAAACAAATTTTCAGGCATTTTACTTGTACATAACTATCCATCCATCCATTTTCTTCCCCTTAATCTATTTCTGGGTCGGGGGGGTGGCAGTCAGAACTGCACCCAGTCACAGAGCACCAGCCCCTCAGTACTAGCCTGGCCTTTGCCATCCGTAAACTCCGGTCAAATCTTTTTTTCCCGGGATGTACGAAACAAGTACGAGGGTATGGTAAAACCAGGCTACCTCAGTACATAACTACATATAGAATATTATGGTGCATAAAAACCTCCTCCTCCTTCGGACCTCTGTGTCTGAGAAACAAAAACATGGCAGATTATAGAAATATCTTTAACAGGGGTGACATTTAGAAGATCAATCTCTTTTCACCTCGTCTTTTATCAATCATCTTGGAAACACAGGCCACAGCCACGACTAATGCCAGAAGAACAAAGCAGCAAAAAACAATGGAAATGGACTCTATAATGGGGGTCGAGACATCTGCAAATATGAAGGAAAGGTTAGATGTATTTTGGGGATGTTGCTATATATAGAATTTACTTAGAATTTACTTAGAGCAGTGGTGGGTGGAGCTGGCAGTGGTTTGGGGGTGAAGCTCAATGATCCTGTGGAAGATAACACAGTAAACATTTGGCCAAAGGCATAAACTTTAAGCTTTCCATTTGAAAAGAGTGCCTTCGACCCAGGGCCTCTTTAGGTACCCATAGAACCCTGGTCTTATGCCGGATTGTGGCACCCACCCCACCCTCTGCGCCAACCCTAACCCTAAGAAAAGTAATAAATAAATGTAATCTTGCAAAGTGCGTAACATAATCTCAACTTAAACACCCCTACTTCAAAGATATGGCAGAAATAATCAAATCAGCATTGAAATGATACAAACACCAAAATATAGAAAAAGTCCACAGCACTTTTTAAAACAACTATAATATATAATAAGTATAGAATAGTTTTAGTTATAAGCAAATACAAAAACAGTGACCTTTTTCAGTCAACTTGAAATTAAATATCAAAATAATTGATGATATCTGTCAGATGTTCTCCTGCTGGAACACATGGGAGCGCATATGGTTTGTGTGTCGCAATGTTAAGTGTTTGAATTAACAAGTTGAATTAACACGATTCACATAAAACAATCAAGAAATCAATTAAACCTTTGATTTGCACCAATACGTCGTCACTTTCTGCCCAGGTACTGTTGTCATCATAGCTGTCTCTTGCTCTGCACCGGTAATATCCAAAAACATCGGGTCCAAGTTTGGCTAAAATGAGCTTTCGTCCTCTGTCCGTGAAGACGAAGGGTGGGGCGAGGTGAGGGATGTGGAATTCTGTGGGTTTGACTGTGAGAACAGAGCTGTTATGGAGCCATTCAACAATGGGGAAAGTTCCCTGGTTTATCTGGCAACTCAGTTTGGCAGCTGTGGCTTTATGGTCCGCTGTGTAGAAATAGTCCATCTGAACTTCTAGTCGGCCTCCAACTGGGACTGGTAAAAAGAGAAAACACATTTTAAGACATTTGAAAAGACAGCAGAATGACTAGAATGACTACTAGACTTTGTGGACCTTTTTATATGAGATTGGAAAACTGGTAAGTGCCAATGAGATACTAGACAAAACACAGTTTATCCCATTACATTTAAAATATTGCTGAATATTTTACAAACTTATTTTTTGTACATACATTTTGCGGATTTTTTTGTTTTTTTTTCACACACATACACTTTTTTTCTTCCTGATTGTGATTGATGACATGATTCTAGGGATGTTCTCAAGAAACCATGGAATAAACTTCTCCTAAGTGCAAAATTATTGACCCAACTTGCTGCATTTGCTCACCTGTCTATAAACCGCACCAGCTGCATTTGAAGTGAAGGTAAATGTTGTCCACATACAGGCCACATGTGAGCCTCAGGTTTTCATTATGTAATGTAACACATTACACAATGAAAATAATAAGTCCATAAACACTGTTGTTGCGCTTCAACTATGATCTGTTCTGTAGAGGTGTAATCCTACCAAAATAGTGACCAACTAGCTGACCAGTAGCTGACACAAGACGGACAAAGTGACATCAGCACAATCAAGATGAATATTTGCATTGATCTATTTTTTTACATATTTCTGAACATGTAGTTCTTGTCTAAATGATGACAAATACTCACCCACTTCCAGAGGGAAGGAATCGCTCAGGACGTCCTGCACCTGTGTTTGCGCCCTGCACCGTGCGCTCCCCATCTCCAGTCGCTGCACCACAGGGAAGAGGAACGAGGCAGAGCGAGACATCACTGTGACCGCAGCCTCCTCTCTGCGCTCCAGGAGGAAGGTGAAGTTGATGGGCGGAGTTCCTCGGGACACGCTGCAGCTCACATTCCCCACGAAGCCACCAGCTGCATCTTTGGAGACGGAGAAGGAGAGCTGAGGCTGGGTCACGAGCTCTGGAATCATAAAGGAAAGGGTGAGTTCACTATTAGACACGGATTTTACCTTTGTACCTTTTTACCAGAGTATTTCATAAATTCACAGCATGAGTGAGTTGGTTGGGTGGCAAAGATGTGATGATATAAGTTTAGTATATTAGTTTACGGGTTTCATTGGGTACACCATATAAGAATAACTCCAGTTGGAAATATGATATAAAAGCTAGTATTTCTCATAACATACAAAGCTTTACAGATAAACTATATAGATAGTTGAAAATGTATTACAAATGGTTCCTTCTAAAAGTTCCAACTTATCTGATTTTATAGATTACCTTAAATTACAAAGAGATAGGGGCAGTAAAGGCCTGCTTCTCGCACCAAAAGAAAGTGACAGTGGAGCAGAAAATAACAACGGTGTCTAATGGATTTTTTCATGTGATACAATAGTTAGTCTTGAAAAAAATCATCAAAATAACTAATATTCTTGTCCAACATTGATCTCACCATACTGAGTAAGATACAACAAAGCAGAGGTTTCTTTATGAATTCAAAGTTACATTTTAAAAGATGTTTATTCACCTTTGACAGTGAGCTGGACCGCTGTGCTGCTGGAGTATCTCTTCATGTCCAGCACAGACGACCAGGCCATGCAGGAGTATTGCCCTGCGTGTTCAGGCTGAACCCGCTCCATCACCAGACTTTCCCCCCGAGTGCGATAGAGGGGTGAGGCGGGGGACAGCTCCCTCCTGTTGAAGAACCAGGAGTAGGACAGGTGAGAGCCACGGGACACGTTACAGTGGAGCACCAGCCGGGACCCCTCATAGGCCACTGGGGGAAAGGGCTCTGAAGTGATCCTGGTTTCTGATGGAGGAACTGAGGAGGATAAAGTAATATTAGATCATGTCCATCCATAAAAATAAAAAAACAAGATCAAGTTGGGAACAATAATTAATGTATTGCCATTGCCATATAGAGAGCAACAACACTGCATATTTTTTGTCATACATTTTACTAAAAACACAAGTTTCAGGACATAAATAACATACATACATGAAACCACACAATCTCTAATATTATAATTGTCACAACAAAATAACATGAACATAAATTATGATTGTACTTTATTCACAGCACAACTCCAGGTGTTGATGGCTCTCTCTTGGAAAACATTTTTTTGTGTCCAAAATCAGAGCATGGTTGAATTAAATACTTTGATTTCAAGACATCAACATTATTTTCATGACCCTGCCTATCCCTTAACATTAAACATTTTAGGTGGTGCATAGGTTATACGTTCATCAGGCAAAAAACATATCAGATTTGGTTATACTATTAATGAATATATTTTTGCCATATGGTGGTAAAGCCCAACAGGATCCTAATGAAAAACCATATAAGCTTAAAACTATATATTATCATGCAGACTGTTTTGTCATTACTCACTGACTACAGTTAGGTGGACGCTGTTGCTGGATCCTTCTCTGTCGTCTGCTTGGGCTCTGCACTGGTACGACCCCCCTGACGTCATGGCCACCTTCAGGAAGAAGGATGCGGGCTGGTCTCCTTGGAGATCGGTCCCACTGTTGACAAGGCTCTGGTCTTTCAGCAGCTCATATGTGACTGGTGGAGGAACCCCGGGGGCTACACACCTGAAGGCCACTCTGTTGCTGGGGTAGGCCATGGTGGGACCACTCAGGACAGGGCGGAGAGACTCGGACCCACCTTAACATACATCAAATATCGATAGATAGATAGATAGATGATAGATAGATACTTCATTGACCTCCCATAGGAGAAATTCAATAAATATATACAGTTATGTAAAACTGAGCTGTAACTAAGCTGTAATGTAATATAAAACAATGCCACCTTTATGATCTATTGTGCTGCTAGTGTCAAACTCTATTCTTACTAATAAACATAATGCGGACAGTATTTTTAAAATACTGTATTCGTGATCTTTTTATTTAGTTTAATCTATTTGTATTCACAAAAAAGGGTTATATTTAATTGTCCATTTTAGTGGGGGACAAAAAGTATCACCAATTATAATCCTCCAATAAACTATGACTAGACAAATAATATCTATATCTAAAATGATTAAAACAAGTCTCACACTAATTCGACTACAGAAAATTTCAATAAACAGAGTTACTGTTTTCAGCAATAATAAGATCACAAATGCACAATTGTACAAATTAAGAATTTTCGTGAGAATTTGGCATTTTCTCAACGCCCAAGATGGCCGCCACACATCTATGACATCAAATTGTTTATTGCCTAATTATTATTATAACAATAAGTTGTTAATTACCTTATTAATATTGTTGAATCTAACTCAAAAAGCTAATGTTTACCATTTCTCAACCATTATATGGAAAGTCAAACAGCAACAGTGGTCAGACTTACTTGATGTGATGATCAGGTTGGTCAAAGCTGGAAAAGTACGGTTTCATTTATTTTGAATCAATAAAAAAAATAAAAAAAGATGAAAGAATAAAAACTCACCCCAGATTGTCGCCAGGAGTGTAGTTGCTGTATTCGACATAAGTACTGTAAGTCTGAGTCATGCATGATCGTGTGCAGTAGTGAGTGACGCCAATGTGTTGTTCCGAGATAAAACCGTGGTTCGGTCCAACCTCAACAGATAACAGACTTTTTCAAACCTAATCCTTACATCACCTTCGCCTCTGTGGTGACATGACATGTGTTTGTCCATTCTCCCTCTGAAGTACAGTATATGTCCTGACAAATCGAGAGCAAGAGGCCAGTTTTGGATCATAGTTTATTCCTTTGTAAGATTTCACACAACTCTACATTTTACAAAAGTACTGTCCAGGCTTTATGGGCTTTCTTCGTATTGCAAGTGATGAGATACTGCTTCTGATACTTCTTCGAGGACGTCCTGGGTGGTATGAGGGGACCCTGTCGGTTCCTGGGGTGGAGTCCAGCTTGTGTTCACCCGAGCAGAAATTGTTTTATTTCTGCGCCGAAGAAATGTGGCATTTTCTTTCACCAGGAAGTGCTTATCTGAGTTTGTCTGTAAAAACAATCATAATTGGTGCTGTGAGGTTTTGATCATTGGATCTTTTCACACTAATTCCAACCACCACTAATATTTTGACATCCAGTCAAAGTACCAGAGATGAGGCAACATCAGGCACAAAGGCACAAGTCCAAAACCTCAACTATGCTTAAATTAATGCATATATTTATTTAGCACTTTCCGTGACGTACCCAAATGACGCTTCCAATGGCATTATCCATTGAATCTATACCGTGGTGGTAAACTACCCCTGTAGCCACAGCTGCCCTGGGACAGACTGACAAAAGTGATGCTAATCTGTGTCATTGGGCCCTCAACCACAGTGGCACCTGTTAGACCCCATTCACAAGGTTTGCAAAGCTTCCAAATGGGTCAAATTCATTCACAGTGTCACAAAGACTGCAGTGAATACAAGTATTGTTTCTGGACTGTTATGAAGACTCAAATTGAATTGTGTTCTCGGATCACAGTAGTAACCAGGCCCTACTGTGATAAGCTTCTGAGACCTGAGGGTATTATGTTGGGCAAAGTGGGTACAAACATTAAAAAGACACAAGTTGAATGATTTGAGCATATGGTCTAATACAATAAGGTATGTGTGTTACGGCCCTGATCCTATATAACGCTCCCTGTTTCTGTATTTTGTGCGTTTTTTGTGTGTGTGGCAAACCCTCCTTTCCCACCTCCCAGAAGTTTGTGACTCGGATGCTAATTGGAGGAGCAGCGGTGCACCTGGCCAATCGAGCTTCCCCACCTGGAGTCACTCTCCCACTTAAGGCCTCACACCACACCTGTTCGGGGCTGCCAGCCTGTGTGTGGCTGGTATGCCAAGTGTCCTTATGGTGTCTGTCATTGGCACAGTGGTGGCAATGACTTAAAGACAGAGTTTGTACAGCTTTTATTTGGTTTGTCTCTTTTTATTTGTCACTTTGGAGTTTTGTTTTCGTGACACTTGGCTTTATTTGAGACAACAGTCAGTTTAGTGTATTGTTCTAAGTGGATTTGTGTTTAGTGTAGCTTTTATTTTGTTGAGTTACCCCCTTATGTCCTGTCATGTGTCCTTTTGCATATTGTCTACTCATCATTTACTTGCCTTTTATAAAATACTTGCTTTACCATTTTAACATTTGTTTTTATGCTACCTCCCGTACCCTAGCCGAGCTGGGTCGTAACAATGTGCTCCTTATGTATTGATTTGTGTGAATGAGATTTGCCTTTAGCAGCAGCTTACCATCACCAGCATGTGTTTGAGGCTCTCAATGGTCTTATTGTTGGTCCTGCTCCGTGAGATATAGAAGGTGAGAAGAATACTGAAGAGAAGAAAGACATGATATAACCTGTTCCATAAATCCAGTGCATGTATTGTTTAAGACGTACACTTGTCCCATCAGCAGTAGCGCAGCGAAGGCCACAGAGGAGAGAGCGTACAGACCTTTCTGTACTGCAAAGGGAAGAGTCTCCACACAGGTGCTTGTCACATTCAGCACACTGTGGGGATTCCCAAATGGACCACAAGAGAACGACGGTGAGCTCCTGCAGGGAGGCGCATTCATTAAACTTGAAAGTTTCTTAAGAATCTACAGTACATGGTCCTTATCAAATCTCATGTTCTGCTTCTGAGTCACAGCTGCCATGGGGCTCATTGAGGCAAATGCTAATAGAACTGTGATGTGTACTGATTGTAACTGTGCCAGAACAAGTCTCCCCATAAAACACCTCTTTTGAGTGTAGTGGTCAAAAGTGGTCTATCAGTCTATAGTTTAAACCGTCCTCCATTTGAGTATCACATGAATGTATTCTTTGTCAGTAATTTCGTCCCTTTTTCATGTGAATATTTGCTCATATAAATAATACATAAATGTACTATTCATAAAACGTGTATCACACTCTTTCACCTGAGGAAGTTAAAGGCCAGAGTGACTCCTGCCATCGCCAGGCCAAGCAGCAACATGAAGTGGAAAAGAACAGAGGAGTTGGAGCCTCGAAACATCCTCTGCTCAGCCACACAGCACCGCAGCAACGTGAACTGGAACAAAGAAGGTTGTGGTACTGAGGCATTTGGCATTGATATCTTCAAACATGTACACAATTTCAACAAAAAAATTTAAAGTAGACTAGATACAAATACAAAACAAAAAGTTAATCACAGTGTGTTTCCTTTTAGGCCCGAGACAATAAATATAATAATATACACAATAAATATGCTACTAATGTGCATTTCTGAGAGGGAAAAGATTGTCCAAAAAATACAACTGGTTAATATTAACATCTATCAACATAATTTGACTTAATGCACTGACCTTCTTGATGTAGAAAGTAGCTGTGTGTATGACTGTTCCAATGAGAGGCAGCAGAGGGCAGTAGTACACGCCCACCCAGGACACGGTCTGAGCGTAGACCAGGTCCAGAACATTGAAGGGGATCAGGAATTGTTGTTTTCCAGACAAACGAGCCACAAGAGATGATGGAAACCTCTCCTGCACAATCCTTCAAACGTAAAAAAATAAAATAATAATAATCAAATCAGATCAAAAACAACATTAAAGCTGGGGCACCTAACTATATATTTCCGTAATGCTGTTTGTCCCATAAAGATTATTGTAAAAGTTCAATGTTCAGACAAAATCAGACCACAGTGTCTTTCTATTATGAGAAAATACATGTGTCTTTTGAATTCTTGTGAGAAAGAGTGAGTCACTATTTGACGCATGTGGAGAGTTGTGTGAGAGTTTTCACTTTTCTGTCCGAAAAGATTGATCTAAAAATTTGACAAAGGCCAAAAACAGATGCAATTCAAAACTAGTGAAAGACCAAACTGTTTTAAGAGCAAGGAACTAGTCAGATGGATGTTATTACATACTGTTGTGTTGTTCCATTTGTTGCTGTTTAAAAGTTAAGTAACCCAACTTTAAGTGATGATGATAAAGATTTGGAGCAGTGGCACTCACTTCCTGGGGTAATTTATGAAGAAGGCAAAAGAGAATGTGGTGAGGAAGTTGAAGATGCAGAGTTTGTACATCTCTCTGCCGTTCTGATTCTCCCAACACTAGAGAAAACCAACAAATTAATTTGCATGAATTGAGAGAAATCAATATCAACAAACGTATGAGGACAAGGTACATGAATTTACAAAGACTGGATTTTAAAAAACAAGTGTTTTAAAGAAGCAACATGTAAGATTTTCAGGTAAAGTCATCAATAAATGGCCCTAATCTGTCCAAAGGCATTAATAGATCACACACACAAACACATACGCGCACACATACACACACATGCTTAACTTAATAGACCAGGGCTTCACATGCAAGTGATGTTGTTGTGTCTTTAGGCAGGACAGTTCACTGCCCAGTTAATGTGAAGAAGTTTATGTGATGGAATGGATCCATTGAGGAGGCAGCTGCAGCTTCTGAGGTGAATGAATAATGCAAGGTTAAGTGTTTTGAGTGAGAGGTGCTCTTTAAATCAAATGCATTATTAAACAGTGTCTAAAACATTACAGCATTACATCATACACAGTTCCTAAACCTTTTCTCCACCTTTCCTTACTGGTCAAATGCACTCACTTGATCATGATTGGTGGTAAAGATAAAAAACAAATAAATCCCCAACGAGGCGAGCTTCAGAACGATGCTCCTGGAACCAAGAGTTGCAAGCGTTTTTAACATTCATTGTTGTTGAGGTTGATCAAGTGCAGCCGATCTTACCGCACTAGTGTGGCATTGACCTGTGCCGTGAAAGAGCTGTCTTCAAAGCCTGCGATTTTACGGAAAACATGAGGGAGGACCATGTTTGCTGTCGTGATGGTGATGGGAGGCAAGTACTGCAAAAACAGGCTGACCATCCAGTGATGTCTTCTCTGTGAGTGTAAAGAAGTGAGCGGACAGAGCCATGATTGCACAATCACATTCATACAGTTCGCACCTTCTGGTTTTCTGATTGGGACATCACTGTTGCAAAATAAATTAGGAAAAAGGCTCCTCCGAGTAGAGAGAGTACGATGAGGTTGAGAAGGAAGCGCAGCAGGTAAAGACGGATCCTCTGTCCCAAAGACCTCTGGGCCTCACGGAGAATGAAGCGCTGCTCGTCCAGGAAGAGCTGAGAGCAGGAAAACAGCATTTAGGCATCTTGTGATTCATCCATTCTTTTTCTGCTCTTTTAAAACTACAGTGCAGAATTGGATAATGAATATTTCCCCACTGTGGGACTAATAAAGTTTTGTATCTTATCTTATTTTGGGCATACATATTTTCAATGATCGTGGAAGCCAGAGCAGACAAAGAGAGAACATGCTAAATCCACACAGAATGGCCAATTGATGACAGGGATTTGACTCCAGGACCTTCTTGAGCTAACCACTCATGTCCAACGGCACTAAATACATTACTATTTTTTCTGCATTTAGTATTTTTACAAAAACCTCTCACAAAGTTTTCCTGTCACCTTCAGGTCGTTCCTGATGACACTGCGCTTCAGAGCTGCAGCTGCAGGATCCTGGATGGTGTGGTCCCATCCACAGAAGATCTTAAAAGAAAGAGACGTGTTGTAACGTTCCCAAAGGATCCATGTGTGCTTGTATCCCAGGACTGCCCTGGAGAAGGAAACTACATTACTTTAACATATCAACACCAACCAAAATCAACACAAAAATATTTTTTTTTTACTATGGTATAATAAAGGTAAAGGTGCACTTTAATAATCCCCGTAGGGAAATTCAATCCTCTGCATTTGACCCATCCTGATGCCGCGAAGGCTTACGTCAGGAGCAGTGGTCACCGTAGTAACAGTACCCAACTTTGAAACCACAAAAGAGTCCGTTGCTCTTGAAACAGTTTACTTCTAAAGTTTCAGTTCACATACATTTTTGGCCCCCACCCTCTTACATCTATGCAAAAAAAAACATGTTTTATAGTGAGATCAAGGCAGCATGCTGTGGTCTGATTTGTTCACATGTGTACCCAAACTTTAAAGCAGACTAGGTAGCTATGTGAAGAACTTTTACTCAGATGAAAAACTGACCTCCGCACAACCAGGGTGAGGCTGATGAAGTATATGGACAAAACTGCATAGAGGTACAACAGACGAGTGTTCCAACAAGGGAAACCTAGCGACTCTTCAGAGTAGAACCCATAGAAGACTGGGGACCGGTCCAAGTATCCCTGAGAAACAGCACTGGTTACGCAGCCAACACCTCTACTCATAGAATGCTCTTTACTTACCGTTCCCAAGAAGAAATCCAACACTGAATCATTGGCCCCAAATTCTGTAAATGTATAAAAAGGCGTTAAGGATTTTCAGAAAGTAACGTTTTGAAGTTTTGTATAAAGCTTAGACCGCGGACCACCAATTGAGCCTCTTCCATTAAATGCACTGGGTCCCAGGACGAGGCCCCCGATCAGAGCACAGAGCAGCAGGTTCAGATAGACCAGATACCTCAGGAACACGAAATAAGCTTTAACCCCCACACCAAACCGGCCTGCAAAACACAAAGTCAATATTTAGATTGAGAAAATTTTATTTATCCCCAATGGCATTTAATTTGTATACACAGCCTTGCACTCCCACATCATGCACAGGAAGACCAAAGAAAACGCCAATGACAAAAAATAACAAGTAAAATTATAACGGGTCAATTATCACTTCAGACAATAATCTTTGTTTAGCCCATACCTTCAATTAAGTGCAATGTGTTTTGCCATGGCAACAGTTGTCTGGAGGTCTCTCTCATCTGCTCCCATGCCCTCTTCCTACTGATGCGCTGACTTCGCTTCCAGGACTCCCAGAAACCAACTTGGCTCGTGTGCATCTTCCTTCTGTCTCTGAAACACCCCAAAAACAAATAATGGGTGGTAAGTAAGTAATTAATTATGTAACCTTTATTTTTACATACGGATTATACAGACAAAGGTCAAAAAAAGCACTTTAAAAAAAATGTTTTTGATGGTAAGCAAAGGCAGAACCAAGGCAACTAATCATCACAGCACTGACCAGACCCTGCCCTGCTTAGCTTCTGTAGTTTGACAGGGTCAGGCTTGAATATGAATTGCTCATATAGCTTAACAAACTCAACATAATGAGAGGAAAATTAGCTGAAGAAAAGGTACATGAAATGTGACCGGACACATAATTCAAGCAATCAAGTATGTCAATATCCCAGGTCGGAAATACAGAAAGGAACCTTTCCTCGTTCACCCGAAAGACAAGGTACAATTGGAAAAAATGGCAATCCCATGTAGAACCTCCAAAAAAAATAAACATTTGAAAAACCAGAAGACGGCAGCACGATTGACAAGATCAACCAAGGAAAAAGCAACACAGGAAAACCTCACATCACATAATAGATTGGAACAAAGCAAAAATAGTAGGAACAGAAGAACATAAATACAAAAGATGGATACGAGAGGCGATTCACGGACCATCAACAAAGACGAGGGGGCTTTCACCTTGGCTCACACTTGGGACTCACTTCTCCAAAGACCACAGTGCGATGGAGGGCGTGGTCAGTCTGACGGGTCTGTTGGATCTGTCAGACTGGTTGCCTTCAATGACAGCAGCTGATAAGAGACACGTCACACCATCACGTGTCACCTCTAACGACGGCAGGAGTCTACCGCAGAAACATGCCAGGCACTTAAGCAGTACTGGCTTTTTTACACTTTACTTTTAGAAAATCACCTTTGTTCCTGATTTATATTTTTAATTGTTTAAAGATGTATTAAGTACATGTAGGGCCTTGAAAATTTACAGAGATAGAAGTGAAGCATTTTTGTGCAGATGCAATGGCCATGGTTGATTTCTTTAAAATCCATCCATTGCCTCAAATGCGGTTACTCACAGGAGGTCTCTTTTGGCCTGCAGACTGAGGGCCAGACTCCTGAGTGGCGGAGCGGTGGATTTTCTTCTGGATTCTGATCCATTGTCCTGAAGAATGTGGCTGCTGTCCCTGGGACGTACCGCCTGCGCACTGGGGAGCAGCTCCAAGATCTGGCTCTGATAAAACTCACTGTCCGATGAAAGGGTGGACTGGGTGCTTTCATCTAAGGAGAAGACAACAATTGCGTCTGATAGATACACCATGTTAAGCTCATGTATTATGTAAATGAAAACATTAGGTTTTTGAAACAAGATTTGAAAAATGTCATTTTAATGCTAAATAAATGAAGTCTCAATTAATCGTTCTGCGGCCTGAGTCCTGGATCTATAGCCCGTCCATGGGAGCGGATCCCCCCTCAATGTGAGCCTCGGGTTCTCACTTTTTCCCATTGGGTTTTTGAGTTGGGTCTAAGGACAGTGGTGATAATCCAGGACTTTTAGGACATTTGATAACATTTACAGACACTAGTTATTTACCCCCTATGGACCAATGTCTCCTATGTGTTTGTCATAATTGCATTTCCGGTGTTTGCTCGGTTTGATTCTTTGAACTGTGTAGTCGTCTAATGTTGTGATTTGGGGTTTTGCATAAATAAAGTGAAATGCATCAAATGTAGAATTGTATATATGTCCTAATGGTGTTAAATGGCTGGTTATCATGTACAGTAAGTATTCTATTGTCAAAACAACGTGACCCAATGCATTTTACCTGAGAGGAGCCGCATGAAGTTGGTGTTGCATTCATCCATTTCTTAAAGTCCAAAAATGAAATAGAAAACTCAAAGTGTCTGAAAAGTCGGCTCTTCTAATTGCCTCTGCACATCTTGATCTGTATTAACATCTTCTCACTGTGGAATCAGTTGTAGATGAACGTTTCTCTAGACTTACATCCATGAGGTTAGATTTCTGAGCTTCTGTTGTATCAGGAAATCACATGACAGGAAGCCAAAAACAAGCAATTGAGGGTTAATATATGTCACAAGGATCAGTCATATAAGCAAAATATCATCATATTTTATACAAAGATGATGTCAGCAGACCTAACAACGTATTCATCCAGTTGAAAATGCAAAATCCAGTTTCATGTTGATAATAATACAGTACAATGCTGCTTACTGTTGAGTGATATACAGAAATGTGTCAGAGAGACTTCACTCACACGTCATGAAGACATTTGTGGTTTCCAGCCAGTGCCAAACCATTTACCCAGAAACCTGACTCCATAAGCCTCTGATGCTACTGATTACTTTAGCACACACTTCAGAGCTCTATAATGTGGCAAGGCAAGGCAAGGCAAGGCAAGTTTATTTATATAGCACAATTCATACACAAGGCAATTCAAAGTGCTGAACAAAACAAGAAAGCATTAAAATCATAAATTATCACAGAACATTAAAAAGAAAGATAAAAATATAAAATCCCTCAGTTGTATGTACAGTTAAACAGAACTGTCTTTAACCTGGTTTTAAACATTGTCAGAGAGGAGGCCTGTCTCATCATGTGTCATACACATGATAATGAATATTATCATGTGTATGATAATATTCACAGTCTATAGCCTTTATACACCAATCCTTTTCATATTTTCTTTTTTATTATGATTTGACATTAAAGATTCAATTATCTTCAATCCTAAATTAAATTAGCTGAAAACAGGGTAAAACATGACTTTAAATGTACTAAAAATATATTTGTCTTTTAAAAAGAATAAAATAATTGGCAAGCATTTCACATATTATTCAAATGGTACTTGTCTATTTATTTTCAAACCCGCACAGTTGTACTCCCTTGTTTATTAGTGGAAGGAATGAAAGTGGAACAAACAAAAGATATATGGATAATAGAAAGCCATCACTAAAGTGAATATAGTGTACTTTAGGCCTACTCTAACTGCTGCTAAATTGAACTGTGTATGTGCTGAGACGATTACAAATTCTACTGAATTATTTTACAAATTCAATTCAATTCAATTTATTCTTCGCGCTAAATCACATCATCTCTGACTCAACGGATTTGGTATTTTTGGTATTCATTTTTTGGTATTTTTGGTATTTTAGTTTGCAATAGAATACCATTGCAAACAAAAATAATTAAGACACAAAAAAACACAAAAACTATAGACCATTTATGTATCATTAGTTCAGTGTTTTTTTTTTTTTATATCTGTACAATAGGGTTAAACCAAATGTGTTTGTTTTGTTTGGAGCGGGTATTTGTCGATATTATTGGAAAAAGAATCATCAATGTATTTTTCAAATCGTATCGAGGGTAAACTAGACAGGATTAAGTTTTATATTTATCTCATAATATTTCAAAACGAGTAGAAATATATTGAATAATGTTGTTAATTTGGAAGAGTCCACCCCCCTGTATGAGATGGTACCGCCCCGTGTTGCTTTGAACGTGTTGAAGTCCAGTGTGTTTAGCTGCGCTAAGTAAACGGGTCTATCAAGTTTTTTGCTCCGGGGTAAGTGTATTTTATTACTTTATTTACCTTTTCTGCAACTTTTATCCCATCGAAACGTGTAATGTGTTTAAGTAAACTTCTGCTATAAAGCAGGTTGCTGATGTGGATCGCGTGGAACCAAAGTCATTCTGTGCCCAAAGATTAGACTGGGATTGTTTTGAAGGTGCATGCTGCTTTTTGTTCGCCCAGGGCACACATTTCACAGTTTCCCGTATTTCCGTGCGTATTGTGTAATTACAGGGTGTTGTAAGCTATGGGGCATTCATTGCTGTCAGATTTTGTCCACTGTAGCAGTAGTTTCACTTGGACCCAGTTTCAGAGCAGTAACAAGTTGCTAACTAGATGCATGCAAGTGTTAAATGAGCACAACACAATATACTTTGCTTTTTCCATATACAAACATCAAGCTGGACTACCTAACTTTGAAACCACAACCAATAACTGTATAACTTTATACTTGCCTCTTAATTTGCCAAATGTAAAACTTGCATACTTCTTTTTTATTATTATTATTATTATTATGTTCAAGATAGAGATTTTATACTTGTTCTTTGATGCTAGTTAGAGATTTTGTTGTATTTTAATGACTATAGCTATTGTTCACTTATCTTGTGCTGTGTGCTCCTCATTCCTACTGTTCTATAAGTTGTGATGCAACACTGACATTTCCCCACTGTGGGACGAATAAAGGATCTCTTTATCTTAATCTATCAAATCCATGTAACTGGTTCCACTTTCAAAATTGTGTTCTATTACCAGTCTTCTCATATAAAAAATATTTTTGGCCTCTGTGTCACATATTTACATCAGCATTTTCAGTGGAAAAACTACCAGCTCTTCCATCTTATCAGCTAATCTCAGAGTGTAGAAGATAAAAAAGTCTGCATGTTATAGTCTGGACTCTTTCTGTTGGGACAAACAAAATGTATATATGAAACAACAAAAAGGTTTGTTGTTTCAGCTTTAACAGCTTTAACACACAGTCACAACACTGCTTATTTTCACGTTCCTTTTCTCATACATGTTTGCATTGTTGGTGACTGTTGTCTTTTCCCAGCGCTGTTGGAGCCACTTGCCGTGGTCAAAGTTGAAAGAGGACACTCCCAAATCCTCAGTTATAGCCCCCTTTTTGTATCAGTGCAAAATAGCCTCCGCTTTTAAAAGGCAGATTCTCTTCATTCATTCTGCTTCCACAACAACAATCTTGTTTCAATCAACATGGCTGTTTCCATTGGCTCTTTCAACTTTAACCCACTGTCCTGCACTCTAAATCCCACCCTCTGTTTCCTGGCTTAGTTCCTGGATCCCCCATAGCTCTACAATGGGGAGAGTGACCACGTAAAAATGTAAATGACTGAAAGTAACTTGACAGTGTCAGTGAGTTTATAATGTCGGAAAAGTGGAAGTTTGTCAGAAAGTGTTCCAAACCTGCTGATACATCAGGAGAAGGCTCCAGATAATTACAAAAATGTGTGTTGTGCGTGCCTGGTCTATGGGGTGAAAAAGGATGTCGTCACTGAGATATGGACCTCCACCCTAAGTATTGTTGACAGTTTGTGCATACTCTAACTCTATATGCCTAGCCGTCTTAGATCTTACAGCAATCCTATAGAAAAACGTTAATGACAACAAACGATACAAGATTTTGAGGCGATTAAAACTTGGATAAGCACAGCACTGCAATAGATACACAATACAATAATGATGATGATGATGATGATAATAGTGCTTTACAATTGGACAGTTGGGCACAGGGGATCAAACCTGAAGTCTTAATGTGAGACCTGAAATCAACTTGAAGGGTTGGTGATGGTGAGAAAAGATTTATATTTGAACTATTCAGACAATAATGTAGCATCATAATTTTGCTAAAACATTTATTTGATTATTTGAATGGGACAGTGCATGTTAATGAACAGACACTTTAGAAACATGAACGTAACCATGCCAGATTATAGCCAACGGATAATTTCCATCTGTTGTCCCAAAGGGTTAGCGAAACGGCCCACTGTCCTATCCAGTTTGTAATAAAAAAAAAGGCTTTTCTGTACAATTTCTTGAATAAATAAAAATTATTCCCACACATTGATCCAGAAAAAATACCTCAGACTATTGGCCGTTGGGTTTTGTACATTTTTGAATGTGTATCACATGTATGTGAAAAAACGGCAATAACTGTCAATCCTGTGTAATGAGACACAACATTATCTGGGTTTGTGTGGGAGACCAAAGTCCATCCGCTATTGGCTTCAGAAGATCTGTCAAGACTAAAGAGTAACTGCTGTTCTAAATTATGACAGATGCAAAAAGACTATTAAACATTTGAAAACAATATTTTTCCCGTCATTGACATAGATGGGTATTTTTCTTATCTTAAACAGGAAGTGGCACACACTGACGCATTGGTTTTTTCGAAATTGTTTCTTTATAATATCTGCAACAGTGTAGTGATATTCTGAGTGTGGGCCTGAATATTGGTTAGAAAAACAGCTTGCCTGTGGAGTTTTTCAAGGCTATTATTTGATCTAAACAGTATGGAGTGTAATTAGTTACTTATGGGCATTAGTTTTCTCTTGATGTTGAAAGAGCTTGTAATGGATGTCTGGATTGAATTTACTTTTATGTTATTGTGTGTTGTAAACTAACAGCAGATCAGTTCTTGTTCTTTGTTGTTTGTTTTTGGACATCACAGTCGCAGAGGAAAAAAGGAGGATAAAGCTGGAGTCTCTTTGTGATCTGGGACAATGCTGGTTTCTGTGCCATTCTGGAATATACATGTTATGATTCAGCGGAGTGTGACAGTGCGGCCCGCCACTGTGTCGTTGCAGTTTCACAGGACAATGTTGAACCACGCAACACTTTGTCAGCTGCAGCCTGCTGTAACTCAAGAAACGTTTTTAAACCAAAAACAGCTGTTTATGCTGTAGCATTGTATTTCAGTTGGAGGGAAGGTGCCAATACAACTCCACGAGAAAGAAATGTTGAAAAAGAAAATGTTTTCCCGGATAAGTTTTTGATTGCGATTAGATTCTAAAACCCACCATATAATTCTTTTTTCTGAAAGACTGTTTTACTGGCCATGTTTTTTGAATATTGTCACTACTTAATCAGACCATAGTTGATATGTGCTGACCAGAAGATGTGACACTTTGTGAGAGTTTTTGTTTCATATGAATTGTATGAAACAAGATCTACAGAGAAGTGTGAATTTTGACAGTTACCAGGAAAGATGTTTAAGATTATAAAAAGTCACAGCATAGTGCACCCAGGGAGTCACAGAAAGGCAGAACATTGTTCAAAAGGCCAGCTCATCATTCACAGTAAGCAATATCATTTTTACATTTTTACATATATTTATTTATACATATATAAGGAAAGCGCGGCACATTGAAAATTCCAAACTGCGATGGCAAGAGCTTCACTTTAACACTGTCATTATGCAAAGTATTGTCACCCGTGTGCAGTTTTATAACCTGACCCACATGTAAGCAACGGCCTATAATAAAAGTTTGGTTTATAGCTGTCTAAATTATCGGTAATTGGTCGCAGTGTTCCCACTCAACTTGCCTTTGCAAAAAGACCAGGTCACAAGTTAAATGTTGTTGTTAAGACACACCAGCCCGTGCTGAAAGGGTGTCCTGTTTTTTTTTCTAAATTCCTGTGTTTTTTTTCTTTTGCTCAGTGGGAATTAGCCGTTAGATTTGAAACTGAGAGTTTCATCAGTACTGCTCAAAGATCATTTTTTAGTCCCAAGAGAACCAGAGGTCACTTTAATTGGACCAATTCTGGTACACTTGGGGAAAAAATCTTTAACTTGTGGAGATAAACAAATATGCCCTGGGCCAGAAGAAAAACGACTCCACTTGACCCTAAACATGTGAATCGATTGCATGGACATTTGCTTACGTTTTATTTGCTGCTGTTTCTTTCTGCAATTAATATATGTCTCCCAACAAATACATATAATGATTTCTGTCCATATTACCCATTCTGATATCTCTTGGTTAGTCTCTTGTCTTTCCCTTCAGGACAAGTTGTAACACAGGCTATTGGAATTCATACCTTCACTCCCCTTTCCCTTTATCCCTCCCTCTGGCCCCTCCCCCTGGCCCCTCCCTCTGTCACAGGTGCAAACCAACAACATGGTGGGAGTGGAGCGCGCGTCTGCCTGGGTGCGGCTCTGATCCAGCTCTCAGGGTCCAGACCGTGACCGAACACAAGTAACAGCTCCGGAAAACAATGGCCCGAAACTTCGATGTGGACTATCCCCTGATGGAGGCCGGGCTGGAGTGAGTAACATTACATGGGTGTAGTAGCGTAGTTCACGGCTGATCTCAAGAAACGTGTACGTTTGTTTTTGTCTTGAGGAGAAAATACAATGAAGGAATGGTAGTAAAAATAATGTGACACCACTCGACTGTCAAACACCTCTTTTACTAGCTGTCTATGTGACTCATTTCTTCATATTATAAACTAGAGATGATCCTTGACAGAATTTAGAAAAATGTGTAATTGTAACTGTCAGAAAAAGTTTTCAAGAGTTGGAATTACTTTAAATCAGATTAATCATGTGACAAAATTGGAGATCGACCATCCATATCAGTCAATCTCTGGTGGAAATGCAGAACTATAAATGGCCAAACGCAATCACGATTGTTATGCAAGTTTTTAACTGCAGAAACAGAATAAAATGAAAGACTTTTGACCATTCGAAGTGTAATCTTGCAGTACTCGTTATAATTTGATCAAAGATTGAGCATGTATAGAGTTAGTGAGATAAACTTGCATAACATTGACGTGTGTAGAGAAGAGACAAATGTAAAATAGTAAAAGATGCTGATAATAGTGTGGCCATTTACATTCTTGTTGGCTGTATACGTTCACAGGCTGTTAGTATATAAGTGTATGTTTGGAAGCCTCCCACAGCAGGAAGAGTACAGCTGAGTCAGGAGTTCATTATGTCCTCTTCCCTCTCGTCTCTTTTAATGGCTGTTTCTCTTGTGTTTCAGGAGTCCAGTGGATGAAGCCGGAGTTCACGAGTCATTCCATCAGCTGATCCAGGAGCAGAGTCAAAACCCTGGGTTCTCAGAGGCCCATGAGCTACAGGAGCTGCAGAGGGAGCTGGAGGAGGACCGAGGTATATCAGTCTGCGTACAGCGGCCAACTCCAGTGCAACGCAGCTTACTATGAGATTTCATAACACTTTGAAGCAACTTTTGTTAAAGTTAAACTCATCATTCTATCAATGTGCAGAAGCCAGTACTTTTCCCTTGTTTTGTCTATCTGAAGGCCAAGCTACAAGCACACCGTGGAAGCTGCTGATTGGAGGTCTCCATGCCTCCGCTCTGTATAATACACTTGCATTCTCTTGTATCTGTGATCGTGTGCTGTGATCGTGCTGTCTCTACCATTGACAATAAAACATGTCTTCTGTCTGAATGAAAGACGCGATCCCAGACTTTGTCATCTTCTTCAGGTGGTGGAGAATGCGGGCCTTGTCTGTAACATCTAGAGAACAGAAGACTTTTTTTTTTTTTACACAAATTTTTTTTTTTTTTTTTTAAGCCAAAACTGAGAAACCTCAAGAGAATGCATCTGGACCAGCACATGGACAATCTGCACAGCCCCTGATTCCAGTCAGGCTGTGAGCTGCTGAGACATGGACAACACCATCGTCCTCTTTTGCATGGACATCATTTGGAACAATTGGATTACACAATTTGGACATAATTTGGACTGAATTGGATTGCTGAATCTGGACACTAAAGCTGAAACGTGTGATTGAAAGACACGTCACAGAAGAATTCATGGCTCGACACAACAAATGCAGCCTGAAGAAACCAACAGGAGAAGTGGGAGAGACTGTTTTCAAAGCAATATCTGGAACCACCATCGACTGATGAAGTTTGGTATTTTACTGAAGATTGTTGACAAGTTTTATGAAAGATCTGAAAATGTTTTATGAGTTTTCTGAGTTTTTGAAGTTTTCCGAGTTCTGAGTTTTTTGAAGTACCGAGTTTATGAGTTTTTGAAGTATTGAGTTATGATGTTATGTTGCTGTTTATCGATCCTGATGGTCACACGTGAATGTATGACCAGAGGGGGGAATGTGAGATTTCATAACACTTTGAAGCAACTTTTGTTAAAGTTAAACTCATCATTCTATCAATGTGCAGAAGCCAGTACTTTTCCCTTGTTTTGTCTATCTGAAGGCCAAGCTACAAGCACACCGTGGAAGCTGCTGATTGGAGGTCTCCATGCCTCCGCTCTGTATAATACACTTGCATTCTCTTGTATCTGTTGATCGTGCTGTCTCTACCATTGACAATAAAACATGTCTTCTGTCTGAATGTAAGACGCGATCCCAGACTATGTCATCTTCTTCATTACCTAACTTTATTTTTCTTCTCAGGTGTATTTTAAATGCATAACTTGGTGTCTGCTGGCTACACATTTTCTTAATGTTAATCTTTATATGAAACATGGGACAGTTGATTACTGGGAATAGCCATGAGAGTCACTATATGATTGTATTTCACCCTGATTCACTTTTGTGTGTGGCAAGACTTTCATACATGTTAATACTGATGATTTGGGTTTGGGATAAGATAAGAACAAGTAACATGTATTTACATTTCTTTCTCTTCTACACAAAGTAGAAGAGTTTGAAATGTTAGAATAAAGTGCCTCAGGATCAAAAACATTAACGTCAATGCAACAGTTTGTGTATGTTAAAAATTATATGTATATATTTTTCATTTGTTTAATTTATTTACTTTCCTACATTTTGGTTTTTTTACAGACAGAGTAAAATACTTGTCCAGTCCGAGCAATGACCTGTTCAGGAGACGACAGGGGCGGAGTGAGGCGGAGGGAGGACCGACTGATTCTCTGGGGGGCGAGCGCTGGTCCTCTGCCACTCTCAAGATTCTGTCCTCCATGCCCAGCCGCACCATTGGTGAGTCCAGGACTAGAGTAATAGAGCAGTACGTCTGGGGGTGCACCTGTTTTGTTCAGTCTTTAAACAGTCAATTCCTTATAATGTGGTTTTATTTATAATAGAACAAATATGGGGTGATATGTATTATGTTTTTCAACAGACACTGTTGTGAAATCAACAGCAGGCAGAAGGGCATATTCAGCATAACATGTATAATTCCCTTTGGAGAGATTCTTGTTCACTGATGCCTCTATGTAAGTGTTTACTGCTGGACACAGGGTAATTACAAAACTAAACTAGAGCTTCATAAGCATCAGCAGAAAAGGATAGAACACAAGCCACAGCACTTTTTCTAAACATTTACATATGATCTTATCTCTTCCTCCTCCCTCTATCTCTCTTTGGTTAGACCCATCATTATAACATTTGATGATCGATGTATTGATTATGGATAAAGATGTTTATGATCTGGAAACCCTTATATAGAACTATATTTATTTATTATATATACATCGTGTAATACTTTCCACATTTTCCATCGGGAAGCTGGGTCTGGCACTGGTCTGTTGGGGTGGAACTATGTCCGAACAAGATCTGACCGGACTAGTCAAATTGTCAGGGTGGGTTTTATACCATGATGGGCAGATGATCAACAGCAACAGTAAACAGCAACGTTGTAAAAGAGCGCTTGGCTACCATATCGACTAATATGCCTAAGATTCATCCATCTATTTTCATCCCCTTAATCCATTTCTTGGTCGGGGGTTGGCAGCTCTGATTGATACAGAACACCTGCCCCTCACTGATCCTCCTACAGGTGGTGAGTCCACAGGAGGATGGCTGCTCTGTCAGGGACTACACAGCAGGTGCAAAGTGGGTTTAAGTGTCTTGCCCAGGGACAGCAAACATCGGTAGGTCTTGTGGTGGGATCAATCACACAACCGTCTGGCTCAAAAACTGAGCCACTGTCATCTAAAAAAACAAAGAATTAGTAATATTCTTGTTGTATATCATTTAAAAATATTGATTAATCTTAACATGGGGGCGACAGTGCCTCAGTTGGTAGAACATTGACCTGAAGTTTGTGGGTTCGAGCCCACCATGAGTCCTACTTCACAACTCTCACTGATGTCTGCTGTTGTTGTGTCCTTGGGCAAGACACTTAACCCCACTTTGCCTGAAGCCCCCGCTCCTCACAGCTCCTGTGGACTCAGCTCCTGCAGGAGGATCAGTGAGGGGCTGGTGCTCTGTGAACTGGGTGCAGCTCTAACTGCCACCCCCCAACCCAGAAATGGATTAAGGGGTAGAAGATGGATGGATCTAAATATGTTTTTTAACAACACTAATGCTAATGTTTATGTTGTGGTGATTCTGTTCAGGCCGAAACAGAGGCGCTATCATCTCTCAGTACTACAACCGCACCATGCAGCTGCGCAGGCGGCAGAGCAGACCCTCCATCAGGGACTTCTCCCGATCTTCTCGTCCGAGCATCAGGGGCTACGGCATCGAGGAGGACAGCACTGACGCAGAGGGCGCAGAGGGTAACCACAGTTATAACATTTATTTATTATACCTGTAGACAATTACATCAACAACTCTGTGCATGTGAACGCAGTTACTAAACTACTTCAAACTACTCAAGCTGCTCTATGAATTCAGCAAATCATGATAATTCAAATGTATTCAATGTAGTTTAAGCCAATTTTGATCAGAAATTTAGATTTTTAACAATAATTAAATGTTTATTAAGAAGAACAACAAGGAAAGTAAACAATTTACAGAATGCACAAATATGTTGTTCTTTTTTTATAATCCCCCTTGCTATCACACAGCAAAGTCAAAGGAGTAATTTAATATTTTCAATTAGTTGTGTCAATAAATCAATTGTATGACGTTTTGTTGATCTTCGCAGAAGACAGTTCCATATAACAAGAAAGCCAGTGAGAGAATGACACATTTTAAAGTTAAAAAAGTAAAATTTTCACATGAACATAACCAATAAAAGCCATAACTGACACAGTTATGTAGACCCTTATTTTACTCAGAATGTTATCTTTAGAATTGATTATTTTGCAGACAGAGAAGCTCAGCCAATCAGAGTGTTGCTTTTGCTTCATATTTATGTTGTAACAAGAGATAAAATACTTAATAGTAATAATGAGCAAAACACATATTCATTTTTAATAATAAAAGAGGCAAGAGTAGGATCAACATATTGAGCCTAATCTTAAAACTATCTACATCTCTTAGAGTGAAGTGATTGAGAAGCAGGTCTGATGTAGTCACTATTCAGACCAGACTTAAAGGATGATCCCGGCCGTGAACGTTAGATGAGAGTGTTCTGTTATTCTTGTCTAATAAACCTGTGTTTACAGCGTCGAAAAGGGAGCGTCTGGTAAACAACCTGCAGAACCTCTCGGTGAGTGACCGGCTGAGGATGCTGCGTGGGATGCCACTCAGTGTCACAGAGAAGACTGAGCTCAGGTCAGACACTGCTGTTTGTTTTAGGGATTTCTCATTTGGTTTAATCTGGTCATACAGCACCTGTGGTAAATGATTATCAATAGAAAAAAAAATAAGAAAAAGTGAAATTATTTTGGAAGTAAAAAAACTGTGTTAATCTGTTAAATAATAATATCTGTCCAATATTAGACAGATTTTTACTCAATGTATAATAAAGACTCTGTTGTGATGTCATTATTTTACAATCCAGAAGTAAAGTAATAATAATATATTCATTTTCAAAGACGGTACTATGGCATCTGTGCGACTTAATACTTAAAACTGGTCTTTATGTGAAGCAAAAGCCACTACAGATTCATAAATTCTTACATTTAATTAACGCACATTGTTAAGGTAATAGTGACAGGTCATATGGTGAGGGAGCTGCAGTGTGAATGAGGTCTTTGTTTTCAGGCGGCTGGCGTTACAAAAGGAGCAGCGCACATTGTCCCGTCGTCAGATTCACTGCTGCAGTCGCCTCAAGTATTACATTATCATCGTGAGTAACAGTTCAGTCTGGTCTGTGGTCTCTGGGCTTCAACTTTAACATGTGTAAAATGTGCTACTGTATTTTGCCTATTTCAGCTCCAGGTTAAAATGTGTGTATTTACAAAGAAATAAAATAGTAATTTATTACAAGTATACCAAAATTATGACTTGATTATGATTTTATCATGAATTTAATCAAATAATGAGGGACCATTAGTTCCCAGCCTAGTTTCTAAATGAAAAAGTGCAGTTAATAGTATTTTTTTTCATAATGTAGCCAGTTTCATGTTAAAATAAATTCAGTTAGTTGTAGAACAATCACTTCCTCTTTGACAGGTGAGTGTTTTGAGGCTCTTCGAGAGTTCACAACTTTATGTTTATATGACTCGGTTTTATTGACCTGTTTTTCTTGTTTTTGTGAGATAACATTTCATTTCAATATCACACAACATTTTCCTTTTAATGAATCCATGTGAAATAAGAAACATCGCTACACATTTTAATTACAAATGGAGTTTGTAATATTCTGGCAGCATAAACTACAAACACAAACTGTGCTTCATTGTCTTTGTCACAGTACAGTATTTATTATGAAGAGAGAAGAACATTGTGGATACACAATTATTTATTCTTCTAAAAGTTGACAAAAGTATCAGAGTGTGTGCTTTTACATCGGGCTAAAGATCATGGTCTATGCATTTCCTTCTCAACAAAACATTGCTAATATTTACAAGGCATGTTATTTGATTAACTTCCAGCCACACAAGGGTTTGTTTGTTTGTCTATTTGTTAGCTGGCAACATCACTCAAAAAGTTAAAAGTAGATCATCAGGAAATCTCTGAAAGGGGGCAAGAAACAAGTAGAATGGGTAGATTTTGGAGGTGATCTTGATCGCTGTATGCATTCAGGATTTTCACTTTTCTAGTTTTATTTTAATCATTATTATAGTCCCGATGTTTAATCATTCTGGTCTAATAAAAGTCAATATGATCCCAAAGCCCTAGTGTTCCCTGGCCCTCTGGTTCCTAGTCTTTGTTCTAATGGAGCCAGAACAGAGGCCTACAGCTGTGGTTGTTGCAGGCGGTGCGGCACGGCTGGTACAGCTGGCTCTCCTTCCTCCACTCGCTGCAGCTCTGGCAGGTGGCCTTGAAGAGGGTCAGCGGACGCTTCGGGACGGGAGTGTTGTCCTATTTCCTCTTCCTCAAGACGCTGCTCTTCTTCAACCTCTTCCTCTTCCTGGTCACTGGGGCCTTCTTGGTTCTTCCACAAGTGGTGCATCCGCCTGATCCCCCTCCCAAGAACCTGCCCTTCACCGGACTGGAACTACTCTCGGGCGGGGTAAGACTGCGCCAAAATCATGCCTTCATTCACAAATACCAGCGTTATACCAGGGAGGTTTCCATAGTATGATTGTAAGATTTGGAGACAAGTATCTAATATTTCTTCACAATATAAAGACACTTCTTACCATTGCAAAGTGATTGTATAGTCCATCACTTTTTGTTTTTTGTTTGTTTGTCCCTACAGAAAGACCACAACATTCTCTCTTCATCTTATTAGATTTACACTGTTCTAGTAATATAAACTCCTTACATGCAAAGTGACATATGCCAAGCTTTTGTTTATGATTTTGATGATTATGACCCACAGTCAATTTTCAAATCATTATTTTTTCCCAAGATGTTTTATTATATATTTGTTTTTTACCAGCTGTGAGTCTATTATGATAAATAGACATCTTGTTTATCAGTTTAAGCTTTATACCATTTCAGCTGTATTCCAAAGCTAGTGCATTTGAGTTAATGGTGTTTGCCAGTATATTTTTGTGTGGCGGAGGTGAGGGGATGGAGCAGAAAAATTGTAGCTTCTTCAGATGCACATAAAATGCTTTGTCAATAGTATCGGAAATTCTATCCTCATGACATGGATGAGGCATTTGAATCCTGCATTGTACATTACTACGCATTATCGCCTCATCAAAACAGCAAAATATTCTCTTTTTTTAGGGTTATTTCTCCGACACCGTGATGTACTATGGATACTACTGCAACTACACTCTGCGCAGGACATGCAGAGATCATGAAGCACTGATCATCGCCACAGCCAATGAAACTAAACTGGAGTGTCGGTCCAAGCTCTCCTACAACATGCCACTGGCCTATTTCTTCACCATTGGAGCCTCATTTTTTATCACTTGTATCATTCTTGTGTACAGGTAATTTTATTTTCACATTTCAATAGCTGTCTGGTGGAAGCAGTAAAATATAAATTGTACTTTTTGAACGATGTGTGTGATTTTATTAGATTAGATTCTATAGGGACATTTAAGTTTATTGAGATTTTCCCAAACCCATGCCTGAAGCTGCCAAAAGACACAGCCAAGACCAAAGTTCTCTGAATTTTATACAGTTTCGCCACTAAAACCGACACTCCACTCAAAGTCATGAGGCGTTTGTGGTGGTACTTTGTATGTAGATTATTGTATCAAAATGCTTATTGATGAAAAAAAACAATACAACACTAGCATTATTTTAGCCCTGTAAATCAAATGGGAGATTTAATGTAAAATGGTACACTTGACCTCAAACTTTTCAACAGCAGTGCATGTAAAATACTCATGAATAAAGAACAGATAAAAGCGTATTCTACAGTATGTGTTACAGCAGGTGACTGACCCTCCTCTAGAAAATGTATACAGTAGAGTGGATATTTTACTCTTTAAGATGAATGCTCATTTTGTCTCCTGGGCACCACCATCACCCGGGACCTCAAGTGGGAGCCGACCCTCATCAAGAAGGGTTAGGGTTCACTTTACTGCCCTTTCTAAAGTCACTTTACTGTCCTTTATAAAACCCCTTTAGTGCCGTCACCTTACTGCACTGCTTAACGTATATTGTATATTGTGTGCACTGAGTGCACTTATACATAGTAATAATTGTAGTAATTTAGAAAATGTTATAAATTAGAAAATTTTACACTTTAGAAAGGTTTTATTATGCCTTATTCTCTCTCGACTTCCTTTTACTTACATGACTTACACGATTCTCTTCTGCAGCATGTCAAAATCCTTTGGGCAGAGCTTCAGGATCGATAAAACAAACAGTGTTTTGGCCATGAAGGTGTTCTCCTCCTGGGACTTCAAGGTCATCAAAAAGACTTCGGTCAAACTCATGTCCGAGAATATCTGCACGCAGATAAAGGTCTGTGTACATTTGACTAATTTAAAGTCTGGTGTGTCTGGGATGAAATGGTTTCAGTGATGCATTTATTGGTGGCTCTCAAATATTTCAATATTGGCTTTTTGGTCCTGACTCTTTGGTCGTAACTAGTTTCTAAATCAGGGCTGAGCCAGGTATTAAATCTGTGTATATCATTACCACAGTTTTTCTAACTATTTTTCTGAATATCTGGGAAATGGTTTTGATGCACTCACCGGGAAGACTCCCACGCTCTTCATTTTGAGAAATACAGATAATTTAAACTTTTTTAACAAATAAAAAACTGAAAAGTGGGGCGTGCAATATTATTCGGCCCCCTTGCGCTAATACTTTGTAGCGCCACCTTTTGCTGAAAGTCGCTTGGGGTATGTCTATCAGTTTTGCACATCGAGAGACTGGAATTCATGCCCATTCTTCCTTGCAAAAAAGCTCGAGCTCATGAGGTTGGATGGAGAGCGTTTGTGAACAGCAGTCTTCAGCTCTTTCCACAGATTCTCGATTGGATTCAGGTCTGGGCTTTGACTTGGCCATTCTAACACCTGGATACGTCTATTTGTGAACCATTCCATTGTAGATTTGGCTTTATGTTTTGGATCATTGTCCTGTTGGAAGATAAATCTCCGTCCCAGTCTCAGGTTTTTTGCAGACTCCAACAGGTTTTCTTCCAGAATGGTCCTGTATTTGGCTCCATCCATCTTCCCATCAATTTTAGCCATCTTCCCTGTCCCTGCTGAAGAAAAGCAGGTCCAAACCATGATGCTGCCACCACCATGTTTGACAGTGGGGATGGTGTGTTCAGGGTGATGAGCTGTGTTGCTTTTACGCCAAACATATCGTTTTGCATTGTGGCCAAAAAGTTCAATTTTGGTTTCATCTGACCAGAGCACCTTCTTCCACATGTTTGGTGTATCTCCCAGGTGGCTTGTGGCAAACTTTAAACGAGACTTTTTATGGATATCTTTGAGAAATGGCTTTCTTCTTGCCACTCTTCCATAAAGGCCAGATTTGTGCAGTGCACGACTGATTGTTGTCCTATGGACAGACTCTCCCACCTCAGCTGTAGTTATCTGCAGTTCATCCAGAGTGATCATGGGCCTCTTGCCGGCCTCTCTGATCAGTCTTCTCCTTGTTTGAGAGGAAAGTTTGGAGGGACGGCCGGGTCTTGGTAGATTTGCAGTGGTCTGATACTCCTTCCATTTCAATATAATTGCTTGCACAGTGCTCCTTGAGATGTTTAAAGCTTGGGAAATCTTTTTGTATCCAAATCCGGCTTTAAACTTCTCCACAACAGTATCTCGGACCTGCCTGGAGTGTTCCTTTGTCTTCATGGTTCTCTCTGCGCATTAAACAGAACCCTGAGACTATCAAAGAGCAGGTGCATTTATACGGAGACTTGATTACACACAGGTGCATTCTATTTATCATCAGTCATTTAGGACATTGGATCATTCAAAGATCCTCACTGAACTTCTGGAGTGAGTTTGCTGCACTGAAAGTAAAGGGGCCGAATAATATTGCACGCCCCACTTATCAGTTTTTTATTTGTTAAAATAGTTTAAATAATCCAATAAATTTTGTTCCACTTCACGATTGTGTCCCACTTGTTGTTGATTCATGACAAAAAATTAAAATTCTATATCTTTATGTTTGAAGCCTGAAATGTGGCGAAATGTTGAAAGGTTCAAGGGGGCCAAATACTTTCACAAGGTACAGATATAGTATGTAAAAAGTGTCTTAGTGTGTTTATGCTCCAAAGCGTGTAATAGCTGATGACACTTGTGTTACTTATCTTCATTTGTTGGATTAGTAGAGTTGAAACTTGTAAGCGCAAGTTTTGCCTTGTGATTTGTAAATATGTATATTCCTGTTATTTGTCACTGGACGTTTCGGGACAATTGTCTGACTTGAAGAAAACACTAATATGATTTACTCAAGATAATGATTGTCTCTGGTTTGTGTGCAGGAGCTTTTGGCGGAGGTGGATCACAAACAGGTGAAAAACACAGCGCTTCAGAGGCTGTGGAGAGCGACGGTGCACGGCTTGGCCTGGACCATCTGCATCGCCAGCACCATCGGATGTGCTTCTGGCATTTACTTCTTCTCTGAGCACATGCACAAGGTAAGACTGGGCACGAGGATATATTCCGTTTAATGAAATTCAAAAATGCATAAATAATTATTTACTTCTTTAGTTTATTGCCAACCTTTTTTAGACCTTTCCAAAGATTAATGATTAAAAAGAAATTCAGGAATATCAGGATAAGTGTAAAAACATGGACATTTTCAGTCCAAAATCCTGAGTGCAGATCATTATATTCTCTATGCTGTGGATAAGGGAGTGTGGGCTTTTCATTGTAAGTTTCAATCAAAGTTTCAGTCCGAATAGCATTTTGTAACAGTACTTGAGAACAATTTCCAAGTACTCTGTGTGGCCTCTGTAACCATCTCCGCCTTCATCTCAAATGGAAATACTGATGTTTTTTTAGACCAAGAAGCCATCCCACACCTGCTGCCTTTGTGCCAGATAAAGTGTCCTCTTCTTCCTACAGAACCTGGAGCACCTGTCTCGTAGCGTCAGAAAGGACCCTGTTCTCACGGAGGCGAGCATGCTGGCTCTCCCTGTGGTGGTGTCTGTCATTTACCTGTTAGTTCCCGGTTTGTTCAACGCTGCTGCTTGGATGGAGGACTACGACTCTCCTTCTGTCCGCACCTATGTGGCCATCAGCAGGTGTGTACTGAAAGAAGAACATAACATTCAGCCTGCTCTATAGTGAGAATCTATGACACCCTGGCTCATTTTCAAATTGGGCCCCGACTCCACCGGGCGCGTAAAACGGACGACGGATCCGTCCAAACGTGTCCGTTTCATCTCCGTCTCCGTTATCTCCATGAGAGTGAATGAAAGTGGCTCCACTGCCTCCAACATCCGTCGGACGGATTCCGTCAACGGAGGGTGCAACGGACGCGGACGGACGAAATAGAAACAATCCTATTTGTTCCGTCCGTTGACGCGTGTCGGGTCCGTTTTCCACTGAAAATACAATGGAATAATATATTTACCACATTATTAAACATGTATTGATATATGCTGTAGTCCTTGGTTATAAGTATTTGTTAATGACAATGATTATTAACAAACGTGTGTAATTTTTTTCATGTATTAATTTAAATAATTGTTTCCTGATCGTACATCTACCATTTATTTTTCGCGTAATGTTAATACGCTAATCTTTACATACACCTCGCTCTTTTTTCTCTTGCTCTGTCCCCTCTACCTCCGCGCGCTCCCATCCACACACACACACACACACATTACACACAGAGCTGCACTTATGAGAGACAGATCTCACAACACTGGATATGATGAGTTCTTTTCTCCTTTCTCTCTCCCCTTTTTCCAATTGCTTTCAATAAGTTTTGCCTCATCCATCGCGACGTCCTCAATGCTTCAATATGCTGTGCTTTGCATAGATCATAGCCACAGCTCATACAAATCACACACCACTTCTATTTAAAACTATAGCGGCTGCCTGTTGCCTAAAGCCGCGGAGAGGCGAGTCGGGTCCGATAAAATTGTATGACGCGCTAAATAAGTAGAAAACAAACGAAGAGGCTGGATTATAATAAACGCTGCGGTCACAGGCCCAAACACACATGCACGCACACGCCTCCCACCACACACACACACACACACACACACAGGCGCTCTCACGCTCACGCACACATGCACGCTGACAATACATGACTCCTCCATCAGCAAAACATTAATTTATTCACACAATGCCCAAACGTGTCTCCTACAAAAACAAAGCAGGCTGATAAACGCACAGCCAGAGCTGCGCGCTGCTGCAGCCGGTTTGACCACTAGTCTTTTTTACGGACGTCCGACGGACAGCAGCCAATGCGCGTCAACGGAGACACGCCCGGTGGAGTTCAGACCTTAGATGCATTTTTAATCTTTATATTAATCTCAAATCTTATTAGAGAGTGGATGACGCTCTGCTCCTTTGCGGAATCTTAGGCCACGGTAATAAGACCAACACTTATTACAGGGAACATTACCCAATTGTGTTCTCTATAATAACCTATTATTCCTGTGACTCTTTTTTAAATGTATAGTTCAAATTATATACTTGGATTGAGCTAAAATGGTGTTAGTGTCATATGAAACAACTCAGACTGTGAGGAGCACAGGGACTGGCCTCCTGCTGGTGCCCAGAGTCAGAACTAAGCAAGGGGAGGCTGCTTTTCAGATTCATCCTGCTAAAATCTGGAACTATCTTCCTGAAGATGTGAGACAGGCTTCTTCTCTGTTCAAATCCAGGTTAAAAACAGTTCTGTTTAGCTGTGGTGCAACTGGGGTTTTTAGCTTTGCTCTTTTTAATGTACTGTGATTATTTATTATTTTAATGCCTTGAGTGACTGTCCCCATCTTGTTAGAGTTCAGCACTTTGAGTTGCCTTGTGTATGAATTGTGCTATACAAATAAACTTCCCTGCCATGATGCTATTAAAGAGACATGGTGCATAGCTCAAGTGCCTGTGTTCACCCTTAGCCCCGCCCCTTTGTTGGAGCATTAGGGAAATATGCTCAAATGTAAAGTTGATTACTGCACAACGCTGCAGCAATCAACTGCAGCGTTGATTCAGAGGTGAACTAAGATTCACCTCTGCGTGTATCTTAGTTGTTGGAGAAAACGACTTTCTGTGTGCAACAATAAATGAAGCCAACTGTAGCATGGGGAAAAGCTGTGATGTCATTTTTGCATGTTGTGTCCCGTTGTAGACGCTCTAAACAGGTTTTTTAAGTGATTCTTTTGGGTCTTTCAGGAATCTGATGCTTAAAATGAGTGTCTTGGGAGTCCTTTGCTACCACTGGTTGGGTCGTGTGGCAGGAAAACCGTGGAAAATAGGCCTACAGGTAAACAATAGTAGCATAGTGGCGGCTATATGTGTATTATTATAAATGTTTTCTGTTGTCATTTTAGTGCTGGGAAACCTTTGTTGGACAAGAACTTTATCGCTTCCTGATTATGGACTTTATTTTTGCACTTTTGGACACTTTGTTCGGAGAGTTCCTTTGGAGGTAGACGACCAAAAAACTATTATTAGCTTTAACTATCGACTAAAATATTGTTTTTCTACAGGCTGTTTTCAGAGAAGGTGCTAAAACGACGGCGGAAGCCTGTGTTTGACATCCCCAAAAATGTCCTAGACCTGATTTATGGGCAGACTTTGGCCTGGTGAGAGAAAGATGTGCTTGTGCATGGTTTAATTGATCCAAAGAATATGAATAATTTTATTTATTTATTTATTTTAGGTTAGGAGTCCTCTTCACTCCAATACTACCTGCAGTGCAAGTTCTCAAGCTTCTCTTGCTGTTTTACATTAAGAAGGTACATTGTGTGCTACTTTTACATTTCTGACATCTACTCTTTAGACCCTTTTTTAACTAAATTGTACATTTTCCGAAGTTGAGATTAATAGGAATACTATAATATTCTGCAGTTTTAGCCAATGATACCTACTATTTTCATTTCCAAAGGGAAACCATCAGTCGAAAAGTATGTATTGAGTAAGAAAACCCTTCAGTAATGACAGCACAGCCACCAGTCACAGATTTGTTTTACCAGCCTGACGAGATCAAGCACTTCCTGTGTATGAGAGACAGAGAAGTTTGTCTGGGCATACAGACATGTGGGAATTTTGAGAAGACGGGCCTAAGGCGCACAGAGAAATGAACCAATCTTTAAAAGGTGAACATGGTGAAAGGTACAGGGCTAATTCAGGTGAAGCTTTAGTTGATGTAATCATTAGTTTGGACTTATTCTTCTATGCGTGAGGTTGTATAGCAGAAGTGACATAACCTTGTGAATTTCCTCCTGTGACTGTTTTGATTGGATCAGCTAGACCTCTGGGTTTGGGAGTTTTTGCCAATGCAGGACAGTCTAAGGACAGTGATCTTCCAAGACATTCACAAACATCGGCCATTTCGCTCCGCTATGGACCAATGGCTCCATTATGTTTCTAATTCACACATTCTGTGTTCTATTTTTTTAATTTTCTAATCTGTAAAGTTCTCTGAGAAGACTGCTGTTGTGATTTAAGGCAATACAAAAATGAATTGAATTTGACAGTAGATGATTAAAAAATCATCTACTGTCCATGTCCAGACCATGGACTAGACGGACAATCAATCCATAGCTCACTGAAGCCCAATAGGGAAGGTAGGGAATCAGCTTCTTCCGCATTCGGCAAACACTGGAATACAGTCCAGTGTTGGACTGTCTATGTCCTAGATCCAGCTTGTTTGTGCCAAAGAGAAGTGGCTGTGGCTTTCCTGTCTTTATTCCTGGTGTGAATAAAGACAGTTAGTACCTGAACAGAGACTTGTACGAGCTCTGTGAACATGACGGCCTGTCTCTCGTATGACAGTGAGATGCGTGAGTCACAGACAGACAGATGTTGGTGCTGTGCATCTGAAGTTTGTATGTATACAAGTGTAATTCCAGTATTTATTGGTTTGCGTTGTTGTTCTCAGGGCAGTGTGATGATGAACTGTCAGGCCCCGAGGAAGCCGTACAGAGTGAGCCAGATGACCACCGTCTTCATCACGCTGCTGTGCATCCCGGCTTATGTGGTCGCCTCAGTCTGCGTCACTTACACCATGTGGAGGTAAACTTTGATGCAAGTATTTCAACTCTCAAATATCCAGTTGTAGCTTCACATAATAGGCATAAATCGAATAGATACAAAAGAGGACATTTAATGACACCAAACAGTTACAAGATTCATTCAGACATAACAGAAAATAAAACATACATATGTACATGTTCGAACGAGAGGGTCCACAGACAGAGAGGCTAACCGTAGACCCCTGTGTATGACTTTTCACAAAACAGTGAAAATGCAACTAATTTGATCCTTATTCGACCTTTTTTTATCCATCATGTTATAAGCTGCACCAAAACTCCTCCAATGTTACCATAAATTATATGAAGAATTCTGAGATTATGTGTTGTTTAGTTGATTGACACTTTTTTTTAAAAATAATTTATATTTGAATTGTAAAAGCCATTACTTTGAACTAAATAGAGTCCAAAGGAATTAGTCAAATTTTCTTCTAAAATATTTTTTTGTTCTTACAAATATTTCATATCACAATTATCAATTAGCCTAATTATCTTGATATTTCCAGTCAATCTCCTTAATCCTCAGTTTCTGAAGCAAAACACTGTTTTGTGTTTGTGGTTGTTATCATGTTGGAATACTGTGTAACAAAGGCGTCATGCTCAGCCTGTCACTGTAGCTCATTCAAGATTCCCTCATTTAGGGACCAGGTCTGCAAACTAGCTGTTAGCTATACGGCCTATGAACATAGCATCGGTTCCTGTAACAATGCTTCTTGTTCTGTCCCTATCAAATAAACAAATAATAATAAATTGAATTGTGGCTTTACTACGGCTCTAGAAGTTTTGACAACTCTAGATATATGTGACATCCTAGAAATGTAAACGTAGTCCATCATTCTTCAGCTCATACGACAATCAAAGGTATTTGTTGCTGTCTTTCTTATTCTCCTTTCTTGTGTCAATTCAGCATCGCTCCGTCATCGTCCTGTGGCCCGTTCCGACAGCTCAAAACCATGATCCAGGCAGGAAAGCGCTGGGTGGAGGAGCTGGAAAAAGGCAATCCGAACCTGTCGGTCTTGGCCAGAGCGCACTCCTATCTCGTCGAACACCCGTTCTTCCTTTTTGTTGGAGCCGGCATCTTCCTGTGAGAATCAGCAGCTTCACATGTCGATGGATTTATGCAGTATTTTATAGTGTCTTTATTTTATTGCAGAATAATCATCTACTTCCACAGTCAGGTGGTTGATGGTCAGAGAAAAATCATCGACCTACTACAAGAACAGATCAAAAACGTAAGCATTAAATATACCTTGAAATTGACATGTTCTGCTTTTTAATAAATAAAGATTCAACATTCAGTCACAAGGGGTCAGTAAAGGGCCAAGTTAATACTTTCAGTTTATCGGTTTTATCCCTTAAACTATATTACAGAAATTACTGTAAAAGTCTTCAATGTAGTGAAATGCCACTATTTAGTGAAAACCAAAGTAGGATTCATCATAACTGTGTCATTTTTAAATGAAAGATTAACTGAATTTTTAAATGAAAGATTAACTGAACCCTGATTTTACTTCTGCAGAGAAAGGAGAACTAACGACCGTTATGGGGGAGTCAATAAAAGTTGAGCTCATTCTGTTCTGTGTTCTTTTGTCCATCAGGAGGGTGAAGACAAAAAGTTTCTCATCACGCGTCTCCAATCCATTCATGAACAAAAGCGAACACCAGCGCGAAGGCTCGCCAGTCAGGTCAGACACAGAATACCAACTTAGAATGATCACTCCAATAAGTGTATTAGGTAATTAAATCAGTATTTGAATTTGGCCATGAGCATTGGGTAATGACGTGATTGCGAAATACAAGTGGTCGAAATGAGTTCCCTTCGCTGAGTGGCTGGGCCAAACAGGATGGATAAATTGAATTTGCACAACCGTTATTATAACACCTATCGACTATATATTATGTTAATACTATTTGAATGGTCTACTGGAAATTATGTACATTTCTCTTCAATTTATTGCAGTTCGGCCCACACACATCCTATATTATACTAATTCAATTCTTGGCAGGACATAATTCATTATTTTTCTGTTAATGTGAACCGAAAGTGGGACAAGGATACACTGCTGATATCGTTTTTCATTTAACATTTATCCAAAAATCCTTGAGATAAATTTCTTTTTGGGTGCGACCTGGCCAAGAGCACCTTGGTTAGGGTTAGGGTTACAATTTACAATGCATCTTGAAAAGTAGTTAATGCATCTACTTTGTTCTTCTTTCCAGGACTCCAACTGTTGAGCTGCAGAAAACTGGACGAAACTGGACAAGTTCATAACTGGAGATAGTTTTTATATATTTTAGCTGCACTTTCAAACCAACTGTGAACTTTTGGTTTCACTTTTACCCGTTTTTATATTTGTTAAATGTAGCTTGTATGTTGTTAGTCATATACGATCATGTTGAAACCTGTTTATTCCATTGTGTTTTTAATTAAATTATGTAATATTTTTAATCAATAGTCTTTCCTCTCTTTCTTCTCACCACTATTTTAATTACCGATATTATATTTTTGTAGGTTTATTAGTAAATATTAACATTTAAATTATGATACCAAGGAAGAACAAGCAGCATATTTGGTGAAATGGAGAAAGAGCAGCACGATATAGGGATGGCTGTTGGGAGCACCGCTACTTCTCGTTGTAGAAAGTTCTGGGATATAGTGCTTTTGTCTTTGTACAGCCACCTCCAAGGTTATAACTTGGCACTAAGCTTAACTCGACCGGCACACACCACTTCACAAAGTCATTCATGTGAGTCCATTTGTGCTTTGTTCAGTGCTGTCCATAAATAATCAGCTCTGTCTTCTGGTTTCAGTGAGACTGCGTTCACACTGAGTTCTATGGAAGTGGACTCTGGTGTACATTGGGGTAATTACACTGTTTGTGGGGATTTGAAAGCACCAAACAAACGCACCCTGGTCCACTTGTCACCTCTGTAAACTCGCTGGCTTTGAGATAGATCAGCCACGCCATGAGGACTGTTCTCATGAAGTGAAGATCAGGTTTAGATACGGCTGTAGTTGTACATCTCAGCTGCCGTTGTTGAGCATGCCCAGTAGTTTCCGGGGGTCCATGCCTTGCTGTTGGGCCATTTTCTGCACGTCGAAGCCCATGTGCTTGAGAAACTGTATGACGCTCATCTCCTGCCCTGTGAGCTGGTCCCTGATGGTGGGGCAGGTGGGGTTGCAGTGGGGCCAGGGGCAGCTGTCCACCAGGTGCAGAGGACAGCCCCTGAGCGGACGCTGCCTCTGGAGGCTGTGGTTCCCCTGGCTTGTGTTGCTGCTGTCCTGAAGACTACGGTCCCAGCAGTGCAGAGCGCGGGGTAGAGAAGTGCCTTTGACTTGAATCTCCAGCCAATTTCTGCATGTAGGAAAAATGTACTGGTTATAAATACAACTAATATTTGTGGTTTTTAAGCTAATAACATAGGTTCAAATACAAACTGCTTCATGGCTGTTTGCAAGTCTTTTAAAACCCCACACTTAGAACATGTTCACACTTGTTGGTTTGATAAGTCACTTTAAGTCTCTAATGCACAAGGACTGAAAAACCTGCTCTGCTTTTGCCACTCTTTCTTTCATTGCCACATAATATATCCTGCACAGACTATATTTTTTTACCTTTGACATGTTTGCACAATCTGAGTGATTCTATCTATGCCAAATGTGACATGTAAATTTCTCCAGTGTGATAATTACAAAAGATTCATGTGAAGAACATGTGTCCACTAATCATTTAAGTCACTTTACATATTCATTCTTGAAATCAATCTGCAAGTGAACCAGGCTCGGTCCAGTTAAAGTGAACCAGACTTGTGAAGGTGGCACGCCCTATAGGTCGATACTTTTCTTGATCCCTGTAGGAGAAATTCAGGTGTCCAGTAGCAGCAAAAATAAAACTTAAATTTTATCATTCTAAAAAGCTAACAACAGTAATAATAAGCTACAGCCCTTCAGGTCACAGAAGCAACACATACTCCACAAACATCTAAATGCATTTATCTTTGTTTAGACTCTCTACTTACGTTCTTGTGATGAGTTCATGCGAGAGACAAGCTGGAGAAAATATTGCCCTGCCACAGAAATAAAAAATGTAAATGTTATATTGTGTGTGTGTGTGTGTGCGCATGTCTGCGTGTGTGCATGTGTCTTACGGGACGTCCCGCAGTGTGCTCCTCAGCTCCTGCCCCAGGGTCTGGATGTACCTCCACTGCCCCTCGTGGAGCGGCTGACCCGTGAGGTGCACATTATCCACAGTGAGCTGGGCTTCGTCAAACAACCACTGCACCACAAACACTGGACCTTTGAGGAAGAAGAGCGACACCAGCTTTAGGCACAAACAACACCATTGGAAATATGTAAATACTATACTACAGCATAAGAACTGTGTCATTGTCTTGTTTATTACTAACTGCACCGGTTTTATCTACCGGTGCTGGACTGATAAGAAGGGTGTGGTAGATAAGCACTGCTCTGGTGTTAAACATTAAAATCTGGGCTTTGTTTCAACACAATCGGGTGATAAATAACTTAGATAAGCTGATGTCTACTGTCAATCACCGTCTTTAAGCATAATATCAATATTGACCATTAATATTAATAACTAACAGAGTGTTCTGCTTACTGCTCAGAGTGGGGAAGACTTTATATCCAAAGAAGCAGTTCCACTCCTCTCCAACATGGGCCTGTCTGCAGTTTTCTGGCACATGAGCTCCCCAGTATCTGTAAAGACAATGACACAACATAAACATAAACATATTATAAACATGTTTCTTACGTGCCATGACTCAGTATGTGTTACTAACCTGACTCCTCTCTTGATACCCTCAGTAGGGGCACAGCTGATAGTGTCCAGACAGTCAGTGAACTTATATTGTTTGTTGTCAAGGAACCATCCCGAGTCTGCGAGTCCTCGGACCTGCACCGTTGTGTGGCCCAGCATCTTCAGCTGCTCTGAGACGTGGTCCACATTGAGCAGGACCCCAGTTCCACCAGCACTGGATCGATATAAAGAGGACAATATAAGATATAAGGTTTGAGATGAGAAGATGATAGATTTGTTTCAATAATCTACAGTGAGTGTTGTGGACTGACCTGCTCCCGGCTAAGAGCAGAACTTTAGCATTGTTTAAGCCTTTAGTTAGAAGTTCATTAACCACCTCCCGAATGATCAGGGAACCCATGAAGGCATAGTCATCTGGAGGGAAAAGTCAGGAGTGAATACTTTAATAGTTAATACACAATATTTATTTCATTATAATAGTTATTTAAAGCATGCAGGTTCTGCTGGTAGCAGTTTTCTTACTATGGTCAGACTTGGCTGAAGATCCACTCCACACATCACTGGAACAATATGGGATGAATCTGGGAGGACAGAATTCATATTCTAAACATTAAGCGTTTCAAACATGTTTCAACATCTTGCCAAATGTGGCTATGCTAAACCAAAATAAGGAAATAACACATAATTACACCATGTTGGCGTTCCACCAGTATGGATTTTCCTCGGGCTGTGGAGACAGGATCCCCATTCCTGAGTGAAAAAGTTTCAAGAGGTGAGGTCTTTTCAGGTGTTCTATTGAAATCCCAGCCTGGACACGTATGTTTGTTGTGCAGCTTGTGTTTTCTCTGTGGTGAGGGTGTCATTAAGGATGCCTGCTTTGGTCAGCGTTTGCATTAGTTCTGTGAGGCGGCTGCACTGGCTGCTAGTGTAAAGTCTACACAGAAAGAGGCGAGGGTAAACAAACAGGAGGTTTTCCTTATGGCCCAAAGGGGAAACTTGGTTTGACTTTGAAAAATGAATGCAAACTCAGCCAAAAAGAAAACACACAGCTCTCTGTGAGAGAGCTTCTGATGCCTCTGTGAGTCTGTGCGGCAAATCCTCCAGTAAAACATTATACATGACTGTTGTGTTCTCTTATCACCTGTTCTGCTCGTTGGCCACTTGGTGGAGCTCATCAGTCTCCTCATTGTCTCGTACCTGCTGTTGCACGTCTGTCTGTTGAAGCAGTACCATCCACCTGCCCAAAACACAGAGGATATGTAGGTCTGACAGTTCTTTCCTGCACGCCGAACCGAGTAACCTCTGCCTCTTACCTTCTAAAAACAACAGCCATCGCTTGCTGCCTTTAGACTGCTTTAGGTAGTATCTAGGAGAAACCAGAAAAAAACAGGCGCCTGGAGATTAGAACATTGATACAGTGTGAAATGTTGAATGATAAGAGCATTTTAGCTTCTTTAGATAAAGAGAAGCCCAAACATATTTATTTGTTATACAACCAAAGTAGACCTCTTATGAAGAAGAAACTCATAACAACATTCAAATTGTTTGATGTTGCTATTAAAGGTGACGTTTTAGCGTTTTTATAGTATATGTTCGTTATTATACATCTTCAATAAATGACCTGTTCCACGTCTATAAACATCATGCAATTAGGCTGAAGACGTTGAAGACTTATGGAAAGAGCTGTCTCTAATTAGTAGATCTGAACTGGCCACATTCATAACCACAGCTCTCCGCTTGAAGAGGCTTGATGGACACAAAAGTCTTCTCTCTGATCTGTGCCTTTGATCCATTTCACATCCGGAGGGGATGAAGAAGTGGCGAGAGGGAGTGGGTGTCTGAATCTCCATTAGTAAAGGTTCAAAGTGGGACTCACCCCGCCGGAGAGCCGTCGTTACAGGTGACAGACTCGTTCTTGAGAAAGTGCAGCTTCATGTCCTGGTCCAGCTTTTGCGCAGAGCAGGGGTATAAAGATTGCGCTAGGTTCTTAATCTGAACCATAAAGTTGTCCATGTTGCTCTCCACAGCTGTAAAGTCCAATGGAAAGCTCTCTGCTCCATCCACGCGTTCCCTGTAGGCGGGAGTCTGCTGCTGGACGCGGCGGGGTTGCGCTCCTCTGCTGCGCACTCTCTTGGCCTGGCCCGATGCGCACAGGTGCACCAGGAGCAGCAGCACGCAGGAGCTCACAGTCACACGCTGCATTTTGGCTTGGATTAAAAAAACAAACATGCCTAACAAACACAAGGGAAAGTTCTGTGGTACAAAGAACGCTCTGGGGAACAAGTCAAAACGTTAAATGCGCAGAAATCCATCACATATTCAGTGGCCTCTCGCTTAAGTGTGACATATCCATATATCGCGTTCTTGGACTTTCGGATACTTGGTGTTGCAGATTGACTTGTAGCTGTTATTGCCCTGCACTGGTTTATATCTGATGCCCCCTCCTGGTGCCCCGCGCTTGTCGCCCTGTGGACCAATCACCGTGATGCTCTGACCGGTGCTCGCGGCGGGGCGTCAGTCTCACGAGCAGGGAACGCCCCTCCGCAGAGCTCGTGCGTACGCCAGGTCCCTTTGATGTGGTGTGGTCACATGACCGCGGGGCCTTTGAAGTGGTCTGACTGAAAGTGCTGCTATGTGAAAGCAGAGCATGCTGCCAGCACTGGTCAGTGTGGAGCAGAGCGCACGTGACATGTTCCTATATGAGACTGAGACACAAAACATGATGTTTAGACCTAATGATAAACATCAATATAAGGGCTAGACTGGACATCAGGTCAAGTGCACTTATGAATAATGCTTTCTAGAGTGTTACATTCACTCTGTGGTGTGTGCTCCAGCTTCCATGCCCTCAGGAATAAAACTAAAGTCTATATTAGTGTGCATTTGTGTATTATGATGATAATGGAATACCATGGTGGCAAAAACAAACAACAACCGTCGTGTTTGAGCATTTGATGAGGCAGCGCTGAAGTCCGATAGCCGGTAGGACAGGAGGAAATGACTATGTTTATTTGTTTATTCAGACGGTGGCAATTTCCCCCAGACCTGAGAGTTGTATTAACCTCTGGCTCTTATGTGGACTGAGGCAGAGCGGCCAATGAATGTGCCTTTTGACCCGACACGTCTCCATCTGTTACTTATGTCCATGCTGTTTGCAAAAATCCACATTCCCACTCCTGGAAACGTCCCAGATTGCAAACCCTAATTAGACTTTGTAATAGGCTAAAATAACTGAGATGCTCGTGAATTATTTTAATTCATCAAATAAATATGTAGTTATATTCATGTATAAAAAACAAATATGTAAAGATGGAAACGCAAACCTCTCGAATCACGTTTTGTTCACATGTCAATAAAGTTTTTTTTTTGAGTAAACACTGTGACGTAGTAACAATGGCAGCCAGCGGCACAGCTGTGACTGTCCTGACTCCAAATGGGAGACGACAAACTGTGAAAGTGTCTCCTAACACACCGCTGCTGCAGGTAATGTACCTTTTAAACTCATTTAGAGAGTCTTTAACATTTAGGTGTGTGACGAGGTGTGTCCGCTGCCTAAGACACAGGGAATCTAATGGCGAATTAGCTTGAACAGCTAACTGTTGTTAGCCAGTGACTGATCAGTTTCTGCTTTGTGGATATAATGTGATTTCCTTAAAGATATTTGTTCCTGTAGGTGCTGGAGGATGTCTGCAAAAAGCACGGCTTTAGCTCCGACGATCACGGGCTGAAGTTAGTATCATCCACAGAACAGAGATGTACAGAATGTTGCCATTATGTTTTACTTTCTGATACATCACGAAACCTTGCACCACACTTTTGTTATGTCATGGATTTAATCATCAGTCGTTTTGACATAGTTCTATTTTTTTTTGTTTTCAGATTTCAGAGGACGGTTCTGGATCTAACGCTACAATGGAGATTTGCCAACCTGCCCAACAATGCTAAACTTGAAATTGTGCCAAGTACAAGGAAAACGGGGGCAGCTGACAGCCAGGTGTGTATGGAGCGTGTAGTTGGAATGGTGTTATAAATGTGTCATACAACAACATGTCTGTCAGGTACATTAAATCTATGACTCACTTTGGCCTGCATCTGCAAAGGGTCTTTAAATGCATTCTAATAAGTCGCTAATGTTTTTAAAAATGGCTTCTCCAATAGTCATACTAAATTTTGCAGTTTCCTTTGATCTTGATTGTTCGAGGCAGGAGTAAAACTGGGGCTGAGCTGTTTTTTCCTATGACATCACACAGATATAATTCAGGCCATTAAAGCACGCCTGGGTTTGGTGTGTGGTTCTTGTTCTTTTGATAGATTGTTGACATCTCAAACCTTTTTAAACACAGGCCCTCCTCATACACTCTTTTAGCACCGTCTGTCCAAATAACCATTGCATTGGGCCAAGCGGTGTGTGCAAGTCCAAGGTGCTGCTTTTGATCTTCTTTGGTGTGCTACTCTGGCATAAGCCACATAAACACATCAACTCAAATACTGCAACAACTAATCCTCATGTCTATTGTTGTAGGAGCCAATCCAACACGTGCACTTTTATTATCGGAGCATTCTCTCTGATAGATCTAAACAGGGCTAATAAACGACCACCTACTGGGACTTACTCAGTGAAGACAATTACCACTTTGTTTTCTTCAAAGGAATGTTTTGTAAATGATCAAAGTTGTCAAAGTATTTTATTTAGCTTTGGCTGAAATTTGGTGTTTCATTACTTTTTATTCATAGGTGTTGCCGTTAGTTTGTGACCAGTTCTGCTAGATAATGAAATAGATTAGGTACGTCCATATGGTTGTTGTAGTAATTGTGCTATACATTAAATAGGGCTATAATTAACAATTATTTTGAATATAGTTTTGTTGGAAATTATTATTATTTTGATTATTCGATTAGTTTCTTGGGGTCCTGATAGCTTATTGAATATGGGATAAATACATTGGATCAAAACCCAAGCTTCTAGAGAAAATTTTCATAGAAGTATTATTAATCAGTCACTATGGAATTAGAGAGATCATAAAACCTCTTCTCAGCATGTTTAAGTCTGTGTATGGATAAAAAAAAAAAATCTTAAAGGGCTGTAACAAGTTCATTGATAATACCTATTGATATTGATTGTCAACTAAACGTGCCTTGCCAATACTTTCTGGCTAAAAAAACAGTTGTTTCTCTTCTCAGGTGAGAATCGCTCTGCAGATGGAGGACGGCTCTCGTTTGCAGGGCTCTTTCTCATCTGGACAGACTCTGTGGGAACTCCTTACACACTTCCCTGAGACCAGGTGTGTTTTCTGCACTTATAGCTACATTTCTTTAATTATGTGTGAGTTTTAAATTGGTATATGCATAGTAAATCTGGTCATTGCTTAGAAGACTGTTCCTGATAACTTGACTGCACTCATTTAGTTCTTTGTACCCTTTTCACACACTTTTTGACTGCCGCCTCCTGGGATCTGCAGCTGTTGTTCAGTAGTTCCAGCTGCGCCGGCCCAGGTGCTGGACCCATCTCTGTTACATGACATCACTGCGTTTTCCCGAGGAAGTTACGCTTCCATGAAATTAGTATTTGCTCCACTCCAAGATAAAAGCCATAGAAATGGTGTGAAAGGGGAGTCTTTGATATTCTTCATTGAGGAGAACAATAGTAAAATATTTATGGCTCAATTAGTGTCCACACTGGTTGTGCACACATGGTTTACACATGCTCTCAGCGGGCCGCTACATTGCTCAAGCTTTTATTATAAGATCACTAAGTTGGTATCTTGTGGACATTCCACTTCCACTACAGCACAATGATGTCATGTTCAACCGGGGCCCAGAATGTAAGAATTTAATTTGTCCTATCTCTATATTGCAGTGTGCTGCAGCTGTCTGAGTCAGGAGCTGTCCCTGTCTGCGTTTACATGAGAGATGAGGTATGTTATGTTCATTAGGAGGCAAAGTGGAAAAAGACGTGTTGCTTTAAAGGTGTGCGTGTTTATGTGTGTGTGACGCGCATGCACGTGTGTGCAGGTGGTTGGAGAAGATGCTCTTAAAAATGCCACTCTGAAGTCTCTTGGTCTCGCAGGAGGAAGTGCCATCGTAAGGTCTGTTAAATTATTGAGGATATATTATTTATTAGTTACCCTTTTGTTTATTTTTTATTAATGGTATAACATTACGGTATAACGACAAGGGCCAAAGTCACCTCCACCTTCTGAGGAGGGCTGCGGTCCTTCGGAGTGAGCAGGCCTCTGCTCAGGACTTTTTATTACTGTGGTAGCCTCTGCCATACACTACACTGCCGTGTGCTGGGCCCCGGGCAACACAGAGTGGGACAGGAGCAGACTGAACAAGCTGGTCAGGAGGGCCAGCTCCACTCTGGGCTGCCCCCTGGACTCTGTGGAGGAGGTGAGGGACAGGAGGGTGCTAGTCAAAGTCACCTTCATCATGGACAACACCTCCCACTGCACAGGACTGTTGAGGAGCTGAGGAGCTCCTTCAGTAGAAGACTGAGACACCCTCAGTGCAAGAAGGAGCGCTACCGCAGGGCCCTCATCCCCACCGCTGTCAGACTGTATAATAAGTCACCTGTACTAGGAGTTAAAACTTTGCACTGCTATTGTCACTTTTTGATTTTGACATGTAAATTTCCCTATTGTGAGATCAATAAAGTTTATCATATCTTTTTAATAAATGTTCAATCTTAATTTCCTCACTGATTCATAATTTAAGCCAGTGGGTTAAATGCCCAACAAAATTTAAAACCTGAAATCATTACACACTCTATGACCAGGTTGTGATCAATTTTATACATTCATTGATGGAAATGACGAGCAGAAACATAATTTTGCACTTAGTCACCAATTCCGTGAGTGGACAGTCTGTAGATTTAGCCTGGGATTATGGGTATATGTCTATTCTGTTCAAGGGTCAAACTCATGATGACATATTAATGGATTGTGTTTTTATAGGTTTTTGATCAAGAGAGCCCAAGCACAGAACGGTGAGAAGGTCGATGAGAAGGTCGTTGAGCCAGCTGCTGTAGCACCTGAATCTGTCGCCGTTGACAACACGCTTTGTCCAGTGCGTCCTGAAAGAGTAACTCCAGACGTGGCACCCTCCAGCACAGACAAATCCACGGCTCACTCACCCATGGCAAAATCACCCACGGCAAACTTTCCTTCAGCAGTCACACCTACAACAAACTCACCCGCACTAAAGACTGAGGACTCGACACATTCAACCTGTTCTATCCCTGAGCAACAAGACAAAGCTGAGAACCCCCAGGATGCACTGCGGCTCAAAGAGTCTGAGTCTGAAACGACTGAGGTGCCTTGTTGCTCTTCCTCCCTCTCTACCCCACCTGCCCCTTTCATCCCATTCTCTGGAGGTGGGCAGAGACTGGGTGGTCCGGGTGTGGTTTCGTCCGTCCGACCATCACTGTTTGGACCGGCCTCAGTAGATTCTCCCAAAGCCAAGAAACCAAAGTCGTCAAACAAGGTGAGACCTGCGTCAACCTTGAAACGATCATGCCTTTTTATAAATCATTGTAGTTTCTATTTTATATGGTTTTTCTATAAGTTGTGTAGCTCTACAAAGTGAGTTATATTTTATAGTAAGGAAAGGTTTTATCTAATAGAAACAGAATGTATTAAATATTTTTGTTTTCATAGCCCGCTGTCCCGTATGATGAAGACATGAACCAGGAAGGACAATATCTGGAGGTATGGGACCTTAACAAACGACAGTCAAGACATTTAAGGATAGCCATTTGCACTGTGTCCTTCTGGCCTTTTCCATGTAGCCGGTGGAGAGGGATTCGCTTGTGTACCATATGGATGGTCAGTTACACCATTCCAATGACACAGAGCTGCCTGATGAATTCTTTGAGGTCACAGTCGACGATATCCGGAAACGGTTCGCCCAGCTCAAGAGTGAGAGGTACAGAAATATAAAATGTCATAACCGTTACAGGGATGTTGAACCCAGTAAAACATAAAATGTGGAGTAATTCTGTATATTTATTTGTTCTTTTAGAATACACTTATCTAGAAATGCCTGCAAATCACTCACCATTATATGAATCTTGGGCTCAACAGCTGTATTTAGCTTCATTTATTCTGATGACCATAGATCCTCGCTCATGACCAACAACACATTCATACAGCATCTGCCCCATGGCTGTGCTGCCTCTGCATCCATGCCACTACATGACTAGGAACTTTTTCAGCCACACACAGTCCAGAAGAGCTCTGTCCTGTTCACATACTGTCACATACTGTTTCCTGTGTAAACTTTGTCTGAGCTAATGCCTTCTGGTCTGCAGGAAGGTCCTAGAGGAGGCTCCTCTGATGACTAAAGCTCTAAGAGAAGCGCAGATGAGGGAGAAGATGCAGCGGTATCCAAAAGTAAGCTTGTCCATTTCTTGTTTTTCATACATGTGGACTCTCAGAACTCTGAGGGTCCAAGGAATGACCAGTTTAACAACTTGTCATTCATTGGATTTAGTTCACCTGAACTAAGGTCACACAAAGTGCTTTAAAATGTTGTGAATTTTCTAATCATTCCACACATTGAGATGATGAAAGCAATACCGCAGCACAACGAGAGAACTGCTTATTTGAGAAATAAATAAACTAATGGGAAACAGTTTTGGACAACACTCTACCATGTTGTGGCGAATGATACAATTCAATAAGCATAACAAATCGTGTGTGTTCCAGGTGGTCCTGAGGATCCAGTTCCCAGACAGACACGTTCTCCAGGGCTTCTTCAGGCCGATCGAGACAGGTGTGTGTGCGTGTGTGTTTGTGCAGAGCTCATTTCAGATGGCTAGCCACAGGTATGGCTGCTATGTTAAAGCTACTTGTGGCTCCTTCACCACATTCATGACTGTAATGAAGGCAGCCACACCAAGGTGACACTGAGACCCCAAATATGAGAGAGCTCTGTAATTCAGACTCACCTCAGCCCAGAGGCAACACAACAACAGAAAAGCATGACAACAATACTGGGACTTTCCACATGAAACGACAATAAGTGCTGTACATAGACCGTATTGACGTGAATTATGTATGTGTCCAGTGGGAGCCCTCAGGCAGTTTGTCAGGAGTCACTTGGAGGATCCGCAACTTTCATTCTATTTGTGTGAGTATTTACAAAGTGAAAACAGTAGTTAAATGTTCAAGCTTAAAATTGGCTCTAATTTTATGATTGTCTTATATTCTTCATACTGTATTATACATTCTGGCCTGATCATGGAATAGAGTAGGAATACTATGTGTGTGTATACGTATGTATATATATTTATACATATTTAATATAATATAATAATAAGAAGCATGTACATTCTGTGGCAAATCACATGTTTTTGTTGTTTGAACTTCACCTTGCTCTAATTTTGTATTTTTGTACTTTTTAGTTATAACACCGCCTAAAACCGTTTTGAAAGACCCCACAGTGACACTTTACCAGGTAGGACCCTCTCAAAGCAACTCATTCAAGCATACCTTCATTAACATATTTCTCATTCAGAAAACAATGGCTACAAATCCTGCATTTCTGAGCTCTTGTCTCTGCCCGTATACAAATGTATTGAGAGTAAAATGGATGCTTGGGCCCCTGCTCCTCTTCAAAGGCTCAGCACATTCCCGGCTCACACTTGTTCCCTCGCTCCACTGTCCTTGACCCCAGCTGGGCCTGATTTTTCCCAGACTGGCACATGGGGTTAATACAGGCTTCACTTTGATCTTGACACGCACTCGCTCTCTCTCACAGCAATGGGCAGCCTTGATGCTTTGTTGCCTTGGAGTTCAGAGCTATTCCAATAATGAGAATTAAGACGTACACAATGAACTGTGTTTCTTTGATATTTTTTCATCGTATTTGTGTGCCCGCTGTTTAGAGAGACTGAATTTTAAATAAGCCAGTCTAAAGGGGAGAACATTTGTTTGATGTTTAGTTCCGTGATCATAAACAAGATTTATCTCCTCAAAGGGATTAATTCACAAGACAACATCGGCACAGGCCTTTCAAACGTAAGTGTTGCCCCTGGACTCGAGTCAAGTGTTTTTTTTCCCTCAAAGTCCTGTTCCCCTCCGCTGCCCCCTCTCCCCGTGTCTCTATCCATTAGAGCCTAAAAGCACACAAAACACAATCCTTAATCTCCTACGCACGCCATACATCAGTCTCTGCGCACAATCTTTAATCAGTGGTTTTGGCCTGCCACATGTCGGAGGCGCATACGTGCTCACTGTCTGTCTCTCTCAAACGCTCACTTTAATCACTTTGTGTCATGTCAAGAAAGGAATGCATCACAGCCCTTTGATACTCGGCGTCCCCTCCCGCACCCGAACACTTCTGCCTCCCACCGCAGCGTGTTCAAGTCCTGTCCCATTGCCCCATCCCGCCACTAAAGGTGCGCCTATCGCAGGGAGCGCATAGCTGGGATGCTTGCTGCTCCACTGTAACACATTGTTTCCTGTTCAGAGGGCTGCAATAATAGCAATTAGGCCAGACCGTCCTAATTTAGCATCCGACTAACTTGGGTAACGAAGGGACAAAGAGAGGACTTTATGTGTGTGTAGGAAAAGGTCTATTTCTATTTGTAGACTCGAGACTGTATTAACAATGCATGATTCAAAATGCACATTGGCGAAGACTATCGGATGAATCACGGTGGCCGAGAGGGTAGCGCTCGTGTCTCATAGCAAGAATATTGCAGGTTTGATCTCTTTGTCGGCCCGGGCCTTTCTGCGTGCAGCATGTGTCTCCCCGTGTCCGGGTTTTCTGCTGGCACTCTAGTGGTTCTGGCCCATCCGACTCACCCAAGCCCTAGTAGCATTGAAAGGATGGGCAGGACAAATTTACCTTCAGGCTATAAATTATATCTTTTTGAAACTGTTTTTTTTAGTTAGAATGCTGATATGATATAATATTGTTCCCACATTTGTTAGACAGTATAGACAATGCTTAACTTTCACTTACGCACTTATGTTACAACAGGGAAAGTTTGTAGTAAAACATATCCAGTTTTTAAAACTGACAAATCAAAAATAGAATTATTGTTGAACAGCCAAAAAACACTCAGGACGCCATAAAGCTTTTGTTTTTGCCGCAAAGGTCAATCTCTCTTTTCTTATAACGCATCCTATTGTTATTTTAACTGCCAGTACATAGACTTATCCCTCGAAATAAATTGACCTTGAACTGATCTCCTGATGCTAATCCAGCACTTTTTCCTGGATCGTAGCCCCATCCTTAATCATCAGAGCCACCTGCTCAATGTGCCCTCGGTCTTCTGCCCCTCAACTCAACATTATTATAATAAACATTGATAGCTAACGCTACTGAGGAAGGCCAGGCACAAAAAACAGATAGACTAAGGTCTCTGAGGGCCTCAAAAAGTTCTTGTTTATTGCAATTGTTAAAAAGCAAAGTAAAAAAAAAAAAAAGTGAATGATTAGGTGAATAATAAAAATAAAATATATCAGGTGTCTTTGATAATAACATTGGGCCTCATTCACGAGCGGTTCTTAAGAACAAATTTGTGCGTAAATCCTACTTACGAGGATTTTACGAAGATTGTGGCATTCACGAAATTTTCTCGTAACCAGATTTTCTCTTGGGTAAGCACAAATACTACGAGTGCTCAGAGGCACTCTTACGCACATTCAGTGCCGACATACGCACGCTGGTGTTGTCTTCTTTTGTGAAGTTCAATAAAACACAACATTACAGTGATGTAATGTTGTGTTGTCTGTCATATTGATGTATTTATTCATTTCATTGTTTATGGTAATTGAGTAAATTTTTTAATTCATTTTTAAACTAAATGTGCCAACGCTTTTATCAAATACATTGGAAATCTTGCCGTGTATTAGTGACCCCATCCTATTTATAGGGCACATTTCTCCATCCACGGGCCACAAAACAATGGCCTATATACTGCTGCTGCTGCAGGAGGTTGCGGGGTCCACGCTGAGTCTCCGCGCTGGTCTCTCCCATAGATCTATTACAGGACCGCGCTGGTCTCTGCGCGCCAGTCTCTCCAGTCTCTGGGGTCATAGGTCCGCGTTGGTTTCTGTGTGCTGGTCTCTCCAGTCTCTCCTCGGGTCTGCATTGGTCTCAGCGCTATAGTCCACACTGGATCTCCTCCCAGGGTCCAAAATATTTTGAGATTAATCTCATTACTTTTGAGATTCATTAAAAAAATGAATACATCATATATTTTTTAATTAATCTCATAATATTTTTAGATTAATCCCATGATTTTGCTAGTTCGACTTTATTCTCATAATATTTCGACTTTAAAGTCAACATTTTATGACTTTATTCTCAGTCTGGCAAAAGAAGAAAAAAGGGTGACTCTTTTTCTCCGTGTAACTCTTTGCTTTAGGCCTGTTGCTGTTTCCTCTGGCGTCTGCACACGGCCCTGCAGTCCCTTTTTATGGGCATTAATGGGCGGTTACCTATGCTAAGTACCTATGCTAATGAAGCACCAGGCACGCGCGCTGTACTTACGAGGAAAGGGGATTCATCAATCTGAGAGAACAGCTGCGAACAATTCCGCGGCTTACAAGCGCGTTGATGAATCCCACTTTGGGTCTTCTTAGAAATCTACTTGAAGAACGACTTGAGAAGTAATTTAAGAAGTTTCTTAAGAAGATATTTGTGAATGAGGCCCATTGTGCTTTTTTCTCCAATCTGTGTCAATGTGTGATTTAAAAAAAAAAAAAAAAAAAACTATAGCAATTTATATTGACTTACACTACAATTGATTGTATTGTATATTGACTTACACGACTACAGTTTTGGAAGAGATCTTGGCCTAAATTAAAGTATTAATATTAAACTAGCTTATTACTTAGACTTGAGGTGGTGAGATTTGTTAGTGTATTTATCCCAATGTGGTTTTTTGTCCTCTTGACCAATTGTGGAGGTTCCTCACTTTTAACCGCTTGGTTTTTTTGAGTTGTTCCTTGCTGATGCTGGAGGGTCTAAGGACAGTGGTGATCCGGGACATTGAAGAACATTTATACACATTTATGGACATTGGTCATCTTCCCCCTTATGGACCACTGGTTCTGTGTTTATTTGCATTTTTACATTTCCTGTGTTCGAAATGTTTGTCTCGAATTGACAAATTGTTGTTGACGAATTGACAACGTTGTAAAGTACTCAGACGACTGCTGTTGTGATTTATTGCTACACAAAAATGAATTTAAATTAATTGAATGGAACACGTCCTCAGCCACATCCTAATGATACGGTGGTAACTTAAATGTGACGTCACCCAAACTTCCCTCTCACATTTGTCCTGCACACAAGAATGGCCGTGACGTTTATGTGACAGACGGTATTGCAGCCTGCCTGTCTGTGCTGCTGCTTCATAATTGCACACTTGATAATTTCCTGCCACAGACTGGTCCATTAAAACCATTAGAAGCAGCTCTTCACAGGAGTTTGTGCTTCAGGGGTGAAAGTGTGTGCACTAACCATTTGATTAGCATTCATTTTGTGGTTACACTTCAAAGATCCATGCTTGGGCGTTCAGAGCCCACAGTTTTGAACCATCTCCAGGATTCGGCGACTTAGATGTGGTGGTTTGCGTGTACGAGGAGCCAGTTTTGTGTTTGCCATTTTCTATGTTTTCATAAATGACGATCTTCATGTCTGATTCTCTCTCTTTAAGGCCGACCTGTTTCCTGGAGCACTAGTCTATTTCGGGTCGGACGTGAAGACAGGTTTGTATTTTTTAACCAAATTTTAAGAATGAATTTAATAATCTATGTTGGGACTTTATAACAATTCCAAGCAATCCTAAATTTGATTTGATTTCATACATTGGGGAGACACAGCCAGAGCACAATAGACACAGAATCAATAAATGTGAATGTATTATACCACCGCTAAAGAGGTTATGTTTCGCATGGGTCTGTCCGTCATTTTTTATTGTTTTATTTTAAGGAAAGCTTTGGGTAAATGCTTTTTCCTTTGCCTTTTTAACCCCTTAAATGTAACAATCCAGAGCACCCTCAATGCTGTGGCCACATAGACGACATTACTAGCAACTCTGGAGCAATAATTTTGACCATTTGTGCAAAGTCTTCTTTAAAGGGGCAGTACGCAATATACACTCTCAAGCCCCATTTCCTCCAGTCCTACTCGGCTCTACTCTTCCCCAATTGGAAGCATTTCCACCAGCCCTGTTTAACTGGTAACAGGTACTTTTTAGCGCTTGCTTGGAACTGGTTATTTCCAGGCTGAGCTGGTACTGAAGAAGCCTGACCTTAGCCATCCGTACACTCCAGTCAATCATCATTTCCCTGCATGTAACGTCTGGGTCTGGTCCCTGTGTTTGCAATTACAATCAGTTGAATTCCATCCGGCCGATCAGCGAGCGCTGGAGGCCGGTGTTGTAGTTAGTTGTGGGTGACGTTAAAAGTTTGCGCCGGACGGGCAGGTTGTAAATTTGGCAATGGCAAAAAATGCAATAGTAAAATATTCCAGTCTGGTTCTATCAAGAAATTGAAGCCGAAGCAAGAGTAATGTAAAGAGTAGCAAATGTAATCGCTGGCAAAGATTGTGGCGCTACTCCCCACGGGCTCCGTTAGCGGCAAAGGAGATGGCTATGCTAAATGCTAAATACTAACCACTCACTCGGGCGCATTACAAACGTTAATATAAACGAGATAACCCCTCCCACCTGTTAATAGAGCTCAATGGAGCTCAATAGGAAATGTAATTTGTAAAGTCATAACATTATTCATTTTTTAGATTATTTTGTGTGTGAAAAAGATGGAGCCAAGACCAGCTAGATGTAATTTAAAATATTGTCCCTTTTTTAAAACATGCTTCGTAAAATGGATTAAATATTACTACTTTTTGACTTGTATTAGTTCTTGTGTGTGATCTTGTACTGATATGTATTTTGCAGGTTTTTACTTGAAGACGGCGCTTCTCGACTCTTCTGTTTCTGCCTCACAAGCGAACGAGTCCATCGCGAGGTGAGTGTGTACAAGCGGTGTGTTGAGCCTATACGCACAGCAGCTTATTTTCCTGTCACAAAGCTGTCATCGCTGGAATCCCTTTGAGGTTCAGCCTAAACAGCAGGTGCCCCCATGCCCCTCATTTCCTCCACACATTCTCACACAGACCTCTTCCTGTCCGGCTAAAGATAGAGCCGCTTTCCAAAAGTCACCCCCACCTGTTGCGCTCCACTTTGTTAGCACTATGTATCACAGGGGTCGTAAAGGTATTAGAGGGATCCAGGAGGTCAGTCTTTTCCTCTTTTATCTTTTGATGCTCACAGAAAAGAAATGAATACGTTATTTTTGCATTCATATATTCAAATGTATTTATTATGGTTAAGCTCAAAAACACAGGCAGTAAACCTGATAATCAACTTTTATTTGGAGAGCGCCTTTCCTACACAAGGAAACACATGTTCATTCATGAAGGATAATCTTTCTAACTGAGGTCTGCAGACAAGTAAACAATGTAGACAGAAAGTGATACAAAACATTCCAAGTGGTTTGAATAGATACTCCATAAAAAGGCATCTATGAACCCCTCCATGTTACGACATTATTATTGTTTTTATCACAGCTGAATAGTTTGGTGAGGATGAAAGAAAATACATTATTACATTCTCTTTTACTTTTGACAGCTTCCTTCCATCACAAACTCCATCCAGTAGCACTCAGGACCAAGAGGAGCCAGTGTCTTTGCCAGACCAGAGCATGGACACCAGTGAGCAGTCTCCAGACGATACACCCTGTCAGAATCAGGCCCCGAAACCCAGACCTGATCCAGGCAAGGTCCCCAAGTGGCTCAAACTTCCAGGTAAGGAAAAAAGTCACTAGTCTACAGCTGCCTTGTTCATTATTAGTAATGATCCTTTTATAACACAATGGGTAAAATTTGACATTGTAATTTAAGACCATCAAAGTTGGCCTAATGTTTGTTGGCGCTTTACAAGTTGCCTAATTGGTCTATTGGTTTGGCAATTTTTTTGTAATTAATTGTGATGTTTTCATGGCATGCCCGATTTAAACATGAACCTTTTTCTTCAACCTAAAAAGTACAACTGTCTCAAACCACGCGTTCTTTGTTGTGGTTCACACATAAAGCCGCAGTCAATAGGAATCGGCCTTTTGAAGCTGAATTCCTCTTGACTCAGAAGATAAGGACGCATGTCAGGGCAAACCAATTGGTTCAGGATGCTCTCTCCTTTTGGCGCAGAGACCATTAACAGACAACTGTGGCCCCGAGAGAGAAGCTTCAGGCCACATCACACAGTGCGGGCCCCCTGTGGTCACTCCAGGCACTGCGCCTTCCTGTTGTTCCATTGTGGCCACTGTATTGATGTTTTTGTTTAGATGTTTTGTGTCGTTTGTGTGCGTTCTTTATTTCGGGTTGATCTCTGTGTGTGTCCGTGGGCATCTCAAAAGAAAGTCGTGGCTGCGTTTTTCTTTCATGATGAGAGTTGAAAGGACCGGACCGAGAGGAGGGGGATGATTTGGGAATTATGGAGTCCATGTGTGGAGGCCTACAAAGGATAGCATGTCTTATTAGAAATACATGCATGTGTTTTGATGTGTCCACAAAGAATTAAGACTGGAGCCATTGGATGTTGGGGCCAGACAGTCAACAACAATACCTTATTATGGTGTGGCCCCAATGCTCGTTTCTGATTAATGATCTTATATTATAAATTAGCGGTGTAAGATGAATCGCTATCAAGTCAAAATTGCTATTTGACTTGACAGAACTGGCCAATTATAGAGACTGCAATGAATGTCCTCAAAATGACAAAATACCCAGCAGCTACATCCGAGTACAGCAAACAAAATACCCTCCATAGAGCGTGTTCACGCTTCAGTCCCTAAGTGAGCCAATTAAGGCATACAAGCTCCTGCTGTGGAGGTGTTAAATAATAGTAATTATTAATTATTATTAATAATATTTTACAATGCAAAAGATTATTAAAGTAGCAGTATGTAACATTTGCATGTCAAGTCATCATTAAATGGCCCCCATATTTCAAAAGGCGTTATTAAATCATGCTCTTTTCGAATACAACTTTAACTGATAACAGTAGTTCAGCCGAGATATTTGATTATCAAAATTAGTTTTACGACCCGTAAAAGTTGTTATTGTTTTGATTTTGATGTCCTACCCTCCGCCGTTTCGCCAATCAGGAAGTGTCATGTAAGTCCGTGATCGGGTTGCCAGAACTCCACGCGGCTCACTAATCTCAGTGGTATGTGGCCACAGAACTAAAAAAGGTCTTGTTATGACTCTCAAATAAATAATGACAAAACAAAGACTAAAACGAGGATTTATATAGGGACGCGTTTGAACAATTGAGACGGCTGATAAAAGTTTACGTGTGATGCAGAATTTGCTGGTTTGAGTCCGTTCTTCAGAGCAATGTTTACAACTCGAATCGGTGATCTAGTGGTTAAAACTGTGCGCTCACGATGCAGTAACACAGATTCCATTCCGGACAGAGTCTTTTTGTATTTAATTGCATGTTATCACATTCTATGACAGATTGCTCTAAAAACGGTAAAAGACGAAGGTCAAGACGTTTTTTTGCAGATTATAGCTTTATTGTAAAAAGAATCATTTAAGACCACATGTACCCCAAATAAAATAATGTTAGTCTCTTTTTGATGTGGGACTTATACATGTTTGACTAAAACATAGGGAATAAATAAAATTGAAAGGTGATATCCTCTTGAGCAAACCCTGATGTTGATACGCTGAAGAAATACGTTCCAACATCCATTCTTCCCACTCCTATTTTGGACATCAATTGCTTATTTATTTTGGATAATCTATAATTACATTGCTTTTATTTTGTTTTTTGTTTTTTTATCTCAAATGTCCAAATAAAAATAAAAAATTCAACATTCATTCAACATTAGCATGCCTCATGGCAATGTGAATGGAGACAAACAACTGATAAAATAATTCCCTGTGTTTGTTCTGGAGTTGGTGTGTATCGGGTAACCTGAGTCAGGGAGAGTGGGAGAGGACTACAAAATATTGACTGACTGCAGTACCACTTTTGGCCAGATTTGTATATATTGTTCCTTTTAACTCTCATAATGCAAACTATTAATTACAATACTGGCTTTGACTGAGTATTGTAAATAACTTTGGACAATGGGATTTGTCATTGTAAGTAGTAAGATTTGTCATTGGACACATTATGATATTGCACATTATAAATGAACTGATCCAATTTTTCTCTGACGCCAGTCCTCGATGTGATGCCAATGAAATGACTGCTAATACAGAGTATTCAAAGTTGAAAAACCACAATGTCTGGATTAAGTAAATGGTCTTATTGAACTGAAAGTCACAAAACCAAACCCTGATCCAACAAATAATTTATATCAGCGCTGATAATGTTAGATTCTTTAATTTGTGTTGCCAAACTAGTCTGCGAAGTCCTCCAAGACTGTAGTGAATTAGGGCTGTAAAACAGAAATTGAAATCTGATTTGAGGGAGGCATATAGTGATATTCCACATATTACTGGAGTCGGCAGAGGTTATTGCACAGGCGGATAAATGAAGAGTCATCAGTGATTAGTGTAAAGAGTCTGTTTTGTTTTAAAGGGTCAAACTTCCATAAGTTAATTGTTCACTAAAAACATTTAAATTTTGGCAAAGTTATACTTTTCTTGACTTGATTTTTATGAAATGTCGTGGTGACGAATCTAATTCTAATTTCTTTCTTTTCTTTTATGCAGGTAAGAAATAAGGAGGGGAAGGACTTCACCCAACTGTTTTGTAAAGGATGGATTTTGATGACTGAGCACTTGAGACTTTACTGGATTCCATGTCAAAACTGCCGCAGAACTGAAGAGGAACAGGAGGATGTTTCAAGCTGTGGCCGATTCATTATGTTTTAAATTGAACATGGACGTTTGGAGTTACAACGAAGAATAAATAAAGATTGTACTGAAATGATGTAAAGTCAAGTGCATCTTATTCCCTTTCATATTTCTTCCATACAACATAACTGGTAAATTAACGTTCAGAACTTGAAAATGATGAAGCTAATAAACAAACCAATTTCAGGTTTTAATATAATGTTTAATCTCAACTGTGTTCTAAATGGTTAAATAGTCAAACTTTGATAATTGAATCACTTATTCACACATCAATACACAACAGCAGTATTCTCTCAGTTCAATTTGTGATGGAGCAGAGTTCTCTTGAGGAAAGTTGCAACATAGTTAATTTCTCTTTTATCACGTTTATCACAATAAATAAGCTCAACTTCACGCATTTCAAAAACAGATGTTCATAAAATCGCCTGCAGGTGGCGACAAACCTCTAAACACTGAAGGTCCTGAAATAGCCTGGCAACATAGGACATCTTTTTATGTGTATGTCGCAGGTTATTAATTTTTGATATTTAAAATGCATCAAATTTACTTCTAATTTCAGTAAAATGAAACCCACGAGACTGAGATGTTCTATTTTCTAAAAAACGGTTTATACTGAATTTTCAATAATAGTGTAATTACCTTTATACTTTACCTACTATTAACTGCTAATTCTGCTACATATTTCTCACTACTTATTGTCACAAAATAAGTGTAGACTTACAAGTTATCATAAATTACCATCTTGACTGTCTTTTAATTTGTGTTGACCTAAAATATTGGTCAACTGGAAGAGCAAAACAAATGTGACACAACTTAAGCTAAAAGTCATATTCAACTTTACGAAGGTAAATTCAGAAAAGATTTTTGTTTTGATACAAAAAGGCGAGTGCTTGAGGGTCTCAAAGAATGACACAGGCAGTCTTCAAATCTACTCTTTTGTTGACAAGATTTTTTGTAATGTTTATTTATATAGCACATATTTACAGACCAAGGTCACCAATGTTCAGAGTTCAGATATTGTTTCATGCTCTCCACACACAGTCATAACTACTGTACATGTTTTTAGTGGTAGGGTAAACTGGAGCACTCAGAGGAAACCTACACAGACACGGGGAGAATGTACAAACTCCATTCTTGCCGAGAAGTGAGAATGCTACCGTTTTCAGGAAATGTTGTGTGACTCTTGTTTCTTTCACACTTCGTTGACATTAAAATCACCAATATTTAACAGCAGCAATCATTCAAGAGAGCATCTGTGAACCAGAGACTTTAGTTCATAGACTATTGACCAATGAAGTTGGTAAGTTTGTTGATACACTTTCATGTGTTTCAGAAAGATGAAGAAGGAGCCATTGCAGTTAACAATAATGCATCCTACTTATTTAGCACTACATTACAACTGTAGCCACAGCTGCCCCGAGGCAAACTGCCAATCTGAGCGCCGCCAATAATTTGGTGATGTGCATGAAAATTAATACTTTACAGCTGACCCACTGTAGCACTTGGTGTTGCCAGCGGTCTCCCATCACAGCACTACCCAGGCCCTGCCCTACTTTACTTTGCTTATGAGATCTGACAGAATCAAGTACCATCAATGCTCCAAGTTACAGTGATAACGATATTTGAAAATCATCTCACGGGTCAGACATGAACATTTAAGAAATGGGCCTTGAGTTTGAGATGCCTGATAATCATTAGTTTTCACACTATGTTTTATGTGGTGTCTGGTAATGGCTATATTTATAAGTGATGGGTCCATTCCCGTTACACTTTTCCCAGGGTCTGTTTACACGCCGTGACCCAACGCCCGGCCACATGCTCAGCTGAGGTACATCTGCTATTGGCCCTACCCTAAATAACTCTCATACTGACTGCTCCTCACCAAGGCTCGTCCCATAAGGTGGAAGGACAAAGAAGGGGTGCAAGTGTGCCATGTCTGTGATGTCTACTTCCGTGTTTCATGAGTGAGACTGTTCCATTCGTCTATATGTAGATGTTAGAGTGGACATACTTTTCCAAGCTTAGAACTGCGGCAGCCCTGGACTGCTTTATTACCTGGTGGGATTTGACATAGTTCTGGATACATGGATTATGAACAACTTTTTCTTTTCCCTTAACAGGTGAGTGTGGCACAAAACTAGGGCATGGCTATGAATGGTTGAGGGAAGAAGCAAAAGAACTGGCACAATTGGGTCAATGCGGCGGACCAACCAGAGAAGGACTACAAAAAAGAGAACTCAAGGAAAGGATAGGAACTGCGTACAATTGGGCAAGTTCTGATCAATTTAGGTCTGAATTCCACTGGTGCCAATAACCACTTCAAACTTTTTTTTGGATTTGACCCAAAACTTGAACATTTGGATTTATAAAAGCATTTCTGGGCCTTGTGAAGTCCCTGCAGTGTTCGCCGGTTTATTTTTCACCCCCTGTCCCAGTTATGGATCCTCAGGCTGGCCCATACCTCAACAAAAGGGCGCTGTGCTCTCCTCTGGGTGCTGCCCGTGTGTGTCAGCTGGCTCTGGGCTGTGCTGTGATTGCCCTGATCGCACACGGAGCAGGGTACAGCGGCTCGCACGGGGAGTTCTGTATGGCTGCCTGGTGCTTCTGTTTCTCCATGACAGTAGTGGTCTTCTTCTTGGATGCCACTCGTCTCCACAGTTGTCTGCCCATCTCCTGGGAGGACTTCACGGTGACATGTGCGGCCTTTGCTACACTCATGTAAGTTTGAAAATGAAGGTATGATGAATGTTTAACAATTAGAGTTTCACGCTATTCCTACCCCTTCTTAAAATAATTGAAATCTATCTTAAGAAGTTGAACTATTGCTTACCGAGATTGGGGCTTTGCAAAATGTGGTACTGGAGGTCCTCATGCTACACAAATTCCCCAGTGGTTCAATTGAGAGATGTGAGAGAACATTTTATTCCTCATTTGGGTTCATCACCAACAATAATTATATATTTATTCTTGGTTTAGTTCTAATTTAGACCACAAAAAAGTCAAATTTTAAACCTTACAGATATAGCAGTATTACCTATCAAAAATAATCTTAGGTGATACTTCGAGGAATAATAATACCTGTCATCCTAGTAATTAAAACAGAACTGAAATCTTAGACATTAAGATAAAGTCAAACATTTAAAGTATAGTAGTGAGGAGTTATGCAGACAATGAATCCTGCTTAAAAAGAATCATAATACTGGTGCATGTGAAAACCTGATTCTGTTCGATCCCAGAAGCTAAGTGGGGCATGGTCTGTGATGGGAGACCTCTGGGAACACCAGGTAAGTGCCAAACGTTGTGCCCTTAGGCAAGACACCCACATACACTGGTGTGTGTGTGTGTGTGTGGTGCTGTTCAGAGGCGCTTATGGCGCAGATTAATGCTGTGGTGGTATACTTATATTAGTTCACCACCACAGTGTATGGAATAAATTAATAATGTGAAGCATCAGCATAATAATAATAATTATAGTATGCATTATATTATCATATAAAGTATATAATCAATAATTCATTTTTCCTCTGTGCAGGTATGTAACAGCCTCTGTGGTCTACCCGCTCTTCTTCGTCCGCTCCGAGTGCCCCTATGAAGGCTGCCATATCCGGGACTTTCGGATTGCTGTCACAGTGTGTTCAATCTTGTGTGCTGTGTCCTATGGGGCAGAAGTGGCCTTGTGCCGAGCCAAGCCAGGCCAGGCTGTGGTGGGATACATGGCTACTGTCTCCGGCCTTCTCAAAGTGGTCCAGGGATTTGTCGCCTGTATTATTTTCGGTGCTCTGGCCAACAAGAGTGAATATGCCCGATATGAAGCCACTATATACTGTGTGGTGGTGTATTCTTTCTGCTTTGCCCTCACAGCTGTGGTGGTCTTGCTGACGGTGTGTGGCAGGACTAAGGCTGTTCTATGCATGTCTTTTGAGCGCTTCGTTGTGGTCTGCACACTGCTGGAGGTGTTGTTGTACTTGAGTGCATCAGTGGTGTGGCCTGTTTTCTGTTTTGAACCTAAATACGGGTCTCCAGAGCGGCCGTACCACTGCCCCCGGGGCAAGTGTCCGTGGGATAGTAAGCTGGTGGTGGCTGTCTTCTCTTTTGTCAACCTGATTCTCTATGGGGCAGACCTCCTCTACTCTCAGACCATGCGCTTTGTGTCCACACGTTTCCCCACAGCTCCAAGGGTCTAAACCTGAAACAATATTCATGAATTTATATTTTCAATGTAAAAAGAACATCATGCACTCTGTGAAACAATGTACTGTATTTGCTGCTAAATGTATCCAACTATTCCTTTTCACGGCAGTACTAACGTGATGCAAATGGTGGTTGAGAAATGTGTCGAACACTGACTGTGACTGGAACAATTTTATAGAATTATTAAATTGTGCAAGAAACTAGCAAGGACTTCCACCATTCAAAATCAAGGATTTCAGTTGTTAAATGTCTGTAGGCAAAAATCTATACTTTCCTCGGATTTGTAATTTAATTCCCTGACTATTCTGGCATGTAAACTATTAGTGATAGACGTGTCCAACTTTATGCAATGAACTCAAAAGAAATAATATTTAATATATTTGTATTATTTTTGACTTTGAAACACGATCATGACATTTTCATGTCACTTTGACCTTTCATGTTTTAGAATGTGTGACTGGAGGGATCGTCATTTCACCTGAGGAAAAGCCCAAACTATTTCACAAGCACTGCATGAGTTTAAAAAGGCAGAAAGCAGCTTTCAGCAATTATTTGTTGTATTTATTCACTTGAATTGGACAGTAAATATTAATGAACAGCAGCAGTGAATACATCGGAAATACCTTCATTCTAAGTCCCAAAGTTCATGTTTTTAGTAGTAGGTGAAGCCACAGTAAAGTGTTTTGTAATAGTCATTTTGAATATATAATATAAGAATGGAGAAATACATTAAATCCATCGTGTAGTTAATAGCCAAACACTTCTAGCATCACATACAGTATAATTCTGAAGAATACCAGTGACGTGATGGTTTTGCCAGATACTTAAGGCATGTGCAGAATGCCAGCAATGCCTACACTGCAGTGCCAGTATTTTCGGGGCAGACACTCGGCCTATAAGATATAAAATCTCTGGCCCTACCCGAGACAAGCATCATCAGCAGCCACCAAGTCCTCTTTAAATTACACATTGTTTCAACACAATCCAGACACTCCCAAAATACTTCAGAAAATTACAACTAAATACTCTGAATACTTGTAGCAGTGGCATCTTCGGCATGTTTGTCATCTGTTATTCCCAGATGCAGCCGGTGGGTCTTACACTGAGCCAAAAATAACAGTGTGATTATGTAGCCCAGCCATGAGACAGCAGTTGGCCTGTGTCCTTTTGGATCCACTGTTTCTCAACCAGCTGAATGCGCAAGGACTGAAATCATCTATATATTTATTATTGTTATTCTTTATTTTTGTGAGTTATTTATATTGAGTTGCTAGTTGTAAATTTAAAAAACTTAAATTTCACTGAAGCTGGCTGCACCACAATATGGTGATTATTCTCATTAGGTTTTTTGTTTTTACTGTATCTCTCTTGTCTTTTTTACCTATGTGCAGCACTTTGAGGCATATGGCATGGTGTATATGTATAGGTGTGTTACATGAAGTTGACCTTCAAAGTTACAGAATCTTTTCTAACATTACCACCAAGAAAAGGCAACACCAAACCTGTAGCGTTCACTGACCTTTGCCAGAATTGGAGAACACAGAGAAAATTGATCTGTGTCTTTAATTTGGTGCGTTCAAAAATGGTTTGATCTGTGGCATGCCTTTGTGCCAGTCTCCTCTCATTCTAATTTTCTCTTCATTAAAGTAATTTCTCGCTCTTTGCAAACGGTGATAAATATCCTTCTTCATTCCTCTGTCACACATTTCACACTTCGCTCCTCAACACTTTGCTCAGAACACCTCCTGAAAATCTAATGTCTGTAATCCAGGATCTCTGAAGTCAATCCCCTCACATCTGTGGACTTTATGGAAGCATTTCCTAAGATCAGTACGAGGGCTTGAATGTGAATCCAAGCCCAGATGGCTGTTCTTGTGTAGCACTTGTGACTAATTATATGGCTTGAAGCTGGACCCATGAGCTAAAGTGGAAGATCTCAGGGTGAGAATATAAGGGGTATTAGTCCTCCCTGATTGTATGTTTATCTTTGCCAGTGGTAAAATAAAATCGTCCCACTTAATAACAGTGGAGTTGACTGTATAGCTACAAAAATAATAAAAAAGATAAGCAATCAAATAATTATTCTTATAAAATGTTTCACTGAACACATTAGGATTAAATCTAATTAATTGTCTGAAGGAACGGCACAGATATGCACCAAAAATATGCTCAATAGGTAAAAATCCTCCAGCTGCTGTAGTCCTGACCAAACCAAGCATCAACCTCTGGAGATGGGTTCCTGGGCCTTAGTGGCATCAGGATGGGTCAAATGCAGAAGACAAATTTCCCTAGGGGGACAATAAAGTACACATTTACATTTACATTTAAGGTTGTGTTTGTTTCCTCAAGCAAGTCACTTCAGCCACTTTATCTCTGAAACTGGTGTCTGAGAGAAATGTTGGTGCTTCTGCCTTCAATGTGGCAGTCCCATTAAGACTGTACCAGGAAGATGAAAGCAGAATTCTGTCTGTGAAAAGCGTTATCTAAATAAAAATGACTTAATTACAATGTTAGACACTGTTGGTGAGACCATAGCCTTGATCTTTCAGCGGGGGCTTCAGGCAAAGTGGGGTTAAGTGTTTTGGCCAAGGACGCAACAACAGCAGTCAACAGTGGGAGTCGGTGGAGAAGGTCTCATGGTGGGCTCGACCCCGCAACCTTCAGACTCAAAGGCCAATGTTCTACCAACTGAGCCACTGTCAATTTTTTAATAGATATTGCGTGTTGCGAAAAATATTGTTACATATTTAAGAGAGGAGTGGTGAAAACACAACTCCCCAGTGTATAACAGCTTGTTTTGTTTCCTCCAAATGCCACTCGACTTGATAAATGCTGTAAACTGACCTCCGGTGACAGGCCTCCTCTGAGACCATTGCTTTTAGCCTGACTAATATGATTTTCAGAGGGAGATTTAACAACAGTCGCTACACGCCGCAGAAGAGATCGGAGAAACTGATGTCTGTAGCCACAAAACACTCGTAATGCAACCGTCCATTAGGGGCCTGCTCTGTGTGGATCCCCATTTAGCAGCTGCTCTATGCCTGGCACTATGGTCTGCTCCCCAGGGCCTCTGCCTCTCAAGACTTATCTCCACTCTACAGTCCACTTTGAGAGAAATGAGAGCAGACAGGTGTCCATCTTTTTCATATCGCCAGAGGGAACCAACAGAGGAGGGACAGGGCACCGCAGGGCCACTGTCTGCTTCCATCTCACACACTGTATCGAGACATTCTCTGTTGATGCTAATGCCAGCTTCTTCCTTAGTACTGTATGTATGTTTTTTGAAAAATTGTGTAATGAATGCATTTAAAGGGAGTGGATGGAACAGATTTGCATACATAACAATTTTTTGCATGCATTTTGTGAAGTACTTTTAGTCAGCTAAGCATGTGTCATATAAGATAAGATAAGATAGAAATGTACACATGTTAGGTATTTATGATGATGATGATGATGATAATAATAATACTAATAATGATAATAAAAACAAACTTCTACACAGCCTATTTTATTTGGGAAAAGTATTCTATTAATTTAGAAATAAATCAAGGGAAGTACATTTAATCATTTAAACCTGGGGTATCTCACTTTTTGCTTCATCCATAATGCATTTTCTGAGTCTTATAAAAGTAGTATGTTGTGAACAAACTAGCCCACAACATACTGTCTTTACCTTATTTTATCATCATATCAAATATTACATTATATTACTATTTTATACTTTGGGCTGAGTGAGAGTGGTCCTTTTTCACTTTTCTGTCTGAAAAAGCTGATCTAAAGACCAAAAATAAATGCATGTGAAAACTAGCAAAACTATTTTGAGACCAAGGAACTATTTATTGTATCATTATGTATTTTTTCAAATTGAACATCTGTATCTTGTTTGTTTTGTTTTGCTGTATAAAAATATATAAGTTTTAAATAAACGCTTACTTACATACTATTTGCATTTTATAACATAGCTCAGTTTTCCGTGGTTCAAAAGTTGCGTGCCCCAGCTTTAAGTAGCTGTAAGTTATCATTCTGAGACACCTGTTCATTCTCTCCTGTCAGTGTGAAAAAAACAAAGAGTTTTATTGATTCTGTCACTGCGTTTAACATCAAAGATAACGACTCAATCTTCAACATATTTGTCTTGGGGCTTGCAGATGTAAAGTTGTTCTGGTTTTGATTTTGTATTGCTCTTGGGGAAATCCCATATTACATTCTCGTGACATTAAACTTGATTTTTAACAGTGCTCCGCAGCTTCTTTGCCTATTCCACCTCTGCCAGTCACCGCTCTGAAGCTGTCAGACACAAACGAGCACCTGGGAAAGATTGTCTGTCTGCCTCTGATATTAAATATGCATCTTTCCTCCACCTCTGCCTCTTCAATTTTCTCAATTCCACTTTCTCCAGTTCAGCCACCAATCACAGCGAGTAACAAATAGTTGTGAACGCTTTTTGCTGCATGTCACCGAGAAAAGGGGGCAACTTGGTTTTTAATAAATCCCTGGTGGTTTTTGTCATAGAAACGAAGCGAACGAGTGTTGTCACGCCTCAGCACACATGCGGAGGCTGTGTGAGAGTACGCGGCTAAATTGACTTAGGTGTGTGTTTTTGTCTGAATGTGAGTAGAAATCTGTACACGGCATAAACTTTTTGGCATAACTGCATTTTTACATGTTTACCATACATTCTTACAACACTATATAACAAATTGAAGAATGGTGCAGGGGTTAGCACTTGCACTTCACAGCCAGAAGGTCCTGGGTTCAATTCAACCTCCAGATGGGGCCTTTCTGTATGGCGTTTGCATGTTCTCCTTGTATCTGCGTAGGTTTCCCCTGAGGGTATGTTTTTAATCGTGACTGTGGGATTTCAGATGGAAATCAGATACAAAGCCACCACCCAGGTGTATCTACAACTCCTGTTGCATTCAAATAAAATAACTAAAGTAATTTTATTCTATTTGCTACTCACTTGTTGTCCAATTGTCTGTTGCATGGCGCGATGACGGGACCCCTGAACCCACCCCCCTCCATCTACACCTGCGGACTGCCCGACCCGCCTGGGGGTTGCTTCAGTCCTGCGCCGCACCTGTCCTCGTTCTGTAGCTTAGGTCCCAGATCTATAGCCCGTCCGTCTGTGTGGAGCAGATCCTTCTCTCAATGTGGACTTGTGATTTAGGGCTATACAAGAATACATTAAATTGAATTGAATTGAACTCCTGGACACATAAAATACTACAAACAAACAAAAATATTGTCAAAACATAAGTTAAATGAGGATTGTACATAGGTTCTGTATAATGTCTTTGCTTTATTGTCCCCAAATCTCATTTTTCTGTGACACTTGCCATAGCTGTGAAAAACTCAAATAGATCTTGTCCCCTTGCAGGCCCCTGCTATACCCTCCTTTACTGTGGAAACCGTAGAAGAACTTTAGAGTTTGATTCTGTACTGTGGACAGATTGTTCCCACTTATAATTAGAGTGAATGAGTCACCAAAGTTCAGCCATTTGTTTGTGCTCCAAAGGGCTCTCACGACAGATTTTGTGTGTTTTAGAGAAAAAAGGGGTGAGTCGAGCTATATAAACATGATGTAGCATTATGTGGAATTCCATGTTAATAATCACAGATGGTGGGAAAAAAGTAACATTGCCATGGTGATTACAATCCAAGTTATTTGGTTGTTCTATACCAGACAATTGTCAGATAGCAATGTTATAACCTAACTTTATCTACTAAGACAGAACGAACATTCCTAGACTGCTAATATGATACATGAGTTTGGGAAATGTCTTTAAAATGTTAAGTACAAAGAATAATACATACATTTTTACATTATCCATAGATAGGTGTTTTATGTCAAACCCTGAAAGATTGTTGATCATGAATGAGTCAGGTTTGTGGAGATGCAAGCGACCAGTAAGCACATGAGCTTTTACCCTTTTTCAGTGCATTGGTGCAAGAAACCAATACAAATGTGGAAACAAAAACTAGCCTGTATGCCTGGTGCGAGAAAAAGTGACAAAATGTTGATCTGCCTCATACTGTTAAAAGATGAATGCTTGACTGGCCATTTGTGCTCCTGTTGAGACTAAAGTGATGCTCAATATCTGTCAACCTGACGGAGTTGGAAGTGCACTTGTAGATGGTGTCTCTGAGCTCAAACCAGACTTTAAATAGACAGCGTCCACAATCCCCCCGGATGCATTCCAGTCCAGCAGCATGGTGAAAAGAAGACATACAGTGCCTCTTCTTGGAGAGTGGTGTAAATTTAGTATGGCATGTATGACAGACAGCTCAGTCTTATTAAATTCTGTTCCAATATGACAGTAATGGGCAGGTTTTGTGGTAATACAGAGAATATCCATTAGTGTAGCGCTGTGAGAGATGAAGCCAAAACTATATTCAAAAGCCTCTGCTCATTAGTGTACACACCATCCGCTGGTGCTTGATTTGAGATTCTGTCAAACCTAAAGGGAGGTGATAGGCAGTGGCCCGGTGTCTCCTGTTTGAATAACAATCTTTCATTCTAATTCAGCCTGTGGATAATAACTCACTCCACTTTTGGGCACTATAGTTATGAATATCAAGATATATTCTGTATTGTTTGGTCACGATGAATGGAACATTGACTTAGTTAATGAAATGCATCAATCTACGATATAAAGGATATGGCTTGTAACTCCTGCGAAAAGACCTGTAATGATCCCGGACTTATTATGTTTGAACTATTACTATAGCCGATTGATAATGTGCTTTCAAAAATTACAACAAGTAAAACATTAAATCCCGGTCAAAATGAAATAGGAAATGAAAATCAGTTGAAAAGAAGATATATAATGAATTTATTTATTTTCATCAAATATATTATAAAAATAATACTGCTTGATGATTCTAATCTACAAAAATGTTTCTTTTCATAAAACTATTTAAAGGAGCAGTATGTTCAAAATCTGGCCAAAAGTGGTATTGCACTCTCCTTGACCCTGGTTGCCAGATTTGCAGACGAATTCAGATAGGACCATAATATCTGGATTAGGGTTAACAAATCTATAACCAACACCTTTTTCACAAAGATAGAAATCCTGGTTTTATTCCTTGTTTTGTTGTTAATGATTTGAGAATCATATCAAGACCGTTTTAAGTTCTGCAGCCACATGTTACTTTACCAGTGAGATTAGCTCGACGTAATGAGTTCTGGCAACCCAGATCACAGACTTTCTGATTGGTAAAACGGTGGAGGGTGGGACATCGGAATGAAAACAATACAGTAACAGGATTTAGGGTCTGTAAAACTAATTTTTAAATTCGAATACCTCGGCTGAACTACTGTTATCAGTTAAAGAAGTGTTAGAAGGAAGATTCCAGCTGAGTGGGAGGAGCCAATCTTATTAGGCTTTGTATAGGTGTGTGGCCTGTTCTGAAGATTTCCAAGACTTTCCATGTTGTCTTTGGAGACCATGCATGTACATGGACATTGAAAATAAATAAATACTTTTTTTGTGGAAAATGTTTTGGATATAGCCCCCAAAGTTTCCAAAATAAAAGAAATGTTTATAAATATTTATTATTATTACTCTTGTGCGCACCACACCTATCTTGTTCCCACAGGATATCTTGTGCACAAGATAAATATTTCTTCTGCCCTTTGGGCCACATTCTACACTACCTTACATAAATCCTCAGGTTTTTTACCTATACATTATAGCACTCTACAGTTGACATCACGCCTCCGCACTAACAGCAGCACATGGAGACATACACAATCTAATGTACATATCAGAGAGACCAAAAGTCGGTTAAACTGGATAAAAGCGGCCTTCCTTGTTCAGATCAGCGTGTCGAGGTCCTGTTGGCAAACCACTGAATCATGTTGCTGTGCTTTCTTGGCATCTCTATTATTGTTTGCCTATCTGAGGAAAACCTCATTCTGGAGATGTTGTATAGCCCTAGATAGTAGCGTTTGAACATTATGTCACTCGTGTTATTGAAATAATGAGTCATTATGGTCATTACTTTGTATGTCTAAGGAAATGTTTCCCATTTGACCCACCCATGACAAAAGACCTACGTGTCAGGAGCAGTGGTTAACACAGTGCAGCGTCCTGGGACCCATCTCCAGATGGGTTGCTCAAGACTAACAGTGCTGGAGGATTCTACCCACACTGTCCATTGTAAAAGGAGGGAAGACAGAAGATGGAAACTATATCGAAGTGATTTTGGTACCCATTTTTTGTAATTCAACAATAACCAACTTTAGTAAAAGCTGTAGCTGTGAAGTTGTTCAAATATTATTTACATTCAATTAATGTACTTGAACAAGTTGTCATTAACTTAAAAATAAAAGTTTAAAAAATTTTGACCATTGAGCAAAATAATATAATAAAGTAGTAAAATAGTAAATACAAATAAAAAAGTCTTTCCCCTTGACATAACTATTTGATTTTGCTGAAGAAGAATGGCTCAACAAATCAAGAAAGTGCTTGCCTTACATTTTGGCCGATTAAGAAAATGTCTGTATTTGAAAAAGTTATCAGCTTGAACTAAGATCGCATTCCTTTGCGATGGAAAAACACAAAAAATCCCAGAAAAGAAATACAGAACATTCAGATATCAAAAACAATGTATTAGCATTAATTATTACTATTTCTGCATTACTAAGCAGCTTTCTGCTCTCTGAGCAGAAAGCTTTTCCATCTGTTGTTTGCTGAGTGTGGACATGTAACCTACTCCATGAGTTCACGGGCGGCTCATGACTCTGACCTACATGCACTGTACGGTCGCGCTTTTTACCGGAGAGACTGATGCAACGAGACCATGAGTCTGAAGACCCGCCCTCTACAGACCGCTGCGAGCGCTCATTGGTTGGGAAGGTTGCCTGTCAGCGTCCATGGACGCATGCCCTAAGCTGGAAGAAGGAAGCCACGTTGACACCAAAGTAGAAGATTTTGTGTCCATCTGGGGCCTCTGGGCACGTTTTTCACAGTCACGACTCAAGAACTTAATCTAAAGCATCTAAAGAAAGGTAAATCCCTTTTTTGCTAAATATAATGCCGCGCATGTCATTGGTTTGTAAGTGAGTTAGCATTTACCGAAGACAAAAGCTAGCTATCTGTTTTCTTACTTATTGGCTCTAGACAAGATAAAGTTATTCTTCACTTGGTTGATTTTGTTCATACGATCGTAGTGCGGTAGATATATTGGTTAGTCAGGCTATTACATCTGTATACACCGGGACCGTAGCATGTCCAGCAAAAGCCGGGGCTAACTTGTGAGTTTTAATGAGAATAGGTTTCTATAGTGCTTTTCCACTATGTCCCATTTTGGTTAAAATTCAATATTGATATGTTTCAGACCAAAGAAGCTGCACCACGCATCAGGATGAGTGTTGGATTCATTGGGGCGGGCCAGCTGGCTCATGCGCTTGTAAAAGGTTTCACTGCTGCAGGTAAGTCTGGTTATGGAAAAAATATCAGGAAGTGAATTATATACACAGTTACTGTATGTGTACAGTATGTATCATAGAATATGTTGTGCCCCATAAGGTGTCATTGCAACTCACAGGATTACTGCAAGCTCCCCAGATACAGACTTGCCCACTGTGTCCGGACTTCGGGTGAGAGGGGGAAATCCTCACTGTATGCAAAATGAATGATTCTGTGCCTCCTAACTTGAGTATGTCTCATGTGATTCAGAAAATGGGGGTGAACCTAACTACTAGTAACAAAGAGACTGTAAGTAAAAGTGATGTGCTGTTTCTGGCTGTGAAGCCACACATCATTCCCTTCGTTTTGGACGAGATTGGACCAGACATTGAGGATCGTCATCTCATTGTGTCCTGCGCTGCAGGAGTAACAATCAGCTCGATTGAGAAGGTCAGTTACACCTCTTTTCACTGCACTTGTGTCTTTGCATTGAACAACGTTAAAAAACATACTTTTTTGCTCTTATTTACAGAAACTACTTCAATATCGTCCAACCCCCAAAGTTATGCGGTGCATGACCAATACACCAGTAGTAGTGAGAGAAGGGGCAACAGTGTATGCCACAGGGACACATGCAGAGGTTGGACGTTTGTGAATCAAGAAAACTGTTTTAACTTGAATCAATCTTTATATCTTTGTATATCTGCATCTTTACAATATCAGGTTGAAGATGGAAAATTATTGGAGCAGCTGATGGCAAGTGTTGGCTTTTGCACTGAGGTTGAGGAGGACCTAATTGATGCTGTGACTGGTCTAAGTGGAAGTGGACCTGCTTATGTAAGTAATGACACTTTATAGATTATTTCATATTTAATGGTTACGTATATAGTTTCTCTTACCTCAAAAACAGGCCTTTACAGCATTGGATGCTTTAGCTGATGGAGGAGTAAAAATGGGTCTGCCCAGGAGATTGGCTGTCCGGTTAGGAGCACAGGCCTTACTGGTAAGATATAATGCATTTTGAATAGAAATCCGATTTAATTAGATTAATCTGCTGTTAAAAAAAAAACGAATTTCTTGTTGATCAGGGTTTTAGCTCTCTCTTGGCTTGTGTAGTTCAATCAAGTTGTGCAGTATCCGTGTAAAAGTGTACAGGGCAGGCCACACAAGGCACAACTTGGAATATATTCTTATTGTCAGTCTCTGTACAATACACTCGTGATTGTGCTTAACTACAGCGGCACACTTGTAAATAATCTTTTGTATTGAGACAGGTATAACCATTTGTTCTCCAGATGAATGCCATTTTAAATATAATTTTTATTTCTGTTGAATTACTGTTCTCCACTTCATCGTTTAGCAGCTTGCTACCTGAATGCATGCTGCCTGGGGTGGAAAAGCAGACGTTTGAACGGGGTATCAGCCTCCTAATACCACACGTCTCAGGGTTCTGTTTAAAGCGCAGAGAGAACCATGAAGACAAAGGAACACACCAGGCAGGTCCGAGATACTGTTGTGGAGAAGTTTAAAGCCGGATTTGGATACAAAAAGATTTCCCAAGCTTTAAACATCTCAAGGTGCACTGTGCAAGCAATTATATTGAAATGGAAGGCGTATCAGACCACTGCAAATCTACCAAGACCTGGCCGTCCCTCCAAACTTTCATCTCAAACAAGAAGACTGATCAGAGATGCCGGCAAGAGGCCATGATCACTCTGGATGAACTGCAGATAACTACAGCTGAGGTGGGAGAGTCTGTCCATAGGACAACAATCAGTCGTGCACTGCACAAATCTGGCCTTTATGGAAGAGTGGCCATTTCTCAAAGATATCCATAAAAAGTCTCGTTTAAAGTTTGCCACAAGCCACCTGGGAGACACACCAAACATGTGGAAGAAGGTGCTCTGGTCAGATGAAACCAAAATCAAACTTTTTGTACACAATGCAAAACGATATGGCGTTTGGCGTAAAAGCAACACAGCTCATCACCCTGAACACACCATCCCCACTGTCAAACATGGTGGTGGCAGCATCATGGTTTGGGCCTGCTTTTCTTCAGCAGGGACAGGGAAGATGGCTAAAATTGATGGGAAGATGGATGGAGGCAAATACAGGACCATTCTGGAAGAAAACCTGTTGGAGTCTGCAAAAGACCTGAGACTGGGACGGAGATTTATTTTCCAACAGGACAATGATCCAAAACATAAAGCCAAATCTACAATGGAATGGTTCACAAATAGACGTATCCAGGTGTTAGAATGGCCAAGTCAAAGTCCAGACCTGAATCCAATCGAGAATCTGTGGAAAGAGCTGAAGACTGCTGTTCACAAAGGCTCTCCATCCAACCTCACTGAGCTCGAGCTGTTTTGCAAGGAAGAATGGGCAAGAATTCCAGTCTCCCAATGTGCAAAACTGATAGAGACATACCCCAAGCCACTTGCAGCTGTAATTGCAGCAAAAGGTGGCGCTACAAAGTATTAGCGCAAGGGGGCCGAATAATATTGCACGCCCCACTTTTCAGTTTTTTATTTGTTAAAAAAGTTTAAATTTCGTTCCACTTCACGATTGTGTGTTGTTGATTCTTGACACATTTTTTTATATCTGTATCTATAATTTTCTCAAATATTTTTATTCTCTAATTCAGGGGGCAGCCAAGATGCTGCTAGACTCTGAGCAGCATCCTGGCCAGCTGAAGGACAACGTGTGCTCCCCTGGAGGAGCCACCATCCACGCTCTGCATGTCATGGAGAGCGGCGGCTTCCGTAGCCTCTTGATTAATGCAGTGGAAGCTTCATGCATCAGAACACGGTGAGGTTAACTCTACTTTACATTCCCTCATAATTTCTTATGGCCATTTTATCTTTTTGAAAACAAAAATAAGATGAGATTTATTGATCTTATACTGGAGAAATTTACAAAATGACTGCTACAAAAAACAACACTTGAAAGAAACTAGTATTTAATGGAAGGGATTTAAGACTAACTCAACATTTGTAACCGTAAAGTCTATGGAAAAAGTGCAGATCGTTAGGATCTCCAGTTTTATTACGATCAAATATGATGTGATAGTTTGTCTATTTTTGTTGAGACTGCGGCTGTGCTTATTATTATTATTATTATTATTATTATTATTATTATTATTACTGAGGCGACAGTGTTTCAGTTGGTAGAGCATTGGCCTTTGGGCCTGAAGGTCATGGATTCGAGCCCACCACGAGACCTTTTCCACCGACTCCCACTGATGTCTGCTGTTGTTGTGTCCTTGGTCAAGAAACTTAATCCCACTTTGCCGGAAGCCCCCGCTGAAAGATCAAGGCAGCTCAGACTAGAGCTACTGATCCTCCTGCTGGTAGTTAGTAGAGCTGCTCTCCTCCTGTGGACTCACCCCCTGCAGGAGGATCAGTGAGGGGCTGGTGCTATGTGTACTGGGTGCAGCTCTGATTGTCAATCCCTCGACCTAGAAATTAAATAAGGGGAAGAAAATGGATTATTATTAATAATAAATAATAATAATATTATTTTATTGCACAGTACATGTCCACATAGCCTCAAAGTGCTATGGATTAAAATGCAATGCAAACAAATACAAATGACAGAAACGGCAATCACATCACAAGTACATAAAATATCAAAAAACATTAAGGGATCAAAGCCATGGGGGCCCACATGGCTGGTGTTTTGTTTTTTTTCTCTGTGTGGCACGCACAGTGCGTTGGGAGCGGCATTCCGCACAACTTTCTGTGGCCTGACAAAGATTCTGTGGTAAAAATGTTTCGGAAAACATCCGGGACCACTGACTCACTAGTGCTGGGGTCATAGGCAGGTCGCAGGCAGTGGCTTCCCAGCGCCCCGTATCTGACAGTCTCTGGATGATGTTATGGCTGAGACACCTGTTCTTGTTGTGATTGTTGTGACGCCCTGACTACCCGACATTTTTGGTGTGTACACTGCTTTGGGCACATGGTCTGTTGGATTATGGTTCTGGTGAGATTATCAAAATGTATGCTCAAAATTTAGATTCTAGTTTAGATACTAGTTTTAGTATAGATACAAAATTGTAATTTAGTTTATACTTAATATGATCTGGATCATTGTCTTGATCCAGGACTTTCCTGGAAATGGAACTGCACCTCTTGGAGTTGGTCTGCGTTCCACGAATGACTTTCTAGTTTTACATTGATTGAATACAGATACAAATTCTGCCTGTCCCTGACCTTGCTCTGTGACTGTCACATGATTAGCATCCGTCAATTTTTTTTTTAAACACATGTGTTGAAAATGCAGTGCTCTAGTTATTTGACTCTCATTCAAAATATGTTTTTATTTTTTTTAGAGAACTGCAGTATCTTGCAGACCAGGAACGCATATCTCCAGCAGCGATAAAGAAGACCACGCTGGACAAGGTGCTCCAACAGCCTGGAGTCAACGTTAGTGGAGTGGCCAATAGTAATGGAAAGTCTGGGCTCAACTTGTTCAACAACCGAAGCTCAGGCGTCAAGAAGAAGAACTGACCCCAAAGAGGCAAAAACACAAGCATATGTGCAACAACATTTTGGACACATCTAAAATGTTCAAACAATGAAATGCACTCAGGACTAAAACGTCCACATAATGCTGATACATTATTAATTCATTCACAAGCGGAACTGGATTTGTTTATTTTGCCATCACATTTCCCTCAAACACAGGTGTGGTATGTTGTTAAAACTGTTATGGCCTTATGTTTGGACTGATATTATGGCTAACATGTGTGAGATCTGCATTTACAAGCTGTAGTCAGTCTGGAAATGGGTTCAGATAATCTCACTGTTTAACTGTAATCACCATTTAGGCCATTGTCGTATTTTGACACACCACACCAGATGGTTACTGGGAGATCATCAAGCTGTTTGTGTTGTCCATCATTAGTCATGAAGTCTAAAGTTGCTTTTTTTGTAAAGAAGTATTTTATTAAAAATCATGTTGAAGACTGTAACAACATGTTGGTCATGCCTCTTTAAGCATATGCCTTACTAGTGTTTCTATGTATAGATGTACAGTATGTCGTTTCCCATATATTAAACATTTACCCCTGCAAAGTTTTATACTGGGACACTTACTAGCTTAATTCCCATCTATGCATGACCAGCATCTATTTTTACAGCTTTATGCATTTCCAGGTCATCCGTCCTAAATCTTTTTGATTGCATTTTTCTTTCCTGTACCTGTAAGTACAGTGGAAACCGTATGTTTTACATTTTCTCCCTATAAAAAAATAGAATTTGAAATATATTTCACACTGTTTGTAAGGAAATCAACAATATAAAATAGTGGTTTAGTTTTCTGAAATTACTGAGATAGTAAAACAAATCAGAAACCTCTACAGTATATTTGTATAGATTCTTAACAGAATGAAGTATGAAATTATAAAAATGAGAATATTGTGAAAACATTGAACACTTGCCTGTGCACTTAAACATGATTTCTCACTCTTTTAGAAATTAAACTTTTGAGTTTGTTGAAAGTAATATAAATAATTCAGAATAATTACGACCCAATGTGTGCCATTGAGCCAATAGCAATATTTGGTAAGAACTTAACTAAAATCTGGATTTAAAAAAAGTAAACAACTGTATAAGCTGCCTTTATCTGTGGTGCAGAGACAAATTATGATTAAAATATATTAAAGAACATATTGCATGCATTACATTTGTGTGTCTTCAGAATAGGCGGTCTCCTACCCCAGCCAGCAGATGGCGACCTGAGATCAATGTTAATCTATTGAAAAGCCCCAAATGACCCTTTTTGGGCTTGAGTTTTCTGGACAGGTGTAGCCATTGAATTCTACAATGTTTGTGTAATGACTCCAATATAGGACCACAAAGAGAGAACAGTGGTGACACCTGAGTGAGAGACTGAAGTTCAGTTAAGTGTTGGTATTATGAGGTTTTTGTAGTAACAACTGAGTTTAACTTAAGAGTTGTTGTAGGGTACTTTTATATATTATGGCTTCAAGCTGCTATATTTTGGATTAGCAGATGTCACTTTGTGTTGGAGGGAGATAGACCCGTGGGACTATTGAGGCAGTGCACAGGTGCAGAATTTGGGCTAAAAATGATAAGAAAAGTCATGGCTTGTGAAGGGCCATGTTCTCATTATAATTGAACAATTTATAGCAGTTGTGGGATTAGTAATTTTTTTCCTTAAACCAACACACACCAGTGTCTCAATGAAATTGCACCTTTGAGCTCCAAGTGCACTCAGCCTGTTTATTTGGGCGTGCAATGGTTTTTCCTCAGTTGCCGCTGTGTGGTGATAATCCCTCTTTTATTCCAAAAGGTTGTTCTTCGCTTGTGCCCGTGCTGCCTGTTGAGATTAGCCATTACAAGAGAGACTTTCATTTGCCTCTCATTATTTTAGTTGTTACCTTTTTAAGAGAAGCTTTGTGGATGTCTCGAGCATAGGTGTCTGGTTTTGCTTTATGTCAATCATCTAAACACCAGCCACAGGTTAAGGTGGCGGTTTAATGACATAATCCGAAGAGAAAACTTGGGTCTGTGTGAAAGAGTTGAGAGGGCACTGCATGGCTCCTCCATCCACAGGTAGAGCAGCTGCTGCCTGTCATCTCCACTCAATCACTTTAATCACTGACCTTTGCAGTAACATGTTGTTTGCATGTGGTGTCTGGGCCCAGAGGAGAGCCAAGAGCCACCATAACAGAGCAGCTTTTCTAACCTCCCTCTTGCAATGTATGCCATGATTTATCTCATATTACATTATCTTTACATTATCTGGCCTTGATAACTACAATTACTGAATATTTCACCTGCTTTTACTTTTATTTGCTACCATATATGATTGTTAACAATACACTTAACCAAACAGATCTCTATAAAGTCACAGCTTAAACCTTGCAAGCAAAATCTATGGTTTACTTAATAATTGCCTGTGCAAATCCAATGCAATCGGACTCCAGTACCAGCAGATTTTATATAAATGATTTGCAATTATGTGGAAATGGGAGGCCAAACCAGCCTGAGTGCTCTTATGGGAAGTTATTAGAACCTACTAGAAGGAAATGGAATATTGACGAATGGCTACAAATTGTTCCTAATGATCAGCATTGTTTGTAAATTACACAGAGAATAATATCAGACAGAGTATGTAATCTATGTAATCATATTGTTATCTTCCAAGTAGGGCTGGGCACCTCCTAACAGGTTTTCTTTCAGCTTACATACTCCAGCTATAATGTTCATATAAATATTCTGTTTACCCCAACAGAAAGAATTATATACATATATATTTTTTATTTTATTCATTTCCTTTTTTGCACACCTGTAGGAAAGAGCCTTGTGAGTCACGTTTGGATTGAGAACAGATTGGCTGAGTGAGGGTGGTCTCTCTTTTAAATCTATATAGGAGGATTTTCCTGAATTTTAGGAAGGAACGATGATCCACCTGGAAGAAGAAAATTCTCTCATATCTTTAACTTTTCTGTCTGAAAGAGCTAATCCAAAGATGCGTTGTCTCAAAATTAAAATTACAACTCTACGATTACTAAAATTACAACTTTACTCTACCTATTTGTTTCTATACTAGGTTTAGTACGTGTTTAATATCTGATTTCTGATACTTAGACAACTCTAGATGTAACATAGGTCATTTTTGTGTGATTTGAAGTCACACAAGTCGGTAGTTTTTTTGTATTTTTTTTCCCAGTCATAAGCCATTGAATTAACTTGGAAATATGTTTCAGCCAATAAGTCAATAAAGGAAATTGGTGAAAAACGAAATTTAACTTAAATAAATATAGTTTTACAAAAACATGTTTTTGTAAAACATAATGTCTTTCTTGGATTAAGTCTGTGTAAATCTATGCCTCCGTTATTCTTCTTTATGTGCCTTGTACAACTGTGATACAAATAATCCACTGACCACAAACCACTAAAATAAACAAGCTTGTAGAAGGCTATTGTTTTAGTAATGAGATAATGGACTTCAAACTTGTCTCTCAGCCTGACGCCGGAGGAATGAACAGCTGCTCTTCATGTGTAAGTCTGCAGTGCTTCTCTAAATAGCGTTAGTGCAAAATGTGCGCTCTAAGTTTAGAAGTGCAGGAGGCGGTGCCACTTGTCACTCTTTCCACTGACTGTTGTCCATCACAAAGCTACTGTTTCGTGTCTCTTTAAATGTGGCTTGCGTAGGTGCTTCATGAATGAAACCATGTGATCCAAACATCATTTGACGTCTGGCGCCTCCGACCACGGACTAAAACAAGCGAGGAAGGAGTGGATTTATGTAGAGACCTAGAGGAGGCGTGAGCGGAAAAACATTTCTCCAAGTGTCTGTGCACTGGCTGAACTTCACCTCCGAGAGTCTACCGTAAGTGACTTGTGGTATGTCAGTCATGTAGAGAATACCTAAAAGTGCTGATTGGAGTGGCTGTTTTGCTGAGTGTGATTTCATAATAACACAAAGGGGGTGTATCGCAGCGCACGGCTGTCAAGCCTCGGAGCGGAGCCATGTGTCGGAATGAGAGGAGGTGCGGAGAGAATACAGCAGTTACATCGTTTTATGTCCAACACATTCCATGTTGAATGTACACACAGAAACGATGGAACTAGTTAGAAGGAAAATCCCGGTTACAAATAACCTTAGCGTGAGGTGTTCGACTGTCCGCCCGCCGCGGTGCTGAAGACTCAAACAGCTGCAGCCGCATCTCAAACCACGCGTTTTCGTTTCCATCGGGTAAGACAATGCACTTGGGAAAATTGTTATTACTTTGCGTCTGTTTTGTGCGATTAGCCATGTTTCACCAACTAATCACCGCTTAATTCAATCATGTGGCGCGAATAGTCCTAGCGGAAGCAACAAAGAGGGCAATGATATAGATATTTGTGCTCGCTTTGTGATGACTTTGTTGATTGTGAAGGTCCGTGGTTGAGAGAGGGGTAATCGCAGTAGAGCCGCCTGTAGCCTGATGCTGAGCCTGATGCTGAGCCTGATGCTGAGCCTGATGCTGAGGCACTGCTGAACATGTTTTGACATTTGCTTTGTGTCAGTCGCCTCTCATGCGGCTGCTGCACGCATTTCACAGTAAACATTGTGATGAAGTGTGCGGTAGTGATGGTGTGGGGTTAGGGGAGCAGTAACCCGGCCTGCCTGCCCGTACACCGGTGCTCGGTGCAGAGATGCTGATTCATCACAGCGGAGCACGAGGGAGCCATGGCAACAACATGGCACCGGGAGCGGACAAAGGTCTGGCTCCACCGCAGCGCGCGCCACACCGGGACCGTCAATGGGAAATACATCATCAAGTGCTGGCCTTATGTTGATTCATATATGAAATACTTGCGTACGGTATGTGAAAGGACACTGGGACCTATTTTAAGATCTTGGTTATATCCCTTTCACGTTTAGATGGGATTGTTTTGTTGTTGCCATACTAACAAATAATTCATGAAGACGTGGAACCAAATAATTATAACACTGGCTACTATAGTCTATCTTTGCTTGAGCTATAGTAACC